CCGTACTATATACTGCCATAGACAAACCCAACATACGGTGACTTTCAAACCGCAGTCCACTCACTGGCATTGACTATATATCTTGTATTCTCCACAGGGAATGGATTCTTTGCTCCGCTGCAAGTCTCTTCTTACACCACTCTCCCATTGCCATATTTCGTTGCTTCCTCTTAGTATCTTTCACGCGACGGTCAATGGTATAGTGTATAGCAGATTGTATAAATAGTAAAACATTTTAATGTTTAATACAATGTATAAGGTAATATACAGTATCATAATTGTATAGTGAACATACAGCAGTGTGGTATACAGTAGGGTGGGTAGAATACTTAGGGTAATATTATAGTCGAAGGTATAGAGTGGTGTATAGTCATACAGTATATAATTTAATGTTGGGTTTGTCTATGGTAGTATATAGTACGGGGTAGACTCGTGTGATGTAAGAGAAAAAAGTTTATTGCGACATAGAATTCTAATGTATTACTTACTGTTAGTAGCTCAGCTTATTGGAGAGTATATTTAGTATACTGATGATACTATGTAGTTTATACTTTAGTTTTTTACGTGGTTGTTTAGTAACTGCAGCTACATACTATTAACATTCCTTCCCTTTGTCAATGCTACCCCCATCTCCTCCCTTTGATGCTGCTAATCCTGCATAATGCACGGGCATAATGACTTTGAAACCCCCTGCCCACCTCCTACGCATTTTCCATAAATATGCAAAATCCCTCTTGATATGCAAATTATTTTGTCAAGGCGCTCTTCTTCCCACCTCCCCCCCTCCAACCCAGCTTAAATATACGCTCCAAGCTTGGTGGTGTTTCATTCTTCACCTGAGGACGGCTGCTTGCGTTGTGGCCGAAACGTCATGAGAATTATTTTATCATGTTTTATTTTTATTATTTTATTACTTCCCTTCTACGTGACTTTACCGAAAGAACCAAGATGATCCTCCCACTTTCCTCCACCCTCACTTGACTCCTCCCACTTTCCTCCACCCTCACTTGTTGACTCCTCCCACTTTCCTCCACCCTCACTTGTTGACTCCTCCCACTTTCCTCCACCCTCACTTGACTCCTCCCACTTTCCTCCACCCTCACTTGTTGGCTCCTCCCACTTTCCTCCACCCTCACTTGTTGACTCCTCCCACTTTCCTCCACCCTCACTTGTTGACTCCTCCCACTTTCCTCCACCCTCACTTGTTGGCTCCTCCCACTTTCCTCCACCCTCACTTGTTGGCTCCTCCCACTTTCCTCCACCCTCACTTGTTGGCTCCTCCCACTTTCCTCCACCCTCACTTGTTGGCTCCTCCCACTTTCCTCCACCCTCACTTGTTGACTCCTCCCACTTTCCTCCACCCTCACTTGTTGGCTCCTCCCACTTTCCTCCACCCTCACTTGTTGACTCCTCCCACTTTCTGCCACCCTCACTTGTTGACTCCTCCCACTTTCCTCCACCCTCACTTGTTGACTCCTCCCACTTTCCTCCACCCTCACTTGACTCCTCCCACTTTCCTCCACCCTCACTTGTTGGCTCCTCCCACTTTCCTCCACCCTCACTTGTTGACTCCTCCCACTTTCCTCCACCCTCACTTGTTGACTCCTCCCACTTTCCTCCACCCTCACTTGTTGGCTCCTCCCACTTTCCTCCACCCTCACTTGTTGGCTCCTCCCACTTTCCTCCACCCTCACTTGTTGGCTCCTCCCACTTTCCTCCACCCTCACTTGTTGGCTCCTCCCACTTTCCTCCACCCTCACTTGTTGACTCCTCCCACTTTCCTCCACCCTCACTTGTTGGCTCCTCCCACTTTCCTCCACCCTCACTTGTTGGCTCCTCCCACTTTCCTCCACCCTCACTTGTTGACTCCTCCCACTTTCTGCCACCCTCACTTGTTGACTCCTCCCACTTTCCTCCACCCTCACTTGTTGAATCCTCCCACTTTCCTCCACCCTCACTTGTTGGCTCCTCCCACTTTCCTCCACCCTCACTTGTTGACTCCTCCCACTTTCCTCCACCCTCACTTGTTGGCTCCTCCCACTTTCCTCCACCCTCACTTGTTGACTCCTCCCACTTTCCTCCACCCTCACTTGTTGACTCCTCCCACTTTCCTCCACCCTCACTTGTTGACTCCTCCCACTCTCCTCCGCCCTGACGTGGCTAGAGCTGCCCCCCCACCCTGCCCTCCCACCGAATGTGCTCATGATCCTCATTAATGACGACGCACTGCTTAGTCATTTATTCGTCCCAAAATCATAACTTTTATACTGTCCCGATATGTACTCTCGCTCAGACATCGAGCTGCTTCAGCATGGAACGATTTCCCAGACTCAGAGATGTGTCACCAGTCTCACCTTATCTCAATATTTAATTAAAACTCAATCCCATAAGACCTACATCTGCTACAACGACAGTGTGGTTTCCACAAGCCGGCAAGAGAGCTAAATTGAATAATGAATGCATGCATTCATTTCTTGTGTTTGATAGTGCCAAATTGGATGTATATCACAAGATAAAGATAAAAAAAATATGTGTATGTACATGTCCGGTATATACGTACGTGTGTGTGGATGAGTGTGGGCGGGTGAGCATCATCTCAAGCAGTCAACCCATGAGACCTGGGTCTATTCCGTGACCTGCCAGCCGGCCTTCACGTGGCCTCCAAGTACACCTCGCATGGCACAAGCGCCGTTGTGACATCACTGCCACCGAGTGGCGAACAGCAGTTATTGTAAGTGGGTAAGTGTATGACTCAATGTATATGTGTGTCTGGGTGTTAGAGTGTGTCTGAGTGTTTGAGTGTGTCTGGGTATTTGAGTGTGAGTGGGTGAGCGAGTGTGCGTGAGTGAATGGGCATGTGTCGAGAAACGTGGACCCCCCTAATGGAGCATCTTCGCCGTTTAGAAACATTTATGCTGGCCTGCCTACGATCCATCCTGGGTTTAACCAGGCTGGATTGTGTGAGGAGCTCACATATCCTTGAAGAATCTGGGCAAAGTCCCATTGGTGAGCTCCTCCGGCAGGCAAGGCTGCGTTGGCTGGGTCATGTAGCCCGCATGCCCAGCCACCGCATGCCTGAATAGCTTTTGTTCGGCCGGATCGAGGGGGCTAAACAGGTGCGGCATGGGCTAGAGAAGATATGGAGTGATGTGGTACAGGAGGACGTGGAGCTGAGTGGACTTGCCGATGACTGGTACCAGCGGTGTCAAGATCGGCCTCTGTGGAGGAGGCTCGTGAAGGACGCTACTGGGCAGTTGGAGGCAGTCGCCCTCCAACAATAACGGAGGGCGGAGGAGCGACGCTCACAACAACGAGCGCCGGGTGGCTAAAGCACAGCAAGTTGGCACAGTAGGGGGCACAGGTAGTGCATCAGCCAGTCATCTCGGTCATCTCAGTCAGTCGACCCTTGGCATCTGGGTCTGCCCCGTGACCTCCTGCCAGCGGGCGTTCGACACTTCACGTGGCCTCAAGGTGCACATGGCCTGGCACAAGCGTCGTGGTGACGTCACCGCCACTTAGTGGCGAATGGCGGTTGTTGTTGTGTGGCTGAAATTTTGCATTAACGCAATTGACAAATTATGGACACTTTTCGATAAACTAAATCGAATTTCCACATTAAGGAAAATTCACACGGCACGCGCGATGAGGTCATCAAACAAGAAGCACCCGGGAGGATCCGTCACCCACCCTCGACTACGTCACGGTGTCCCTACAGTGCAACAGTAATGCCTCACATCACCTTACTTGTCATTCTAACATGCAGCAGATCTTTTGGAGAGTTTCCATGAAAATATAAATAACTTTCGTTTTCAATTAATTATTATTTAAATCGTTTTAATATTTACATTCTTTATTGGTATTTTGTATTGTGAAAAGTGAGATAGATTTATATGTTTAGATTAGGAGTAGAGTTAGAATGACTGTCAGTAACACATTCCTAATTGCAAGACTTAAATTCATGGGAAAAGTTATTCGGATTCACAAAATTGAGTTTTATGGGTGTTTTTTAAAGAACGCATTCTTTTTGTCAATCGAGGGATGTCTGTACTTACGCCAACAGTCTGTTAAGGCTATATGGGGGATCTTTGTCTTTTTTTTTCATGTCATCAGATATTTGTTATGCATCTGCCAGTTGATACCCGCACACCCATGTAAACAAGATGCTCCTCCATCTCACGGGATTGTTCAGGTAAAATTAATTAGTTTTAATTTCTCACACATGGGTCTTCAGTCCACTCCAGTGTAATGCACTATTAATCCTCATTCATACAAAAGCATTAGTCAATCACTCGTGCCGGGGCTGCACTGAGCACATGTAAAGCGAAGGCTTCCCATGCTGTACACCCACTCTGCACGCACACACATCCACGTGTGAACACTCACGCACGTTTGTTAATAACCACCACCTTCCTTTTGTGAACACTTCGGCTTTGGACATCGGGTAGTGCATTCAACTTCTCTAGGTAGGTGGGGTGTGGTGAGTGGGTTGGGGTGTGGGGTTGAGATATGTCATGTGAGTGGTGATTGTGGCATTATGTGTGGTGGGTGTGGTATAAATAGTAGGTGTGCAGAATGTGGTGAATGTTGTTTGTGGTAAGTTTCGTCAGTGCAGACCGTGTGGTGGTAAGTATGGTATTGCGATGGGTGCAGTGTGATGGGTGCGATGTTGTGTGTGGTGAGTGTGATGTTAGCGGTAAGTGTGGTGGGTGTGGTGGTTTCTGTGGTGAGTGTGGCGTTGGGATGGGCTAGTGGAGGGATCGGGAAGGATGGAATGTTGTTGGTGGGGTGGGTGAGGATTGGAGATCAGGTTATGGGGTGGTTTGGGATGTGGGGGGGGGGGGGTTACGGTGAAATGGGGGGGGTGGGAAGAATGGGCTGGTTGGGGAGGAAGGCTGTGGGGCCTCGTGGTTCATGCTGGATCGGTATTTTTCTGCTGCGATGGGTTTTCCTGTCGTTTATCGATCTGACCGTATTTGCCTTGTGCAGGCAGCGGCACTGACCCACGTCGTGGATGAAGCGCTCGATCTTGGACTGCATGCCCCAGTAGCGAAACTCCACCTTGCACAGCTTGTACGCGCACATGATGGGGCTGGGATTCAGGGAAGCCCAGTCGTCCCCGAGAGGCCCGCGGCCTGTGCGCTCCGAGCGGTAGACGCGCGGGTCCTCGTCCACCACATACTCGTGGGGGGCCATCGGGTCCCGCACGATGTCTATTGTGTCTGCCATGGGACCCGCACACGCACAGAGAGAAAGATCCTCCATGTAGCCCACAAAGGCTTTTGGGGCAAGTGCTGTAAGTGAGCATCTATAAAGGCCGGCACGGCACACAAGGGGGTGGGTGGCCAGCGCCACGCCCGGCTGCCTGTCTCCTTAGTGGCGATGTTAACACACAGCACCATGTACTCATTTGAGACCGAGTCGACCAAAAACGTGAGCATTCAAGCACTCAAGTGGGCATACACGCAACAGCTGAATAAATGGGTATACCACAGTTAATCGATTGGCAGGTCACGTGTGGTGAGGTAAAGTGTGGGTACGCCCACCTCTTCCACGACGCCTGTTCAGTGTGGAAGAGTCGACCAAATACACTCTACAGCTCCCTCTAGTGGAAGCCCTTCTGCCAGCAATGGCACGACCAAGGTAATTGCAGGGCTGTGCCTGTACCTTTGAACTGAAGGGCAAACATACCACACGGTGACTTACACCGCCATGCCGTTTATACGTTCCTAAGAACCGCGCGGTGAAATTGTTGCTACCATTTAACTGGAATATTTTGCCAGTTACTGACCGTTGGAAGGGATAACCGATTACTAAAATGGTTACTGGTTTACCGGTTACCGTTGAACAATGCTAATTCAGGGGAAAACTTGGCGGGAGGGTCGGGCGAGTGAGACAGGGAGCGAGCGAAAGCGGTGCTGACCGACGCTGCACTGGCGCTTCTCTGCAGCGCCAAGGTTGAACACGTTCAGCTGGTCTCCGCCGTCCTGCTGGTAGTGCGTTTCGATGTCGATTGAAAACTTCTCCACAAAAGGGCACGTGTACCTGCACAGCAGCAGCACAGCAGCAGCACGTTTAGTTGTATTTCTACACAATTCAGGAGACACAAGTTTTAGTACGTAAAAGTGTGCACGTGTTTTTGTGCAAGAGGGTGCCTCTGTGTGCATGAGTTGTATTATTTTTGTGTTTGTATGAGCATACATGTGTTGAGGTGCAATTCACGACTCCGAGGCAGGTTGCTATTAGGGGCTCACGCCACGTTTATTTAAGGGCTTCCGCCAGGTTGATAAGGCTTACGCCGAGCCAACACCCCATAGACAATAACTCCCCAGGGGACAGGGTACTGGGATCCCTACACCCCGGCTAACTCGCCTCTCCACCCCCAACCTCGGCCGGTCGGGCGGAGTAGCCTCCCCTAGCCTCGTGTGAGGACCAACTACCCGAGTCCCCACTCCTACCCCCGACGAACCCCGGTTCCATCCCGGGTCCCCCTTTAAATACCCCCCTGGGGGCATGACGTCACCGTTCTCCACGGCCCGCCTGACGTCACGTCCCGCAACGCCACTCTTTCCGAGGGTGCGCGTGACGTGATGTCACCCACTACACCTCTACACATGTATCTGTGAATTTGCGTGGGGAGTGGTGGTGGAGCGTTTCGCGCGATTCGGTACGAACCCGACGACCCGAGTTCAAATGTCACTCACTGCTATCACTCATGACGATTATCTGAATCAGTCCTGGTTCTCTCCAAGGTCGACTCAGCCTCAAATGAGTACCTGGTGCATCGTGTAAACATCGCCAATGGGTAGACAAAAGTGGTTGGGGACAATGCTGGCCTTAGTAGGTGTTCGCTAACAACCCTTTCCCAACAACAGTCTATAAAGGTTATGTTGGGGGATCTTTTATCTTTGTGGGTGCACGTGTGAGGCTCACCGTGTGCGTGTGTAGGGGTAAGCGTTCCACGACTGCTCCTCTACCCGCAGCGCGGCCTTGGGCAGGATGGCGCGGAACCAGCCAGGGATGTGCATGCCGATGTGGTAGAGCTTGTGCGTGTACTGGCCCCTGCCCCCCGGGCCATCCTCATATGGCCGGTTTTCCAAGATCTCCACTCCGCTGCCCTCGCCGCTCGTCTCATCTCGACTCTTTTTCTGAAAGCCACACGGTGTGCTGTGAGAGGGACTGAATGGCTCCACAGTTCTGGGCCTCGCAAGCAGACAGCGTGTTGGGCAGCAGGCTGGCACAGCGGCAACACTCGTGCCTCGCAGCACTCGGAGCCTGGGTTCGATTCTCGACTCTGGCGCCTTCTGTGTAGAGTTTGTATTTTCTCCCCCTGTTCTGCATGGATTTGCAACGTGACTGGTATGGGTTAAACATCCCAATACTGAAAAATTACCTGCAAATTACTAAATTGATACTACACACAGCAGCAACATTGCCCCCAACGATGACAACTTGGCAGGATCCTCCGAAAAAAGTCTTGAAAATCAGTAGGGCTTTCCTGGGTAAACACGCGTCATAATATCACCATATTTGACAACAGCTTTCACCGTATCCATTATAACCAAAGTACAAACACAATAAGGTCAAATGCAAACACAGAACCCAGCAGCTGAAACTACCGGGGAAAGCGCCCGCTCAGTGCGGTGCAGCAGAACCGCACTTTGTGTATCTGCCAATGCTGGTGTTTACACTACACCAGGTTCTCATATTTGGCTGAGTCGAGCTAGAGGAGGCCCATTACCGGTTCAGTTATTCATCATTGATCTTGGCTGTGAGCACCATTTCAACGTGGGTCACGGTATTTGTAGGCCAGCAAGCTAACCACTGCACTACCGCTCCCCAGAGGTCGCAATCGAGTACCCGATACCTGTACCCTACCCGATACCCGGCTACCCGTACCCGATACCCATACCCTACCCGATACCCGTACCCTACCCGATACCCGGCTACCCGTACCCGATACCCGTACCCTACCCGATACCCGGCTACCCGTACCCGATACCCGTACCCTACCCGATACCCGTACCCTACCCGATACCCGGCTACCCGCACCCGGCCGGGTACGGATAGCCGGGTACCCGTTTGCGACCCTGGTGCGGCCGGGTACGGGTAAGGAATCAAAACCCGTTTGCGACCTCTGCCGCTCCCCTACCCGGGAACACAACCGACAAGCACGTACACGTACATGAAAAACACATAACACACGCGTGCGCACGACACGCACGCACACACATGACACACTCACGCCCCACCTGAATCATGTAGAGCTGAGCAATGCGGTACTCCTCCACACTCATGGGCAGCGGGATGCGGTACTCCTTGATGAGCATCTTCTCTGGCGAGCAGACGAGCGAGAATGCGCGCGAACGCACGCACGCACGCTCAGGCACCGCCTGGACCAAACCGCGATTAGGACGACGTCTGCTCGAGGCTCAGTGTCCGGCAAGGACAGTCTTCACCCCTACACACAGAAACACAGGCAGCGCACATGCGCGCGCATACACGCACAGCACATACACCACTTTAGCATGGTCATGCGGTCAGCCGGCCATTGCAGCGCAGCAGATGACAGACCACTCAGCTTTATCCATTGGGATCTACGGATGGAATGAGGCTTACAAATTGAAATTATTACGAGTAACAATTTGTGGGGAAGAACAATAGTGGTTGTCCGATGGAGAGACTCGCCCCCACCATAGGAATGTGGAGTTTTCACAAGTGGCTCAGTGCCGTAAAGAGGAGTTGAGCACTTAGCTTCAATGCTCATTTGAGCAGGAAGTCACTTTGACGAGATGGCAAAAATAAGCGCAACACCACCATACACTCGTACTTTGTACACAAACAAGCAAAAAATGCCGGTACGCTGTCTTAAAAAGGACATTCATACAAACCACCCGTACCTATCTAAGAAGCTGTCGTGGTGTCACAGTTCGCACACTGGGCTTGCAGTCCAGGTTCACCGGTTCTGACAGGGCAGTTGAACCGATGCGGCAAGTTTCTCAAATCCCCCCACCGCCTCTGTCCACCCTGCAGTATTACTGGGTATGCCATACTTAGTTGATCAGCAGACCGTGTGTGGTGGGATGTATGTATATTGAACTTCTTTCGCACCGTATGGAGCCAACCATGCTAATCGGAGGTGTGGGGGAAGGACATCAAACTAAACAAGAAAAGCTATTCTAAAGAAATTAGTTTTTAATTTAGATTTAAAAGTGCATAGTTGCAGTGGGTTCCTAATATCGAAAGGAACAGCGTTCCAGATGGCCACAGAAGCGAATCTGAAAGGGAACAAAGCAGTGACCATCTTTGTTAGATGGTTAGCCAAAAGCCGCTGCGAGGATGACCGGATGAGATCAGCAAGGTGAAAAAGTGTGGGTACGCCCACTTATTCTAACCCTGTCTGGTCAATGTGGAAAAATAGATCAAACAATATCTAGAGATCGCTTTACATGCAATAAGCAACTTTCATTTCATCTCAAGAGTTTTAAAGGGCACTCCCAGTGATAGCTGCACCTGTGGCCACAAGGTGACTCAGTGCCTGGCCTGGACTCAGGCATCAGCCTGCCAGTAGGGGGGCAGATTACCTTTACCTTCAGACATCTAAAGCCGAGCAGAGTCAGCCTAATGTTGGTGTCTGTCCTGCGCCCCCTTGCTGTCGACACCACGACTAATGCTGTTGTGTAGTACAAGGTGTGCATCTCTGCAGGTGCCATGTTCCAGGTGGACGGCAGACAGAACTGGTCTCGTAAACATGTTAATGACAATCTTTGTTTAAAATATTCACACGAATTCATATTTCTTCAACCCCACACAAGAATGCAAAAGAACCGGTCTGTGCACTGTGCGGCTGAGCACCCACCGTGCATCCAATACACGACACACACACCACATATACTGTATAACAACAAACACAAACACGCCGTGTGTAACCAACACTAAACACATACCACAGATACAATGCACTCAATACATACAATACACACCAACATTATATATCTATATGCACACACACTCATGCGAGTTGTTTTTCCTCTTACTTCATGTAGCAAGAGCTGAAATAGCTACTATTCTTAAGAATGCTAAGAAACCCACTAGTAACATCAGCCAAAACGAACGCTCTGAACTCGCGGACCTAAAAAATAGAGATGATATAGTCATCCTCTCGGCAGACAAGGGCAATGCCATGGTCATCATGGATAAAGATTCATATAACAACAAAATCCTGGACCTTCTTAATGATGAGAGTTACTCTAAAATTAAAAACGATCCCACTAAAAGCCTAACGACAAAAACCAACAGTATCATCACGAGTTCGACTTCCCTAATCGAACCAAGCAAACGTCCCTCTCTAAAACCATCGGGCGGCTAGACCTCCCAGACTCTATGGTCTTCCCAAAATCCATAAAGAAGGCACCCCGCTACGATCCATCGTGTCGACGATAAACTCTCCTACGTACAAACTAGCCCGTTTTCTATCAGATACTCTGCTCCCCTTCACAGGCACGACCTCTTCGGCAGTACTCAACTCAACCCAATTAGTCTCTATAGTTAAGGACATGGTACTATCTCCTGATGACATCCTCGTCAGCTTTGATGTAGTATCTTTGTTTACCAAAGTCCCAGTACCGGACACCCTAACAATAATTGAGGACTTAGTCCAACATGGATTGAATTCTGACGTACCTGCGCTGGTTAGGCATTGCCTCACCAACACCTATTTTACCTGGAATGACACCTTCTACAAACAGAATGAGGGTACCCCTATGGGCTCCCCCTTGTCACCAGTTATAGCCAACATGTTCATGGAAAAGTTTGAATCAGACGCCATCCAGACATCCACCCTGCGTCCTTCCCTGTGGAAGAGGTATGTGGATGATGCTTTCGTCATCTGGCCACATGGCCTCCCAGCATTGAACCACTTCTTGGACCACATCAATTCTAGACACCCATCCATCAGATTCACCATGGAAGTGGAGAAAGACGGTAAACTACCATTCTTGGATATTCTGTTTGAGAGGAGGCCTGACGGATCCTTGGGACATTCTGTCTACAGGAAAGCCACCCACACAGATTCCTACTTGAAACCGGATTCCCACCACCACCCATCTCAAAAGAATTCTCTCATCAAAACGCTATACCACAGAGCCCATGGCATTTCTGACCAACACCACCTGGCCGGTGAATTAAGACATGTACATCGGGCCCTCAGGATGAACAGATACTCTGACCGCACTATCCGCCAAGCTGTTTCTCCCACCACACAGAAACAGCCACATGAAACACCGACCAAAACTATCACGTTACCATACATAGCAGGCGTGATCAAAAAGATCTCCAAAATTCTAAACAAACATAAGATCCAAGTTCGATTCAGTACAGTGCATAAAATCCGTGATCTGATTCCATCTGTGAAGGATGTCGTTCCTGACTTACAGTATCCTGGAGTCTACAAATTGAGTTGCATTTGTGGTGATTGCTACATTGGAGAAAAGAAACGTCATGTTTCTGATCGTGTCCGCGAGCACAAGTCAGATCTGAAACACGGCAGAACTGATTCTTCGGCCGTTGCCGATCATTGCTACAACTCGGTGGGCTCTCATGAAATTGTCTTTTCCGAGACCAAGGTTCTCTGCAAACCTCCTGGCTACCATCAAAGGTTTGTACACGAAGCCATACAAATATACAAACACAGACATAATTTCAACCGTGATGATGGTTACAAACTGAGTAATCATTGGAAAGATGTGATTAACCATGCAAAAAAGATTTAACTACACTTATTTGGCCAATCTTATTTGACAGACAACTATTACAGGTTATTGATAGACAGCCAGGCTTGTTTTATCATGTTTAGTTGTTTTCTCCTTTTCACACTATTGTTAGCCTCACCTTACCATATGAATAAAAAGTGTGCCGTACTTGGCCCTTCCCCCCTCTTCAACCATTATATATACGGAGTGGTAGCTCTTGCAATCTCTAATTTACTTGATACAGCTGTCGTGGCTGTGACAGTTCCACCTGAAGACGGAAGCTTGTGTTGCCTCCGAAACGTCGTGATTTTTATTTTATTTTACTTTTATTAATTTTAATGTTTTACCTACGTGACTTTACCGAAAAAAACCTAAGAATATGAATCCTTGCAGTCACGAAAGCTTCAAATCTAGAATTAGTGTAGGGGACTTTATTTCAAATGTTTTTATTTTATTATTTCGGTGCCCAAGGCCACTCTTGCGAATGAGACTTCCATATCCTCTTCTTCTGAGTTCTCACCGTCTGGTGACACAAACTGGATTTGACAAGCTCCTCACACCACATCAAACCCCACACGCACATCCACCATCACTCCCACACTGAAAGCATCCTATTGGACCCGAACATCCCTGCTGATTAATGTCCCATCTCACGCCTCATTTACTGTGAGAAGACCTGGAAAGGGTCATCTTCTCCCAGCTCTCCAAACCTCTCTACCTTCATGGTCTCCACCACCCAGAACAATCTGCCACCAAGGCCGTCCTCCCGAGACCGCTCTCCTGCCTGTGGTGGGAGGCTGCTCTGCTGAGAACATGGATCCCCCTCCTCACTGGGTTCGCACCCACACGCGTCTGCTGCTGCTGCTGCTGTTGGCACCACGGACCGCCCCTTCCTCGGCAGGCATCCCTACATGACGAAGTGGATTCCACACATCCCCCGTGTAGCCTTTACCAGACTGCTGGGGCAAGCCCTGTTAGTAAGCACCTATGAAGGCTGGCACGGCTAACAAGGGGGTGATTTAGCCAACACCACACCAAGCCGCCTTTCTCTCCCAAGTGCTGATGTTTGCACACCGCACCAGGTACTGACTCGACCTAGGGGAGGCCCAAGACCAGTTCATATATTCGCCACTGTTATTAATCTTGAGGGGGAATTAAACTCAGGTCGCCGAGTTCGTAGTGCAATGCGTTAACTACTCCACTGCTGCTCCCCACTTACACACAAAACACGCCATTTCACACACACCATACATACCTGTACACAACACAATTTCACACATACCCACACAAAAGCAAAGATCCCACATATAGCCTTAATATACTGTTGGGGCAAGTGCTGTTCGCCACCTCCGAAACATATCACACATACACACCATCACACACCCACATCACGTAAGACGCACCCCACCATACGTCACACAGCACATACAGCATGTTGTTGAATATCTACCACGCAAACCACCAGAATACATTACCGTAGTAAGGCCGCCTGGCATGAACTCAAACCGAAACACCGTCTCAACGGAACGCAGTGCGAGCCACGTTGACCCCAAGCCAACCCCCCCACGCCGTCACACAGCGACCTGCTGCTCGTCCTCGCCGCCAGCCACTGTCACGAGCCTCTCGCACGTCCAATTCCACACGCTCTAGAATCGTGTCATTTTCTCCCGAGCCGCACACACCGGCTCGTGATGAAAATAATAAAATAACGTCCCATTTATAACGTACACAGAATTGGTGCCACATCAAGCCACTAACGCAAGCGAGGGGCGTGGAGTGTCGTCACTCTAGCAGCATGTCAGCGTTTACTCTGCAGCACAGCAAAGAATGCTGGGCAGCTTCTTGCACCAGTGATCTGGGAGCATTTTTTTGGCTAAATATGGCCTAAGGCGAGGAGCACCGAACTCCGTGTCGGCATGGCAGTGGTGGGAGGAAGAGATGGTGTCGGCTCCACTCCCCTTTTGTGCTGCCACCGGTGAACTCGACCCGCATGTCTATCGAGGTCTCCCTGGTTGAGAGGAGGATGTGTGTGTGCGTGCGTGGACGTGTGAGATTAGGTGGAAGCAGGAAGACACATCTGTCTAAACATGGGCGTGTATTCATGTCTGGGCAGTGACTGTGTGCAAGTTAACTTACGTAAGCGGACTCGAACACGTGCACGCCACACGCACGCTTTCGCACGCGTCCGCACGCGTTCGTGCGTTCGTGCACTCACGCCGACCGCGACTCCCTGTGAGTGCACAGAGCAACTAGGAGATGACCAAGCCTCGGGTTAGCCCAGGAGGAATCTCAGAAGCTCGTCGTGAGTGCAGCGTCTGTCCTTCTTAAACACCGCTTGAATTATACATGCAGTAATATGCATTACAAGACATTGGCTAAGTCTACATGAATAATGTATCCGGTTCACCTTGCCCATAGGCTCCAGGTGCATTATTTAAATGGAACCGGGGCCTGTGACACGTGCCCGTCACGGGAGGACACGGCACTCGAACGCATCACCCCGAACCCAGAAGCGCCACTGCGCTCCTCCTGTTGACGACGGTGCAACGGGTGATGGAGGAGCCAGCGTCGGGCGTCATTTCAGAATGTACCCTCACGCCTCCGAGACGATCCTCCAAAACACGTGGAATAAAAATAGCACCAGCAATTCTGGTGTCCAGGCCCCGTGCTCTCCGATAACGACGCCATCCGTCGCCCTCGTCTTCCGATGCCACGGCTCCCCCTCCTCGGGTCCACATCTCGCCACAAATCCTCCGTGAAAAATGCCACCAACGACGAGGCAGGCAGCCGGCCGCCTCAGCCGCCTTTCTCTGCTCACAAGGTCACCGCTGCGGCAGTGCACTCATTGTTAATGCGTTTCTAAAGCGGGAGATTATGAACCTTGATCATTTGAACTGTACTGCGTTCCTATGAACCCTGTAGTGAACCAGGAAGGCAAAGGTCTGCAGGTCCCCATCCGCGCCGTGCAGAGCGGCCGCCTGGAGGCGGTGGTTACGCGCGGCCACGTCACACGAGCATCACCCGGTGGTCGCCATGGAAACCTCGGCTCAGAGGCAGCTGCGAGAAGCTGTTGCAGAAAAACACCCCCGAGCAGAACGGGCCCCCCCCCGCCCCCCACAGAGACAGCGGCCACACACACACAAACCCACGGGCACCACACACATCCACGATTACATACACGCGCCCCCTGTCTAGCGAAATCCCCAAGTGGTGGTACTCCTGGTCCCCGTGGGGAGGTTGAATACCCACGGCCACCGATGGGGCCACTGCCCACTCACGCAAGCAACCACTAATCCACTGGCCACTGTAATCTTTAGCAGTTACCAAGGACAGTGCTCACACGCACGTACGTGCATGTGCACACACTCACGTGACGCTAACCCCTTCTGAGGACAAATAATGTTCAAAGAGACGGCATCATATAAAATCACGTGGATGAGAGTGCAGTCATCATTAACCTTGCTCTGACATGCCCTCCCATCACACCTGCACCCATCACAGCTGCCCACCCATCACGCAAAAGGTGGGGAAATGACAGGTGCCAGAGGAGAACGAATAAGCAAAGCCAAATTTGCACTGGATTTTCTTGAAGACAGCTCTGCAATTCCAGAGCTGGTTCCCCACAGCACCAGGAGGTAACACAAGCTGACGGTCGCTCCATCAGCGAGGACAAGCACGGTTCTCGACAAACATTTAAAGTGGCTGCACATGCAGCGCTGTGGCACCAGTCACTGCCATTCCCCACAGAAATGCACGAGGTTGCAGTTTGTGCAAATTTAGTGATGTTTATTGCAATGTATTTTTAACTTGGTTATAGAAACACTGGCAAGTTAGAATGTTATTGGTGAAAACGAAAGAACCATTCTGTGTTTTTTGGTGTATGCAGACCGCAGTGTTTACATCGTCAGCTTTTGAACCCAGAGGATGCCATTCCCTTACTGACCCCTTGCCCATTAACATAATTGCCTCTTGGGACCTAATAGAGCTTAATCGGGGCGCAGCGCCTGATCCCACGTGCACGTAGGCCCCAAATGCAGAAGGGCCTCCATGCAAGATGACGTAGCGAGTCTCCCTAGCATTCTGCAGATGCATGGGCCCTCTCGGGTCCCATGCTGTAGTTGAGGCGACCAAAAGGGAGGTCATTAGAACCAGGGTTGAGCAAGTCACCGTCCGCTCTACGAGCTCGTTTTACAGTTGCAGCGAGGTTAAACATTAAATTGGTCAGAGTAGCATGCTGGACCATTTCCAGGACACAGTAGCAATCATCCGGCGTGGTAAGTGGGCGCCACAGCTGTCGCTCTGGCACAGGGTCAAACACGCGGGGGCTGCACGTGGGTTTACACGAACAGCGGTAGTTACTGCAGTGCATTAACACTGTCATCGTGCCTAAAATGTTAGCCCATGTATGAGGCTCAGAGCGATTGGGCACGACCACCATGATGATCACAACAACCGCAAAAACCCCACACTCCTCCTCCTCCCGGGACACATTTCAGGAACTCGGCCAATGCATGTATGTATATATGTTCAACTTTTTTAGCACCGTACGTAGCCAGTGTTATGTGACACGGAAACAAGATCGCTACGCATTCTCCAGGACACATCTGTCGTGAGCTGCATCTGGCTATAAATAACGGCAGAATTTTGAGTTATGTTAGTTTCTACCACAACAACCCAATCCAAATGTTCACTACAGCTGGTCCAAAATACCACAGCGCAGGTTATTTTCTGAACCAAGCCTCGTTCTCCCATCTCCATGTTCTCACTATACCAGCTTCCATTCACGAGGGTGTGGACGACAAGATCTTTGAGCTCACATTCAAATTCATCCACGGCCTTGACCCCCCTCCTCACTACCCCTGCAGCCTCCTCCACTGCATGTCCTAGCAGCTCCCCCTCTGGTCCATCTGCTCCACGAATTCTGGCCACCTTGTTTCCAGGATCCACTGCTTTGCCATTTGTGGAGGCTGTTTTAGCTGTAAGTCTCTGCGAGTATATTTGCCTTAATGTGGGTCTTTGCGTCTCTCGTGAATATACTTGCCTCTATGGGTTGGTGGGTTGCTCCTTTAACCACGACACTCCCCCCTATCCTCTGGAACTCCCTTCCCAGGCAACTCCGCCTGGTCCTCTCTCTTGATTTCAAGTCTCTCCTCAAAACGTCGTTTAATCCTGCCTTTTGGACCCCATTAATTGCTTCCTTTTGGTGAGTGGATAAGTGAATAGGTGAACATGTGGGTAAGTGGATGAGCATGTGAATGAGTGTGGGGTAGGTGTGTAGGTGAATGGGTGTGTGAGTGAGCGTGTGGGCTTCGCTAGGTATGTTGAACTTCTTTCGCACGTCGCCTACCGTGCTCATCGGAGGTGCAGGACAACAAACCCAGCGACCCGAGTTCGATTCCCACTTATGGGCAACACCAGTGACGATTATCTGAACCGGTCCTCGGCCTCCCATAGGTCGACTCAGCCTCAAATGAGTACCTGGTGTGGTGTGTAAACAACATCACTTGGGAGACAAAGGCGGCCAGACGTGGTGCTTGCCACCCACCCCCTCATGTGCCATGCCGGCCTTCATAGGTGCTCGCTAACAGCACTTGCCCCAGCAGTTTGTTAAGGCTATAGGGGGACATTTGGCATTGGTGAGTGGGCAAATTGCTCTCAAAATCTCTGACTTAGTCGCCTGCTTACACGTGGAAGTCTCTGGTTGAAGAGGCGTCCACATAAGGGATTCAGTTACATGCCACGAAGTTGTGCAACTTACTGCTCAGGTGTCAACCTGCCAATTTACATCCCTGACAAGTCAAGTCCTGCACCCAGCTCACGCGTCCATGAATCAGCTCAGGGCGGCTCAGCAACTATGGGCCGGCTACACCAAGCAGCAGGAGGAGCAGCAGCAAGAGGATGAGGAGCAGCAGGAGGATGAGGGGATGCCTCTGCAACAGCACGGGGCCTTGCACCGTCCACTGCTGCTGGTTGCTCTCAGCGAGGGGGCGCGGGTCCCCAAGTCTCAATTTACAACAACAAATCGGCACCTGATTTTGCTCCGGTTCCACAGCGATAACCCTGGACCTGGCGGCCTCCCACTTACAGCTCTAATCTGATTACGCGGCCATAAACTTCACTTTAACAGCCTAACAGCCTCGCGTCCCATCACTCACACCGCGCTCGACCACTCTCACACACATTCACCTCGCTCCCACGCACCCCCATGCACCCACCCCTCACACAACGCGATTCACTCTCCACGCCATTCCCGCACGGAATTCACACCTCAACGCCAATTCCCAGGAACGCCTCCTGACACCCCCCCCCCAGGTCGCCCCCTGTATGTCAGATGCCACAGGTCCCCCTTGTTTCCTAGGTCCCCCCGACTTCCAGGAGGTCCCAGGTCCAACCCTGACCTCCCAGGTCCAACCCTGACCTTCCAGGTCCCCACTGACTTCACAGCCCCCCCCCCCCCCAGGCTGACTTCACAGCCCCCCCCCCCAGGCTGACTTCACAGCCCCCCCCCCCAGGCTGACTCTAGCAGACAGCGACATGACACGGGGGGGGGGGGGCTCTCTATGGCCCCACCGCTCCGCCACGCGTGGACGAGACGATGGGAGAGACGCTGGGGACAGGGGCCGCGCCTGTCGTTCCTGTGAAGGAATGATGACCCCCCCCTGTGAGATGATGACCCCCCCTGTGAGATGATGACCCCCCCTGTGAGATGATGACCCCTCCTGAGATGATGATGACCCCTGTGAGATGATGACCCCCCCTGTGAGATGATGACCCCTCGTGAGATGATGATGACCCCTGTGAGATGATGACCCCCCCCCCCCTGTGAGATGATGATGACCCCTGTGAGAGGATGACCCCCCTGTGAGATGGTGATGACCCCTGTGAGATGATGATGACCCCTGTGAGGGGATGACCCCCCCTGTGAGATGATGATGATGATGACCCCCCTGAGGGGATCAATCCGTGCATGTGGCGATCAGCGGCCCTGACCCACGTAGGAACGGCATCCCCGCTCCCCGGACTCTCCCCCCTCACCTCCTCCCCCACTCTACCAACACCGAACCCCCTTTCCTGTCTCCCAATGGCTGCTGCCCCTGCAGCCCGCGCCCCCCGCTACCCGCTACTCCACCACCGCCGCCGCCGCCGCCGAGCCCCGTTATGATGGTGGCCGTCCACGTACCGAGATCCCGGGGCCGCGCCTGACCGCCTGGAGCGACCCGCGCCTCCCGGGCCCCCAACCCGCGGGGCCCGAGCGCGGAGCGGCCCCGGCCGCCATTTCAAGCCGCAGGCTCAGGGATGGCTGCCGCTGATGCTGCTGCTGCTGATGATGCTGCTGCTGATGATGCCGCTGATGCAGATCCCGCTGCTGTTTGTCGGGGCGGCCCCGCTCGGCGGCTCCAGCCCCGACTCATTCAGGCGGGGACTGAAAGCGACGGGGATAGAAAACTCCCTCTAGTGGTGCAAGTGTGTGCACTCACCCAGCGTGCAGAACACCCCCCCACCCACTCACCCCCCACCCACCCCCCACTCACTCCCCCACCACCCACTCACCCCCCACCCACCACTCAGCCCCACCCCCCACCACTCACCCACCACACACACCCACCACACACCCACCCAATACACTCACCCCCACCCACCCCCCACTCACTCCCCCACCACCCACTCACCCACCCCCCACCACTCAGCCCCACCCCCCACCACTCACCCACCACACACACCCACCACACACCCCACCCACAACACTCACCCCCACCCACCCCCCACTCACTCCCCCACCACCCACTCACCCACCCCCCACCACTCAGCCCCACCCCCCACCACTCACCCACCACACACACCCACCACACACACCCACCCACAACACTCACCCCCACCCACCCCCCACTCACTCCCTCACCACCCACTCACCCACCCCCCACCACTCAGCCCCACCCCCCACCACTCACCCACCACACACACCCAGCCACAACACTCACCCCCACCCACCCCCCACTCACTCCCCCACCACCCACTCACCCACCCCCCACCACTCAGCCCCACCCCCCACCACTCACCCACCACCCACACACACCCACCACACACACCCACCCCCACCCGCAACACTCACCACGCAGTACACTCACCACGCAGTACACTCACCATACGGTACTCACCACACAGTACACTCACCATACTGTACACTCACCACACAGTACACTCACCATACTGTACACTCACTACACAGTACACTCACCACACAGTACACTCACCACACAGTACACTCACCATACTGTACACTCACCACACAGTACACTCACCATACTGTACACTCACTACGCAGTACACTCACCACGCAGTACACTCACCACACTGTACACTCACCACACAGTACACTCACCATACTGTACACTCACCACACAGTACACTCACCATACTGTACACTCACTACGCAGTACACTCACCACGCAGTACACTCACCACACAGTACACTCACCACACAGTACACTCACCACACAGTACACTCACCATACTGTACACTCACTACGCAGTACACTCACCACGCAGTACACTCACCACACAGTACACTCACCATACTGTACACTCACTACGCAGTACACTCACCATACTGTACACTCACCATACTGTACACTCACCACACAGTACACTCACCATACTGTACACTCACTACGCAGTACACTCACCACGCAGTACACTCACCACGCAGTACACTCACCACGCAGTACACTCACCACGCAGTACACTCACCACGCAGTACACTCACCATACGCAGTACACTCACCACGCAGTACACTCACCACGCAGTACACTCACCACGCAGTACACTCACCACGCAGTACACTCACCACGCAGTACACATGTTTGTGTGACGTCACGTCCGCCCCGGCGGTTGTTTCCGGCAGGATTCTTGGGTTCCCCGAACGGGCTTCCCCAACCTGAGGCCGGCTGCGGTCCCCGCGTCGTCTCCCTCCCGCGTCTCGCCGCGTCTCGCCAGCGCCCTTCTCTCCCCGGCGGTGTCCCAGTCCCGGCGGTGCATCTGTCGCAGGCTCATCTCGCCACGCTATCGGTGACCGCACGTGGCCCCCATGCCTCCCCGCATTCTGTGGTGGGGCCCTGTGGCCTCCTGCCGCGCCGTCTCCTCGTTCTTCAGCTTCTGTTCCGTCGCGGCCCGGGGCTCGCGGGGGGCCCCCGTGTGGGCCCCCCTCGGCCCCCGAGGGCCGGGGGCCCCCCGAGGGAAGGCGTCAGGGCCGAGGTTGGAGGAGCTGCGCGAGGAGGAGCTGAGGGAGCAGTTCGTGCGCGGGAGCGGCCCCGGGGGCCAGGCCACCAACAAGACGAGCAACTGCGTGGTGCTCAAGCACCTGCCCTCGGGCATCGTGGTCAAGGCACGCACGGCCCCCCCCTCCTCTACTCTGACAGGGGCTCTCTCGCCTGTGACATCGGTGCATGGTAGTGGGCACCGGTGTGTCCGTGTGTGTGGTGCATGGTAGCGTGTTCGTTGTGTATCGGTAGATGTTCGTGTCTATTGGTCACCACACACAAACGCGCTTGTGTGAGGAGCGGTAGTGTAGCGGTTCGCGCTACGTACCCGGCAACCCGAGTTGGATTCCTGTTCACGGCCAATACCAGCGACGATGATATGAACTTGTCCTGAGCCTCAAATGAAAACCGCGTGCAGCATGTCCACAGTCCATTACAGCTATACGGGGGGATCTGTGGCAGTGTTTCGTGCACAGTTGCATTAACTCTAAGCCTGCAGCACGAGTTGGTGTGACCGGCATTGACCTCTACTGGACATGCCGCACCATCAGCCCCACGAGCAGCATTGGGGAGGACGCAGGCAACCCACTCACCTGGCCAGGGAAATTATCGGCTCTCCTGTCCACTTCCTGGCCACCGAAACTTAAGCGCAGGCCACACTGTCAATCCAACCTAAAAACTTAGTCCAGGTATCCCCTATACCCACTCTCGACTCAGACCATGATCCCTTCCTCTGGGGTCAATACAATGGCTGCCATTTGTATATAGAACTTCATTTCGCACCATACGCAGCCAACAGACTTTGTGGGAAGCTAACAGTGGTTGTCCTGAATATTCTCACCCAGCCATAGGAACGTGGAATGTCCATCACTGGCTCAGGGCTGTAAACAGGAGAGAAGCACTGCCGTAATGCTCATTTAATTAACAACTAAATTTGATCTCTTGAAACGGCTGTGTTGTTACCCGTGCCACATTGGAAGGGCTCGGCTTCTGATGGGTGTCGCTCGTGACGTTTGCTCAGGTTTTTTGTCGTCAGTAGCCTGCGGTAGGTGGCACGGTAGCTCGTAAGAGCAGACGTGCGAGCCTCGGCGAGAGGAGGAATACTGGATGTGGTGTGAAACGATGGCTTGCGTGCAACCCACAGTGCCACCAGACACGCTCGCTGGAGACCAATCGCAAGCTGGCACGCGGGATTCTGCGCGCGAAGCTGGACGAGCACACCCATGGGGACGCGAGCGCCGTGCGGCTGCAGCGGCTGGAAGGCCAGCGGCAGCGCGCCGCTGCCAAGGCGATCAGCCGTCGCTCGCTCGAGCGCAAGCGGGCATTCCAGTCGCTCGACCCAACCAGCACGAGCCCCTGACGGCACCTGCGCTGCCGGGATGTCACTGTGGGCAATGAGGCCGCAACGTCCAAAGAACTTGAATGAGAAGTATATTTTAAGGCAATGTTATCTCCAATATCCCAAATCTCAGAAAAAGCATAGGAATGGCTAAATCACTTACAATTCAGTCTCTAAAGGTTGCACTTGATTTGCCGTATGTGAGAAGAAGAGTGAATAGTTCACTGGTCAACGCAGAGAGTGGGGCAGCCTATGAGAGCAACATCTCTGAAGAAGCACCGCCGTGTAGCCCTGAACTGTGCTGGATAGGAACCGCCACAGTAGTCTGTCCTCGGTGAGACACGAAACAAAATGTGTTGCGACCCCGTGACATTGGAAACAATCGGCCACGTGCGCTTGCGTCGCAGTCCAAATTTGAGAAATGACCGGCAAATTCCAGTCCCCGACTGCGTCGCAAGCTTGCGAGAGGTGGCGGCGACGTGGAGAGGGAGGCCTTCATGCAGCAGTGGATTGCTCGTGGCTGATGATGAAGGCATAAAACTTAAAAGTTGGAGCAATTTATTTGTATGGTTAAGGGCATTATTTGATAACGCATTTGAATATTTACGTAATTCACTTTTACCGCATAAGGATATTGGAACTGCTAAAGTGATGCCAACAAGGGAGATATCTGGTCTGAGCCCTCGGACTTAGGCTGTTGCCTTGCTTTGGAGTTATTGCATAACCATGTTGGATATTTACCCAGGAAAATATCACCAAGTCAAAAGACCTTTGCAGGAGGGACCCTGTATCAGGATTTGATCCCAATGTATTGCATGTGTTAGAAAACTGGAGCCCAAATTGAAAACCCATACGGGGAGGGGTAACGCAGAATAGTGCAACTTCGTGGCCCACCTTATGGCCCCAAGCCCCCTTCTGGCCAGACCTGCGTATCCTCTAAAATATGACAAAATCATGCACATTTAATGCAGTGTGATCGTAAGCAAAAGCATAAAAAACAATTACTCATCAGTATTTGCAGTTGTTAGAATATGTACACGTATTACACATGTACTTCATTTTCTTTAAGATTTTCTTAGGTGTTCATGATCGTACATGATATCTCCAAATGTGTCAAAATGGAGCGAAGAAAACAGTCCCATGACGAGTGTATACACAACAATGTCTGTGTAATGTGCTTCGTAATTGTTTATGACCACAATGTTTGCAACTTGTTTGTGATTGAAGCAATCCAGAACATGCAGAAAAATATCGACTCTTCACACCTTGATGCAACAGTGAAATAAAAGGAATGTTTGAAAGTATTACTTTATTTTGCAAAAGGTGTTGTATAAAAATGAGACAGACCGGGCTTAAATTACACAACCCTAATCAACACAACATCCACGGTGGTCGGCAGTTGCCTCTCAAGGCTGCAGGAGCTCCGAGCTGGTACCACGTGCCATCTGCGAGTGCACTTCCCGCTAAGACGGTAGGGCACCCGAGACCTTTATAGATTGGCGCTTGTGGCAAGACGTCGTTGAGACGGTGAAAACCGGTACCCAAGTGTGTGCCGAACCTTGCCTCGATGGGCGCTGTTTTAGGAACGCGCGGATCGTTCCGTCTCGGCCAGACACTCGCGCACAAGCGCGCGCGCGTGCATGATGCCTGGAAAGAAACACACAACAAGATCCCCCTATTTGCGAGTCCATGGGTTTTTGAGTCTTTGCAAGTCTAATTGTGACCACGGTGGAGTGAAATCCATCACTCGGATTGCTGATCATGGCCAATCATACACTTGCAGTTGGCTACGAATGGAACCATCTGGCGTCCCCAGATACGAACGAGTGTCTTCTCCAAACTTGCATCGCACAGCTCCAAACTAGATTGCTTTTCAAATATTCTTAGGTTTTTTCGGTAAAGTCACGTAGGAAAAACATTAAAATTAATAAAAATAAAAAAATATATAAAATAAAAAAATAAAAATCACGACGTTTCGGAGGCAACACAAGCTTCCGTCTTTTCAAATGATACACGAACGCAATCCACCCAAGTGGCTCAGCGGTATTGCGAGCGGCTCGCAACTGGAAGGTTCTGAGATCAAAACCTGGTTGGGAAGGGACTGACTTAACCCATCATCAACCCCCTCTGAGGTCAATAAAAAATGGCATTGTGGCAAAGAACTGTTTTGTGCTGTCAGGTTTTCCTCCACTGCCTCAAGAGACGAGCAAATGCCTTCCTCACTTCAGCAGGTACTCGCTGTGACTTTACATTCGTGAAGATGCGCGATTGGTGAGTGGCGCTGGCCATGCGAGTCGCACTGTGCTCACCGCGCTTGAGCCGCTCCGTGGCGCTCTTGCTCCCCGCGTACGTGGGGCGGATGTCGCGGCCCAGCTCCTCGATGACGGCCAGCAGCTCGGCGTATTTGCTCTGTGGCGGCTGCTGTGGGCCCCCTCCAGCCTCAACACAACACACGCGGTCAACACGCGCGTGTGAGCAGCACACCAACCATTCCACATCCCCCAACCCCGCGTGGCGACCGGAGCTCTTTGGCCGATGCACACCACCACCAGCTCAATAACTGTGGCCATGTTTTGTCTTTCAGACAACCGACTCCATTGTGTTGAAAAATCGGATTTGCCTGCAAACATGTTTTGTTATTCTTAGGTTTTTTCGGTAAAGTCACGTAGGTAAAAAACATTAAAAAGTAAAATAAAATAAAAATCACGACGTTTCAGAGGCAACACAAGCTTCCGTCTTCAGGTGGTACCGTCACAGCCACGACAGCTGTATCAAGTAAATGAGAGATTGCAGAAGCTACCACTCCGTTTATATAATGGTTGGAGAAGGTGGTGGGGCAAGGGCCGCATACTTTTATTAATATGGTAAGGTGAGGCTTAAGACTAAGAATAGACTCCATAACAAAGGCTGAGCCTTTGTTATGGAGAGGTGCGGTTTATGACTCAACCTGTAACAGGGAGACCACCACTAGACATGGTAAAACTGTGATGGTTGTCTGTCAAATAAGATTGGCAAATAAGTGTAGTTAAATCTTTTTTGCATGGTTAATCACATCTTTCCAATGATTACTCAGTTTGTAACCGTCATCACGGTTGAAATTATGTCTGTGTTTGTATATTTGTATGGCTTCGTGTACAAACCTTTGATGGTAGCCAGGAGGTTTGCAGAGAACCTTGGTCTCGGAAAATACAATTTCATGAGAGCCCACCGAGTTGAGGCAATGAATGGCAACGGCCGAAGAATCAGTTCTGCCGTGTTTCAGATCTGACTTGTGCTCGCGGACACGATCAGAAACATGACGTTTCGTTTCTCCAATGTAGCAATCACCACAAATGCAACTCAATTTGTAGACTCCAGGATACTGTAAGTCAGGAACGACATCCTTCACAGATGGAATAAAATCACGGATTTTATGCACTGTACTGAATCGGACTTGGATCTTATGTTTGTTTAGAATTTTGGAGATCTTTTTGGTCACGCCTGGTATGTATGGCAACGTGATAGTTTTGGTCGGAGTTTCATGTGGCTGTTTCTGTATGGTGGGAGAAACAGCTTGGCGGATAGTGCGGTCAGAGTATCCGTTCATCCTGAGGGCCCGATGTACATGTCTTAATTCACCGGCCAGGTGGTGTTGGTCAGAAATGCATGGGCTCTGTGGTATAGCGTTTTGATGAGAGAATTCTTTTGAGATAGGTGGTGGTGGGAATCCGGTTTCAAGTAGGAATCTGTGTGGGTGGCTTTCCTGTAGACAGAATGTCCCAAGGATCCGTCAGGCCTCCTCTCAAACAGAATATCCAAGAATGGTAGTTTACCGTCTTTCTCCACTTCCATGGTGAATCTGATGGATGGGTGTCTAGAATTGATGTGGTCCAAGAAGTGGTTCAATGCTGGGAGGCCATGTGCCCAGATGACGAAAGTGTCGTCCACATACCTCTTCCACAAGGAAGGACGCAGGGTGGATGTCTGGATGGCGTCCGATTCAAACTTATGTTGCAATCGGTTCTCAACTGATTGATTTACTCATTGGACTCGCTGGCCGCTGCAAACCTGCACCTCCGATTAGCATGGTTGGCTACGTACAGTGTGAAAGAAGTTTAACAAACATACAACCTCCATAAATAATTACTGTGTTCGGGCCCATCCGTGCATTAGCAGCCTACAAGTCTATTGGACGTGACCATCTCCCTCCTTGCCAACCAGCCACTGACGTCCACGAGAGCACATCCCTCGCATGTGCGTGGGATCCAGACACGGAGGGGGGGGGGTGTGACGTCACTATGACGTACGCACACCTGGCAGGCAGACAGGAATCCAGGGCGGAAGTTATCCAGCAAAAACTTGTTTCTCTTATCGTATAGACTGCTCTAAAAGCGCAGTCATTGTATTTATTTGAAGGGCATGAGAATGCCGAACTTGCGTGTTACCGACCGATCTAAATAGCTGTGAAATGGGCAATATAAAATTCGGTGTCTTGTGAAAAAACACGCTCACATTGACTTGCCGGAGAGCAGATCCATTCGTGACCCGCGACTATGAATCGGTTTGGCAACCTTGTGACGCATTCGGCCAGAGGTAATAACAGAGGTCAAACTCCGAATTGTGATGAGGAATGACCCGTTAGGGTCCGCGTCGGGTGCCCGGGGAGCAGCCACCAGGGACTCACCACGGAGAGGTATCCCAGAGAGGGGGGGCCGTAGTCGCTGAAGAGGGGGCGAGGGAGCGGCTGCGCCGCGGGGCCTGGGGACGGGACACCGCCCCCCCCCCCTGCAGGGAGACCACGAGAACCAGGACCAACCGCACTCACCAACCACGTCTCTAAATGTGGAGGGAAAAACCGGAGGACCCGGAGAAAAGTCCACGCGGACCACGGGAAGAACACGCACACCCCAAATACACAACAGGCGTCAGGTTCAGGATCTCACTCACGCGTCCTGCATAACAGGCGAGGGAGTTCACATCCCGCCACTCAACATCCACCAGGCGTCCCACACTCACCAATCACCACCACCACACTCACCAACCACCACCACCACACTCACCAACCACCACCACCACACTCACCAACCACCACCACCACACTCACCAACCACCACCACCACACTCACCAACCACCACCATCACACTCACCAACCACCACCATCACACTCACCAACCACCACCATCACACTCACCAACCACCACCACCACACCAACCACGACCACCACACTCACCACCACCATCACACTCACCACCACCACCACCACACTCACCACCACCACCATCACACTCACCACCACCACCATCACACTCACCAACCACCACCATCACACTCATCAACCACCACCACCACACTCACCAACCACCACCACCACACTCACCAACCACCACCACCACACTCACCAACCACCACCACCACACTCACCAACCACCACCACCACACTCACCAACCACCACCATCACACTCACCAACCACCACCATCACACTCACCAACCACCATCACACTCATCAACCACCACCATCACACTCACCAACCACCACCATCACACTCACCAACCACCACCATCACACTCACCAACCACCACCATCACACTCACCAACCACCACCACCACACTCACCACCCACCATCACACCAACCACCACCACCACCACACTCACCAACCACCACCACCACACTCACCAACCACCACCACACTCACCAACCACCACACACTCACCAACACCACCACACTCACCAACCACCACCACCACACTCACCAACCACCACCACCACACTCACCAACCACCACCACCACACTCACCAACCACCACCACCACACTCACCAACCACCACCACCACACTCACCAACCACCACCACCACACTCAACAACTAACACAACCACACTCACCAACCACCACCACACTCACCAACCACCACCACACTCACCACCACCACCACCACACTCACCAACCACCACCATCACACTCACCAACCACCACCATCACACTCACCAACCACCACCATCACACTCACCAACCACCACCATCACACTCACCAACCACCACCATCACACTCACCAACTACCACCACCACCACACTCACCAACCACCACCACCACCACACTCACCAATCACACTCACTAACCACCACCATCACCAACCACCACCATCACACTCACCAACCACCACCACCACACTCTCCAACCACCACCATCACACTCTCCAACCACCACCATCACACTCACCAACCACCACCATCACACTCACCAACCACCATCACACACACCAACCACCACCACCACACTCTCCAACCACCACCATCACACTCACCAACCACCACCACCACACTCACCAACCACCACCACCACACTCACCAACCACCATCACACTCACCAACCACCACCACCACCACACTCACCAACCACCACCATCACACTCACCAACCACCATCACACTCACCAACCACCACCATCACACTCACCAACCACCACCACCACACTCACCACCACCATCACACTCACCACCACCACCACACTCACCACCACCATGATACTCACCACCACCACCACACTCACCACCACCACCACACTCACCACCACCATGATACTCACCAACTCTCCCACTCTCACCTTGACTGTTCACCGGGAGAGGCGCGGGGGACGAGGAGTTGGGCTTGAACGACATCGCAGCGCAGAGCCGGGGCGAGGCGGACGATGATGAAGGCGTCAGATGATGAATAATGGGAGAGAATGATATGTGGATGGGATAGCGAGACAATGGTAATGAAGCGCGAATCGGTGGATGAGCTGGGTTATATTGCTGCTGCTGCTGCTGTTGTTGTTGATGATGATGATGATGCTGCTGCTGTTGATGATGCTGATGCTGCTGTTGTTGATGCTAGGCTGTTGTTGATGATGCTGCTGATGCTGCTGCTGTTATTGTTGTTGATGCCACGGCTGTGGTTGATGTTGATGATGCTGCTACGGCTGTGGTTGATGATGCTGCTACGGCTGTGGTTGATGTTGATGATGCTGCTACGGCTGTGGTTGATGATGCTGCTACGGCTGTGGTTGATGTTGATGATGCTGCTACGGCTGTGGTTGATGATGCTGCTACGGCTGTGGTTGATGATGCTGCTACGGCTGTTGTTGATGTTGATGATGCTGCTACGGCTGTGGGTGTCGCTGGCCCCGCAAAGCCGCCGGAAGGTCTCGGCTTTGTCGCCGGTAGAAATGGCGGCGTGACCCCGGAAGCCGGCGCGGGGTCCGCGGGAGAGGAAACGAAGCTGGGCACGAGGAGGAGCGGAGAGGGAGCGGAGGACGACGCGAGGGGCAGTGAGGAGGAGAGGGACTGACATTTACTTAAAATAACAGAAGTGAAACTCCGAGGCACGCGTTCAGGGTTTATCTTCCGCTTCCGGGTGGCCCCACCCCCCACGTGGCCCCACCCCCCACGTGGCCCCACCCCCCACGTGGCCCCACCCCCCACGTGGCCCCACCCCCCACGTGGCCCCACCCCCCACGTGGCCCCACCCCCCACGTGGCCCCACCCCCCACGTGGCCCCACCCCCCACGTGGCCCCACCCCCCACGTGGCCCCACCCCCCACGTGGCCCCACCCTGTGGGATTTAAACCTCGCACGGGGAGAGGCAGCGAGCTCCAGGGAGCGCTCTTTGAGGTGGTTTTGGTTTCCTCTTCCACGTTGGCCAGGACACGTATTGGAACAGGTCTCCCACTCTACCCCACCACACGCGGCCTGCCGATCAAACACTGCCAGGAACCCATTTGGACACCGCGGCAGACGGGGTGAAGTGGGGGGGGGGGGTTAAATAAAGAAGAGTTGGCTGTGTTGTGATCTGTAGTTGTTAGATGATCAGTGACGATGAAACGAAACAAGCCTGGTATAGAGTTTCTCTGGGCCATTTGGGAAGAGGCGGCATGGAAACATGGAGCGTTTAAACCCTCGCGCATTTAACAGTGCCTGTTGGAGGCCCCCTTACACCAGCGTAGGCCTCGGCAGGGCAAGGTGAAAACAACGAGCCTACCTTTTACCCTTACCCCATACACATTACCCGATTACATGGTAATTACTGCGGAACTACTGCACGTGAACAAGGTTTAACACATTCCTGCGGAGGGAGCTGGTAGGGACGTTGGGTTGCTCGGTCAATGGCCAGGGTCAACGGCAGCGTGGTGTATTCCGCAAATATGGCCGACTGAGGGCATATAGTTGTATCCTCAAATCTTGTAACTCAATTGTAACCCACTTCCCAATGTGGTATCGACTGCAAACTTGGTATACTTATGTCATACTGATGACAACACTATATTCTATCATAAAAATTTTTTAACATTCTTTTTTATGTTATGCTTCGGCTTGGGTCAAATTGTCCACGGTCAACTGACGGCTGTAATTGGCCATGCTCCCTTACGTTATGGCAAGCTTCGGGACCACTTCCTGGAGTTCTGCCAGTACTAGTACATTTAATAAAAGCGTGTTTTTAAAAAAGTTTTTTTAAAATATTACTTATTAAATGGAGGCCACAGACTGCGCCACAGAGCTTTTAGCGGTAAACAAGGTATCGTATTTACCGGGTAATACTTCGCGCTACCTTTACCCTACCGGGTAACTCTTCCGAGCTACCTTTACCCTTACCCTTTACCTTACCCCTTGGCATGTCGACACCTTTACCCTTTTACCCAGTAAAAAGGGTAAATTACCTTGCCGAGGCCTACACCAGAGAGACCTTGGCTCCTCTCGAGAGGGCTCGCCCGGTTAATAATACAAATTGTAACATGCACAATATTTCACAGACATAAGTGAGGCACGGAGCCAAGCGATGTCACTCTAAAGCCTAGTAAGTGTCTCTAGTCTGCAGACTAAACACTGCGGATGTGAAGCAAGGCATTAAATAACCTTCCTTGACATTTGGCCAGCATGGAAAAGTAGGCCAAAAACACCCTCTAGAAGGGCAGGTCGGGTACCGGCTTCTGCGAGAGCCGCTGTGTGGAGCACCACCATGACAGTGATTCACGACTAAGGAGGGTGAACTCGGGCAGGGGGGGGCACAGGAAAGTTTTGTGGTGCAGGGCCCAACCCAGCACCCCCCCCCCCAGCGCCGGCCTTGCACGCGGGGCTCACTAGAGCTCGGTCTGGTCGAGGACAAGGTGCACGGCTGCACCTTTATCTGAGAACATACAGACGCACACCATGGGAGCAAAACGGGCAGCATCTTTTATTCCACGGATTATCTTACAGACGGTGTTGCTGGGAAGGGGGCAGCATGAGTCGAAAATTTACACAGAAAACCTCGGGCAGCTCCAGAGTGAGAGCACAGTGGAGGCGCTGGGGGGATGGTGGAAGGGGTGGAATTAACTTAAACTAAAACGGGCAACGACCTGGATTGACCAACCCAGCCATGGCGACTGGGAGCTGCGGTCGAGAGCTCTCCTCAGATGATTCCCCGGCCTGGCAGTTCCACTCACTCGGCCAATAACTATACACATTCCAAAACAGCCATAGTACTTACCACAGGGCGACTGTTAACGCCGGAGTTTAATTTAAACGAGGGCATAAGCCTTACGATCTCTGCCATCCGGCACTACGGGGACGTCGATTTCTACGCAAGGCGGGCTCTAAGTGTGCGCGGGCGTCAACGCGTGCGATGGCAGCGAGCCAGGTGCAGCTTGCTGCTGCTGCTGCTGCTCCACAGATGCCAGCACGCAAGCGAGAAGCGGTACGCAGCTTTGCGGGATAATCAGCCCTGTGAAAAACACACGCGGAAACATTGAGTTGTTGAACATTGACAAACGCGTCCGGGGCGGTGACATGGCCCACCCAAAGCGCGGCCATCGCCTGTTGCAGATGTTCGGGGTTCTAATCCGGTAGGTTGTCCTGGTTAATATTGCGGTGTGTGTTAACCGTAATATACGACGCAGCATCTGCTTCACTTCCAGTGGACGTTAAAGATCGTGTGACATCATTTAAAACGAGGCCATTGTGTGCCAGCGTCACGGCCCATCTTAATTGGGAACCGTCGCAAAAAAAGCACCGGCAGGACCCTCCTGAAAAAGTCTTAAGACTCGGTGAGGCTCTCCTGGGTATGCAAATAGGAGTAACAATAATTATCCACCAATAAAAGACCAGGTGTTTGAGCAGGTAAAGTGGCGAGCGAGTGGGGACGTGGCCAGCTGACTTACCCACGATCCTCTGGCCGTCCTCGGTCCGCAGACGCACAATCTGCATCTTCAAGTGGGAGCCACTCACAGAGGTCATGACCCCCTCCACTCGGCTCCACACGCTCAGCACGGAGCCGCAGAGCACGTGGTAGGTTCGGCAGCGCAGGCCCACCTCGCACACCATGCCCAGCGCCGCCTTCTTGCAGTTTCCCCGCCTACGGCACAACCCGACGCGTCACAGTTCATAATCGATTTGTGGGTTAAGCCACGTAATGCTCATTCATTAATTGAGTTCGCCAAACACCCTAATTTAGGACCAAAGAGCTTGCACAATTGTTCAATATCGAGTGTCGCTGCCCTTGCACGCGTGGTTCTTGCAGTGCATAATTGTTTATTTTTTAGTCGAGGGCAGGGGTCCCCAACCCCCGGGCCGCGGACCGGTACCGGTCCGTGGGTCCGTGGCCTGTTAAGAACCGGGCCGCACAGCAGGAGGTGAGAGCGGTGAGTCCGCGCGTGGCCCGCCCCCATTGTTTAATTATTGACCACTTCCACCCGCGCCTCTTTCCCACACTGCGCACTCGTCTCAGTCACAGTTTTGGTGAGCCCACAAGCTGCTAACCCCGAGTAGCCACAATGAGTACAAAACAAACGTCGCTGGAGAGCTTCTTTGAAAAGGTGGAAAGACCCAATGAAGAACCCCCCCCCCCACCGGTCCCTGGTGCCAAAAAGGTTGGGAAGCGCTGGTCTAGGGGACCCCATAATGGCAGCGATCTGTGTGGCACAAATGCGCATTAATTAATCTGTGAGTAGGAGGCGATGGTTTCTGTGCGAGCTGCAAAGCAGAGAGTGTGGTGCTGTGGTCACCAGTAAGCATGAGTGCAGGTGTCCTTTGAGGTGTTGAACTGTTCCTCCCAGTGAGGCATCGCATCGTCCGACGACACCTGAGGTCACAACACAGAGGTCCCAACGTTTAATCAGACGGTGAAGAGCACTGCGTGATTATTTAAGTCAAGGCTCTTTTTGAGCAGGGTCCTGCCAATTTTGCAGAAAAGAGATCGATGTTGCTGCTGTGTATAATCCCAAATAGGGAATTTGCAGGTAATTTTTCAGCAATAGGATGTTTTGGCCAATGCCAGTTACATTGTTTTTTTTTTACTATCGGAGGACACCAGAGAACGCGGAGATAATCCACGCAGAACAGACTGGAATCAAACCCAAACATGCATTGCTGTGCGGCACGAGTGTTACCAATGCACCACCCTGCAGATCAAATAAAGGGAATTGTCTTATTCAAGACTGGTTCAGATATCACGCGCCACTGATGTCAGCCGTCAGTGGGTAATCGAACTCAGATCCCCGGGTTCACAGCACAATGCGCCCACCCAGTGGTTCTCAATTTTGTTAACAAAATGGCCCCCCAGTCAAGACCACTGGTCCCTCCCCCCCCGCACCCACCACCAACGTGACACCAACATTCCACGGCCATATTCAAAATTTCTCCTGCACGGTATCCACGCCACAGCCTGCGCAACCTGTAGGCTTCCGCACCCCCCGCCCCAGTGTGCAGAAACGCTGCACAAAGCGCCGCGTCACCGTTCCACACGCCAGCACACAGCACAGATAACGAGCACAGACGTTATGCAAAGCATAGCCGACATTAGGCACGTCTTGCAGGTCCCCCCCCCACTTACCTTCTTGTACTTCTTCTTGAGGTCGGCGTACATTTCGTGCCGCAGCTGTTTGCCGGTGTTGGGCCGGTAGATGAGAAAGAGTCGCTTCCTGGTGCTCACCTCCCGCGCCAGTACAGCCGTGCGCTTGCCGTTACGCACCTGACGCACGCCCAATGCATGTACAAAAGGCGGTCTCAGGCTCTGACGCGCTTTAAGGGATAACAGCCACGCTGGTCTGGGAGGCAAATCTAACGTCAAGAATCCCAGCGATTTATATTCGCATATGCGGTGCTCGACTCTTGTTTATAGCCCCCGCCATAGGAATGTGGAATCACCACCGCTGGCTCTGGGCTGCAAAGATGAGATAAGGCATAATGCCTCAATGCTAGTTTGAATGGGAAATCACTTTGGACGTTGACTCACTGAATTGGCAGTAGAGGCAAGTCTGGAACTCTGGGAGGCTGTGATGCCCACGTGTGTGGTGAGTGTGTGCGAGTGCACACCTGCAGAGACAGGTAGAAGCCGTCGTCTGGCCCGGATTGGTCGGCCCACACCTCGGTGGCCTCCTCCCATGACATTCCCCGCTCCACCAACACCTAGTAGCACCAACATACCCGGCAGACACCGCATCACCGTTACACACCAAACACACCGCCTCACCATTACGACTATCGCGACGCTCGTGACACCGTTGCTCTGCAGGTCGAGGCCCGAGCATCGCTCACCGTGTACATCTCCACGTGGCCCGCACCCGAGTGGCCGCGCGTGTTAAACCTCTTCACTTCCAGCTTCTTCACGCGTTCCTCCCCCGAGCCCAGGTCTATGCACACACGCACGTGCAATGTCAGTCGGCGCCTATTTAGAAGGACGTGGTTGAGAGCGTCGCCCAGGCCAGCTTCACTATCCCAGTGCCACAGACACGTCGTGTCAAGTTTTAAGTGGTCACGATGACACCGGAGGGGTTGTAGAGTGTGCACAAAGCTAAAGATCCCCCCGATAGCTTCAACAGTCTGTTGGAGCAAGTGCTGCAGCAAGCATCTAGGAAGGCCGGCACGGCACACGAAGGGGGTGGGTGGCCAACACCATGCCCAGCTGGATTTGTCTCCCAAGTGCTGATGTTTACACATTGCACCAGGTACTCAAGGCTGAGTCGACTTCCGGGAGGCCCCTGGAATTTTTCAGAAATTCTTCACCGATATTTGTCATGAGTGGGAATGGAACTTGGGTGGCCGGGTTCCTAGCGCAGCACACACAAATGTATTTGACACATATGCATGCTCGTCTGCTTACATACGACCGCAATAATAGCCCCAAATAATGCACAAGTTGACTATAAATGTTTTTTACGGGTAATTTGAGTCGACTTTCATGACATAAAATGCATTTAATTTCATAATGATGTATGTTTGTGCCATTTTGTTGTGTTCTGATTGAAATTTACTTCATTGCTGTAGGTTACTCTTGCAAATGACTCATCCTAGTCTCAAGTTGTCACCTGGTTACACAAAATGAAGATAACTCAATAGATACACGCACGTACCAAGTATGCCCATGTCGTATCTCCCCGCACGCTTCGCGTTGACAATGACCGCTTGCAGAGTGTCGGAGAAATACTGGAAGAGCGAATTCTGCTGCGCCACTTCCATTCCCAGAATGCGGTTCAGGAACTTCCCAATGTTGTTGTAATCTGGCAAACGAGCACCGTGCGGGCAGGGCACGACAGACACCGCTCGATCACAACGCCGCGACGTCGTGGTCAACGCCGCCGATGCCCCCACACCACATCCTCACGACCACCAACTCTCTCAACCTCTGCCAGTTCCCACAGTAGCTGCTGCAGTCAACATTCAACCTCTTAACATCTGCCCTGCCGGCAGTCTCTCTGTGCCTCCTCCTCCTCTCAAGTCTCCTCTTCCCTTTGGGCGATCGGATTTGTGGAGACCACTCCGATGCCCGTCTTGGCGATCGGCCCTTACCCATCTTGTTCACGTCCCACCCAGCGTCCCACCCAGCGTCCCACCCAGCGTCCCACCCAGCGTCCCACCCAGCGTCCCACCTGCGTCCCACCCAGCGTCCCACCCAACGTCCCACCCAGCGTCCCACCTGCGTCCCACCCAGCGTCCCACCTGCGTCCCACCCAGCGTCCCACCCAGCGTCCCACCCAGCGCAGCCGTTTTTACTGAACCACTTCCACTCGGGAAAACTCATCTCATCACAAGTGGCGTTTGACGACAGCACAAAGTAGTCAGCATTGTGTTATCAGCTACAAAGAATGCCAAACCATGCAACTGCTATTGGCTAAAACATCCGAATGATGAAAAACTCCCCAAAATGACTCAATTGGGATGACACACAGCAGCAACATCGCCCCCCCCCCCCCCCCCCCCCCACTGCTAAAACCTGGCAGGACCCTCCTGAAAAAGATCCTCGAGACTCAGCGAGGCGTTCTTAGGTAACCACCTCGGAATAACTACGTACGGTGGGAAAGAAGTAAAAAAAGTTAAGTTCAAGTTCAAACAAGTGAAACAATAATAGCACAAATTCACAATTAACTCAGTTCACACACCTTTGTCCAAAGTGGGGAGACCCATTCTCTCATCGATGTTCACCATGCCGACCCCCACCAAGCCCTTCAGGATGTCTAGGGGAGGAAACAAAGATGAAGTCACGCACGGACGGACACACTTGCGTAGGTCGATGTCGTGTGGCCACAGAGAATGGGGGGAGCGCGTGTGTAGGGCACCGCGGAAAGGGGGATGGTGGGGGAGGGGTCACCTCTGAAAAAGTCACCGCAGTAATCGCTTGGGGGCGGCACCAGAGGTGCGTCGAGGCCAACGATGGACTTCATGACCATCTCCAGGGCTTGCCGGCCATACTGCAGGCACGCACCGGGCCAGCGCACAGGAGAGACACAAAGCACAACAGTTGTTGCTGCTGCTGCTACGCTTGTTCACCCACGAATGCCTGAGTCTCAAGACTCTTTCAGGAGGGTCCTGCTATATTTTCACAGGAAGGGGTGATGATTGTAATCCCAATTGAGTCAAATGTGTCATTTTTTTAATTTGGCATGTTTGGACTGTAACGCTGGCACAAAATGGCCTACTCTTCTTGAAATTACACCGTGGGGTCTTTAACGTCCACTATGAGCAAAGCAGACGGCACGCAGAATTTTATGGTTGCTAAGCACCGCAGTGTTCACCAGGGTGGCCTGCCAAAATTGCTCAGAAATACGCCAAATGCAACTCAAGATGTTTTAAAACTTAACTTAAAAACGACGCAATTGTGCAGGGTTCCAATCCTGATCGGCGTCAGATTGGCGATAGGGTAAACGTGTCGATTTAGGAGTTTCTTGACCTCTGCCCTGGTTTGGCTGCAGACCGCAGGATATCACTGCAGAGGCTACGAGACATTGACATGGCACAGTTGTTGCTTCGGAATGCTTTCTTCGGATCTCTAATCACGACTCTCAACGCGCCGCCGCACAGGGTTTACTCGCTCTCGAAGAGACAACAGAGGCGCGAGGAACCACAGACAAGTGGGAAGGCAGCAGCCAGTCAGAGTGCAAGTGCTACCAACAATTGCCCAAGCTCTGCAGTCCTCTATGTAAACCCACGTGCACGGAGAAAACCCACATGCAGGAGGGGAGCAACGCTATCCCCGTATAGATGGAAAGAGATGGATATTACTCCACTTGCTGTACTGCCTTCTGCCGAGCCAGGATATGGCATCTCAAAGCCCACGTGATGAAGGGAGGTTCACTACATTTGTGCAGTGACCCACCAACCCTCGCCTCTAGAGCTGGACTCCAGTCAGCCGCGTGCAGCAGTCACCAGCGCTAGATGCGCTTCACCTTCAACTTGGCATCGCTGGCAAGACGAGGGAATTGCCCCGACCCTCAACCACCCCCCTCTCCCACGTTGTGCGCCGCAGGGGTGAGCTTTGCTCACCTTGTTGTCAAAGTTGTAGCGGCTCAGATCTCTCGATTCCGTGGCTCTGCGATCGCCGTGCGTCAGGGCGCCCTAGCACGCACGCACACACAGAGGCCAAGATTCCGCACGTAACCTTTCACAAACTGTTGGGGAAAGTGCCGTTGGCAAGTAGCACCTGCAAAGGCCGGCACGGCACACGAAGGGTTGGGTAACCAGCACCATGCCCCACCGCCTTTGGCTCATCAGTCCTATTTGTGTTTTTAGCTATGGCAGGAAACCGGAGAACCTGGAGGAGACCCATGTAGAATACAAACTCCAGAGTCAGGCACGGAGTTGGGAATCAAACCCACTCGTTTCTTGCTGCAGGTGTTACCAATGCTCTGCCATGCTGCCCAAGTTCATCAAAATTGATGCTCGCACAATCTTTGTATCAAACCCAACGTGTTCCATATCTCACTCGATAGGCGCTGATTCGTGAAATAAACCACAGGGCCCTCCGTTGCCCCCGATACTTTGCCACAACCGATGTTTCAGGGGCTTTGCGATTCTGAATGCAAAGCTTCCGTTTGCAGGGGTGATTCAAACAGGAGCCAGCATTGTGGTGATGCAGTGGTAACACATGCACCCCACAGTAAGAAGTGCCTGGGTTGAATTGTAAACTCGGTCGCCTTCTGTGGCACCTCCGCCCGCCCCCACGCGACACCTCCTTCCGCCACCACCACCACCGCCGCCGCCGCCGCCGCCACCCACCAGGCTCTCGAGACGCTTGGCGACGATGGAAGCGAAGCGCTGCTCCCCGGCGAGCTCGGAGATGAGGAAGAGATACTCGGGGGCATTCACCTGGTTAGAGCGGTGAGTCCGGCCTGGGAACAGCCACACCCGTGCACACTCAAACTTTCACCCGGGCACCAACACGCTCTCGCCGGCACCAACACGCTCTCACGAACACCGTCTGACTAATGCTCTTAGCACGGTCCCCGTGGGTGTGCCCCCTGGCTTGTGCCCTCCTCCTCGTCGACTCGTGCCCCCGATGGGTGTCCCTGCTCCGCCCATACCGAATTGCTGAATGGCTCTGTCTGCGCTCCAGGGCAGCTCGAGCGTCATGTGCACGCGCCGCCGCTGGTTCTTGGCACGGCGGTCAGCCTGGAGCGATATTCCAGAGCTCGCCGCTTCCGAGATGATCGCGATGTTCTGCAGCGACACCGCACGGCATACCGTCACATCGGCAACACACTCTGCCAAGCCTCACTGCGCAGGCACCGCTTCGCAACCACATTCCGAGGGCACATCTCCAGAATCTATCAAATATTTAAAACTATTTTTATTTTACCAGGTAAGGCACACGGAGCTATATGGCTCTTTTTCAGAAATGCCCTGGCCACAAATGATAAGAGCAAAAAGTGACTTATCATGTGGACATTTGAGCATGTTTCTCTAGAATCCACTCCCTCTCGCCATAACGCTTCACTGCAGCTCTAGGGGGTTGGGGGGAGGGAACTGGGTTAGGTTTAGATCAGGGTGATGGACAGGAGAACTTTGGGGGATGGAGGGAGAGACCAAGAGGTTAAGAAAATCCCAGAGGATGAGAGGCCCTGGGGGAGTGAGAAGGGGTCCCATGGGAAGCCCGCACCTTGTCTCCGTCCATGAAGCGCTTCTTCTCGGTGACGTTGAGGATCTCCACGGGCACGTCCAGCTCGGAGCGCGATTCGTACGCGATGCTCCCGTCGTCATTGCTGACCACGCGGCCCTTGCGCCCAGTCATCTGCACACACGCACGCACACACACACGCACGCACGCACACACACGCACGCGCGCACACGCGCACACACACACAAACGCACACGCGCACACGCGCACACGCGCACACCCAAGCACGCACAAGCACACAATGTATACACACAGCAACAACTGCTGTTCGCCACTAGGTGGCGGTAATGTCACCACAGCACATGTGCCTGGCCAAGGTGCACTTTGAGGCTGTCACGTGCAAAAAGCTCACACCACGCACGCGTGTTCAAGCAGGCGCACAGCCTCCTGAGCAATGGCAGCCAGCGCCTAAGGGATTCATGCACAGGAGAGGAGGAGGGGAAGGGGGCACCTCAGCCACGTTGTCGGTGCCCCCCAGCTCGTCGATGAGCTCGTCCAGCGTGTTGGGGGGCAGTGCGTCCGCCAGCTGCTCCAGGTGGTCGAGGAGTTCGCGCTTCATGGCCTGGGCTCGCTCCACCGCGTCGCCCGCGGGGGGGGTCCCCGCCAGGGGGGGGGGCCCCGAGGTGCCCACCGAGCCTGACAACAGCCCCCCCACACCTACGCACGCGCAGGTGAAAACAAGGGCAAAGACAAAGGTTCCCCTTAGGGGCCATCCATTTAGTACGTATGGGGGGAGGGTCAACCCAAATGCGTACGCTTACGTATGGGGCGTCTACTGACAATGTACGTACGCATAGGAAACGGGGGGGGGGGGGGGTGAAGCCTCGATAATGTCTGCATTGGCCTTCAAATGAGCCACAGTTCAGTTTCTTCAGCTGTCAGACAACAAGTCCTGCCGGGAGAAGTGGGACTGTGGGAGACGTGTCACTCGTGTGCCACCGCACCCCTGACTGCAGCAGCCATCACGCAGCTCAGTACAACAAGGTACGCAACTTGATTATTTAATGCAGCCGAAGGTGGACTATGTTTGCTTAAACACGTTCATATTATTAATCCTTGATCGTTTCTGCATGGATTAAATATCGGCCGTTCTATAGGATGTAGGGGGGGGGGGTCAAGCATACGTACGCAAGTGGGGGGGGGGTGTAAAAAGTACGCGTGGGTACAGGGAGGGGGGGAGGGATCAAGTTGACAGATTTTTGCGTACGTACTAAATGGATGGCCCCTTACAGAACGGGCGAGTGTTCTCGGCGAGCCTCTATCGAGGCTGGCACGGCACAGGGGGCGGTGTTGCCAACGTTGCACCCGGCCTTCTTTGTTAGGTTTAGATAATCACCACAGAGATCTTAGCCATGAGCCAGAATCGAACTCAGGTCCCGCTGGCTGCGAGGGACAAGTGTTACCACTGCGCCATCCGACCACCCAAATGGGTGATGCGAGTGAGGGGCCCCCGCACTGCACCTGCACTTGAGAAGCTGCTCTTTCGGAGGCCCAGGCCGGAGGCAAGCAGCGCGCTCTGGATGGAGTCAGGATCGATGTCCGCATTCCGCTTGCTCCCCTTGCTCTTCTTACTCTTCCTTTTCCTCTCCTCCTCCTTTTCCACGGACTTCTTCCTGCGCTCCTTCCTCACCAGCCACGGGTCTAGGGAATGGCACGGGAGCTCCTCACCCGCTCCTCCACTCCTCCCCCACCACTTGCGTGCATGTCCGCCCGTAACGACCTAACCGCTCGGCTACTCCCGGACGGATATTTCGGATGAACTGGCACAATCTGCTAAGTGTGAGGGAATAGCCAAGAGCAATATCACCCCCTACTGGCAAAAGAATGCCGACGCTACGTCACCTGGTTCTGCACACGGACAGCTGCCATCAGGGTGTCCCCTCGGCTAGAAGAAAAACTGCAGCCGGGCATTGTAATTATTGACATGAGTTTGTTCCAATATTTCACAGCTGATGCGGCGAGTGGCGTGTGATGTGGATGTATGGCTAGTGTGGGGTAAGTGGCGAGTGTGGGGTAAGTGGCGAGTGTGGGGTGAGCGGCGAGTGCGGCGAGTCCCCTCACCACCCTCATCGTCGGACTCATCGCGGAAGGGGTTGAAGTCGTCATCTCCAGAGCTGACCGACTCGAAAGAGGAGGCGCTGTCCCTGCCGCCGCCCTCGTCCTCCTCGTCCTCCTCCTCGCTGCTGGAGCTCTCGCTCTCGCTCCTCCCCGCGCGTGCGCGCTTCACCTGCCCCCGTGCATCCTGGCTCTTGGCTGCGAGGCACATGGGGGGGATCAACACGGGGGATTAGGACACGGGTGATAGCGAGGGTAATGGCGAAGGTGGCGGCGGTGGGGCAGTATTGCCGATGGTGGTGCGGCGAGGGCACCTTTGCGCTTCTGGGCAGGGGTTGTGGTGGCAGCGTTACTCCGTGCAGGCTGGGCGCCACCCCGGCTCAGGCTGCCCAACTCGAAGCCCAGGAGACTCGACAACTTCTTCCGGTCGGGGGCGGGGAAGTGCTTCTCAATTAGACACTGGAACACTCCCCTGGGAGGGGGCGGGGGGAGAGGGAGAGCGGGAGTGGGGAAGGAGTGGGGGAGCAGCATAACCATCACAGCAGGGCAGGGGAGAGGACACGCACGGCACAGTCAAGCGGTGGGCTGAGCGTTCCACACACACATTGTCACTTGGCCCCTTGCGGTGTTGTGGTGTCTGGCCACATCTACTCACCCTCTCGCCCATACTCCCACTCTCCTACTCACTCACCTACACATTCATTTGGTCACCCAACTCGCTTACCCACCCATTGTAACTTGATAGTGCTGTTTGTTCCTGGCCACTTAACGTTTTGGGCCCTGCATGTCGCACAGCCCAGGCAGGCAGCTACGGGATAAGAGCTCTGTTACTTGGGCTTTGTCGTCCTTGAGACAAATCCATCATCCCCACTATCCGGTCGGGTCGGTGCGCATACTTAGCGGTGGAGACAAAGTCGTTGAGCTCCCCACCGCCCTCCTCCAGCGCCTCCAGCGTGCGCGCCTCTCCTGTCGACTGCAGCCCGATCACCACGCACTGCACGAGGGCACAACCACGACATGTCAGCGGGCGGCACGAGAGCGCAGAGAGACACGCCGACCGTGTCATGTGAACGCATCATTGTGCGTGTCACGTGAACACGTGTGCATCGTCGCGAGCATCACGTGAACGCGTGCGTATCATTGTGCGTGTGCACGGATACGCGTGCGTGCCGGCATTGCGACGCGGCCCAGCGGTAGCGCGTTCGCCGCTCATTGCAGACATTCGCGGTTTGAAACCACTGGCCGCTGCTCCCATTAATACTGCAAATTCATTGACCATAAAAAATAACCGAGACATCATTCAAAGAAGAGTAGGCCACTGCGTGCTGGTGTCCTTGATCAAATTCGCCAAATCTTAAAAGTTACACCACAAATATCTCAATCGAAATCTACACGGAACAGCGGTCATCGGCCCCTCCTCCGAAAACCTGGCAGGACCCTCTCCCAGAACAGAGAACCCGAGACTTGGAGAGGCTTGCCCAGGAAAACGAGCAGAGTGACGACACGAAAAACGTTCTCACCTTGCCGTTCTTGACCTCCTCCCTGGCGAGCTGCACGAGGCGGCGCACCTTGGACGCGATGCACAGGTACTTGAAGAAGCGCTGGTGTGACGACCAGAACTGTCCCCACATGGACTTCTTCATGCGCTGCTCCGCGTCAATCAGCTCCGCCGCCATCTGAAACTTCTCACGCGCCTCCACCCACTGTGCGTACGCACACACGCGAGGACAAACCTCGTCACTATCACTCTCGCCACACCGTCGCCATCACCACACCGTCACGCTCCCCGCCCCTGCCATGCCATCATGCTAACGACACCATCGCGCTCACCACTCTCCCAGACTCCGTCAGTGGGGGCAGCGCGAGCCCTGTGGAGGTGTGAGCAGACCTGCAGGGGGGCCCCCCCTCTCACCAGGTGCACGGCGCGGTTGTACATGGAGATGTATTTGCTGTCGAGGGGGATCTCCTCGATCTTAAAGGTGACGCCAGAGAAGCTGAGCTGCCTGGCGATGTACATCCCCCGCAGCTTCATATCCATGGCAACGATCTCCATGGCGCCCACTCCCCTGGAGGGCGCAGTACCACCACCACCAGTGTCACACACGGCACCACCACCACCAGCGTCACGCACACAGCACGACCGTCAGCACCAACACCGCCACCGCACGTGGCCCCCGCGTGGTGTGCTGGCTGTGACGGCAGTGTCGGTGCTCGCTACCTCCTCTCCACGGCTTGGATGAAGTCGTTGAACTCGCGGAAGGGGGTCCCCTCCCCCCAAATCCCCAGCCGGTTCATGTAGGCCATGTTCCGGGGCTCCGATGCACCTGACCAGGGCAGCATAAGATAGCAGCGGTCAGCACTGCGCGCAAAACTAAACAACGACACGCCCACACCCCCCGTCCCCCGCCCCAGAGTTTAATTTCACGGTTCTAATTATTTACCCAAGAAAGTCTCAATATGCTTTTTAAGGAACGTCCTGCCAAGTTGTCGCAGTGGAGGGGTGACGTTGCTGTCGTTGTGCGATTGATTCATTTGCATGTAATGTTTCAGCATTGTGATGATTGGCCAGTGCCAGTTACATTCTGTGATTTTAGCTGTGGGAGGAGACCAGAGAACCCAGAAGTAGCCCACGAAGAACAGGAGGGAGAGAACATACAAAATCTACACAGCAAGGACCGAAGGCAGCAATCGAACGTCGGTGCATCTTGCTGCGAGGCGCGAGTGCTGCCACTGCGCCGCATCGGCATTAAACCGGCGATGTTGAAATTCTGCACCCCATGAATGCCGCACGTGTGGCCTGCCATAAGTGAGAAAAACCACTTGAGAGGGAGCCACGAGCAGGAGGACAATTGTCTGCTTATGGAACAGGGAGGTGACAGACGAGCATGGAGCTGGAGATGACGGGGTGGGGAGGGAGGGGAGGGGCAGAGGGGATGGGGGAGGGAGGGGAGGGGCAGAGGGGATGGGGGAGGGAGGGGGCCCTCACCAGTGGCGCTGGCGTAGATGACGCGGGCCTTGGGCAGACGGTTCTGCAGCTCGAGCACGGCCAGGCCCGTCTTGGTCGGCTTGGAGGAGCCGACGGGACATAGGTTCTTGGCTTTGTGGCACTCATCAAAAATTATCTGACGTGCAGGAGTCAGGGATTGCATGACGCCCATCTCTGCTTGCGGCGGTGAGCGTCGCCCTCCCCTCGATCACGCTCCTCGGCTGTTACACCGACGATCCAAGCACTGAGTCACGTGTTTAAATTATCACAAGATCGAGACGTCATCGTGACCACTGCCGCACGTCCAACGCACTCTCGTTACACTGCACCAGGTCCCGCAACTGCCACGCAGTCAACACGCGACCTCCACCACTGCCTTGACCACCGTCTCCCATCATCTGCTCTTTGGTCTTCTCTTCCCCTTGCTCGCCAGATCTATCACTGACCATTTACGTAATCTATGCAAATGTATATATGATGAACTTCTTTTGTACCGAACGTAGAAATCCGAGGTGTGGGGGAAGGACGACAAACTAATATCCAAATGATAGAGCAGTGAAAAATCCCCCCAAAAATGTAAAAGCCAACACAAACGAGACCGGAAACACGACACCGACACAAACCGATCGTCGGATCAGTCCACAACCTGAAATCGCAACTCGTGGAGGCGCTGAAGGGGTGGGTTGGGGGGTGGGACGCGGGTGAGCATTCACGCACGGTGAGTGCGGGGTCGCGTGGCGAGGATACGACGCCGTCGAAATCGTCGCTGCACCAGTGCAGCAGCTGCTTGATGCGCGTGCGGTACTTGCCGCCCGACTGGCTCTCCCCGATCAGCGCCGAGTATGTGGCAAACACCACGCCCTTCTTCACCGCGCCATTCTCCTTTGACGTGATCTTGCCATATTTGAACTACGAACATGAGAACAGCAGCATCAGCAACTGTAGCAGCGGCATCAGCAGTAGTATCAGCAACAACAGAAGCAGCATAAGCAAGAGCAGCATCAACAACAGCTGCCATTCGCCAATTATAACGAATATCCCGCTTGTTTACACAGGCATGCCTCACCGAGTCACAAGACTCTTTTTCAGGAAGGTACTGCCAAGCTTTCAGAGCTTGTATGTTCTTCCCTTGTTCTGCACGGGTTAGGTTCCCCGGTTTCCTTCCATAGCTAAAAAACCCCACTATGTCATTGGTATTGGCCAAAAAAAGTATGAAAAATTACCAACAAATTACTCAATTGGGATCACACACAGCTGGGTAAATACGGGGAATCTTCACGAACAATAAGATGGTTGGCTACATACGGTGCGAAAAAAGCTCAAAATACATACAACCTTCACAAATAATTACTGTGTTGGGGACCACCCTCATGGTCAACATGCCAGCCCGAGCCTTCCCAATGCATCACGCACGCCACGTCGCAGCATCATTCCGGGCAATTCCGACCGCGTCCATGGATGCTGCCTCGCTCGGCGCTCACCTTGCTCAGGGAGTGAACCGTGATATTTTTCGCTCCGATGTCCTTTAGATCCCTCTCCGCGTCGTACTTGAGGTCGTTAGAGACGCTGAACCTGTGGGCACCTCCGATTAGCACGGTTGGCTACGTAACAACTACACTCGCAGCAGTTGGGCAGAGCGCACTCACACACAGCGCCTGTGTTTGTACTACCTCCATATTATCGTTATTATTCCGCTTGTTTACCGAGGACAGCCTCAGTCTTAAGACTCTTATTCAGGAGGGTCCTGCTAGATTGTATTCGTAGACTGCGGTGCGCTTTGGAATCGAGTAAGTCGAGAGTAAGATTTCAAGTTTTCACTGTGGCTCCTACACAGGGTGGCCTACTCTTCTTCGAATGACGTCACGGGGATCTTTACCATCCACTGTGAGCGAAGCACGCGGTGCGAAGAATTTTACGGTTCACCTCCAGCGCGGCATTAACCAGGGCGGCCCACCGGACAGAACTGCCGCCTCCGCTAGGCCACACATGTACGCATCGCAGGCACAAGGTGGGCTCGTGGAGGGCACCAATTAAACATTCCATACATTCACGAGCTAACAGGGTCGGCGACAGACGGGAGGTGAACGGCGAGGGTGCAGGCCTCACCAGACGGCGCGTTTGCGCCCCAGCAGGTAATTCTCGTAGATGATGCCAGCGATGGTGCGGCCTTTACCAACTCCGGCGCCATCTCCAATCAAAAACCCGGCGCGTTCCCCATTGGTGAGGTACGTCTCTTGTTGCTGCGCGCACCACACCACCACAGCACAGATGCATGGCGCACGACTCCGGTTGCGGTTGTTGGAGTTTGTGTGCATGAAGCACAAGTACAGGTCTCATTTTTACACAGGCCAGTGCTCACCTGATGTTTACAGCCCTGAGCCAGTGGTGGAAATTCCACATTCATATGGCGGGGGTGACTCCATTTAAAAAAAAAACACTGTAGACTTATCCACAAAGATCAAGACGACATCATGGCTAAAGCCGTTGACGCCCCACACTTTCTCACCACCAACGCTCTCTACAAGATCCCGAAAGGCGACCTCCAAGATCTGCCGTGAGAGTCTCCCGTTATCTGCGTAGACTCGCACAGAGACCCAAAGATTCACACAGAGACCCACAGATTAAGAAATCCACAGACTCGCAGCTGCGAGCCGCTCACTCAACTGGCCAGCCACTTCACCATTACGACCGTTCCGCTGCACGAGCGCCGCCAACGACCTGCCACACCACACGGGATCCGAGCCGGCCTTCGGCCGTGCCGCCGGTGCCCGCGAACGCCCCGGCGGGCCGCGGTGCTCGCCCACCTGGCAGCCGTAGGTGATGGCCTCGAGCTGCAGGGCAGAGAGCCAGCCGCTGTCCACCGTCTCCTCGGGGATGCTCAGCCGGTACCAGATGTCGGGCGGCGTGACGCTGGACAGCGAGCTCGTCTCCACCACCGCGTCCGGGTGCCGCAGGCCGATGCGCACTGTGGCACGCGCCAACGCGCACACGCAATCGGGCGAGTACTCACACACGCAATCGGGCGAGTACTCACACACGCAATCGGGCGAGTACTCACACACGCAATCGGGCGAGTACTCGCAGACACGCAGGCGAGAATAAACAGACGCTACACACGCGTGACAACTCGAGCACATGCAGGCGAGTACTCATGGACACACCGGACATGGCCACATGGACTGGTACTCGCACGTAGGCAATTCGCTACTCCCTCATGCCACGTGCACGCTTGCGTGTGTGTGTGCGTGCGTGCATGACGCTCACGCTTCAGGGGCATGTACTCGGCATACGTCTCCGTGTGGCCCAGCTCCTCCTCCTCCTCTTCCACCTCCTCCTCGTCCTTCACGGCTGCCTGGAAACATGCCCCGGCACACCCTACTGAGTGCAAACGGCCGCATGGAGGAGTTGTACCGACTGCACCGGTTCAAGGCTCCCACTGTATCACTGGCGTAGTGGTGATACTCGCAGCTCGCAGGGCATGGATACAGATTGTATGCTCTCCCCCCTGTTCTGCACAGCGTGTGTGTGTGTAGTTTGCATGTTCTCGCCCTGTTCTGCAGAGCGTGTGTGTGTCATCAGCTGCGTAATGTTGGAAATGCACGCACGAAGCTTCAAATCTTCCAGGCCACAATCATGCCCTCCCTTCTCTGTGCTTGTGAAACGTGGACCCCTGTAATGGAACATCTGCACCGGTTAGAAACATTCAGGCTGGCCTGCCTACAATCTATCCTGGGTTTAACCAGGCTGAATTGTGTGAGCTCACATATCCTTGAAAGGTCTGGACACATTCCCATCAGTGAGTTCCTCCGGCAGGCAAGGCTGTGTTGTTGGCTGGGTCATGTAGCCTGCATGCCAAGCTACCGCATGCCCAAGCAGCTTCTGTTTGACTTCATAGAGGGGTTAAATGGGCATGCTATGGGTTGGAAAAGAGATGGACTGATGTGGTTTGGAAGGATGTGGAGTTCAGTGGACTTGCTGAAGACTGCTACCAGCAGTGTCAAGATCGGCCTCTTTGGAGGAGGCTTGTGAAGGATGCTACTGGGCAGTTGGAGGCAGTCGCCCTCCAACAACGAAGGGCAGAAGAGCGACACTCACAACAACGAGCGAAGCGCCGGGTGGCTAAAATGCAGCAAGTTGGCACATTAGGGGGTACAGCTGGTGCATCTACCAGTCATCTCAGTCAACCAACCCATGGCACCAGGGTCTGTCCCATGCCCTCCTGTCAGCGAGTCTTCGACACTTCACGTGGCCTCAAAGTGCACCTGGCCTGGCACAGGCACAGGGGTGACGTCACTGTCACTTAGTGGTGAATGGTGGGTATTAATATTGGACTTTTTACGTTCTCCCTGTTCTGCAGAGTGTGTCTGTGTGTGCAGTTTGTGCGTTCTCCCCATTCTGCAGAGTGTGTCTGTGTGTGCAGTTTGTGCGTTCTCCCCATTCTGCAGAGCGTGTCTGTGTGTGCAGTTTGGACGTTCTCCCTGTTCTGCAGAGTGTGTCTGTGTGTGCAGTTTGGACGTTCTCCCCGTTCTGCAGAGCGTGTCTGTGTGTGCAGTTTGGACGTTCTCCCCGTTCTGCAGAGCGTGTCTGTGTGTGCAGTTTGGACGTTCTCCCCGTTCTGCAGAGCGTGTCTGTGTGTGCAGTTTGTGCGTTCTCCCCGTTCTGCAGAGCGTGTCTGTGTGTGCAGTTTGTGCGTTCTCCCCGTTCTGCAGAGCGTGTCTGTGTGTGCAGTTTGTGCGTTCTCCCCGTTCTGCAGAGCGTGTCTGTGTGTGCAGTTTGGACGTTCTCCCTGTTCTGCAGAGCGTGTCTGTGTGTGCAGTTTGGACGTTCTCCCCGTTCTGCAGAGCGTGTCTGTGTGTGCAGTTTGGACGTTCTCCCCGTTCTGCAGAGCGTGTCTGTGTGTGCAGTTTGTGCGTTCTCCCCGTTCTGCAGAGCGTGTCTGTGTGTGCAGTTTGTGCGTTCTCCCCGTTCTGCAGAGCGTGTCTGTGTGTGCAGTTTGTGCGTTCTCCCCGTTCTGCAGAGCGTGTCTGTGTGTGCAGTTTGGACGTTCTCCCCGTTCTGCAGAGCGTGTCTGTGTGTGCAGTTTATGCGTTCTCCCCGTTCTGCAGAGCGTGTCTGTGTGTGCAGTTTGGACGTTCTCCCCGTTCTGCAGAGCGTGTCTGTGTGTGCAGTTTATGCGTTCTCCCCGTTCTGCAGAGCGTGTCTGTGTGTGCAGTTTATGCGTTCTCCCCGTTCTGCAGAGCGTGTCTGTGTGTGCAGTTTGGACGTTCTCCTCCTGCATGACTTTCCTCTGGGTTCTCCAGTTTCCTCCCAATTGGTTAAACACCCAAATGCTCGAGTGCCTGCCAATTACTCAATTTGGATCACACAGCCGAAACATCACCCCATACTGAAACAACTTGGCAGGACCATCCTCAAAAAGAGTTGAAGGCGTGCTGATAATAGTAAAACTCAAGACAGTGTTTTTATGAAAGTCAGAGGAGTGGGGGGACACAGGCAGCAGCAGCAGCGTCTCAAGCTCACACAGAAGGCCCTGGGACGGGCTGCGCAAAACCAGGAATGCTGGAAAGGTACATTCGCCGACTTGTGCACACAAAGACACACGGGCACGCAAAGGTTCACGCAATCATGCGCACACACACGCACACACAGGTTCGCAACAGGTTCATGGACATGCACGCACATGCAAACTCACACCCACATCCACAGGCACGCATATTCGCACGCACACAAAGGCTCATTACACTGGTACACAAGCAGACCACACACAAACCCACAGGTGCACACGCGTGCACACACCTGCACCGTGGGAGAGAAGCTCCTGATTTTGAGCTCCTCTGTGGCCCACACACGCGTCGCCACCGCCTCCTTCCCCGGAGCGGCACCCATCCCCACGGACACCGGCCCCTCCTTCTTCAGCAACCCGTTCGTGGGCTCCACTGGGCACAAGAGAGAGCGAGGGAGAGCCAGGGAGAGCGAGGGAGAGCCAGGGAGAGCCAGGGAGAGTGAGCGAGAGCGACATCACAAACGCCCAAGGGGCCCCACGCTCCATCTGCTCCGCCGCTGTTGTGAAGCAACGTTTGCTCGTTCGCGCTTTCCACCACACCGGTGAGAAGAGGGTCGACAGGCGAGCAACCACTGCACTGCTCACCTGTTGCGGCGGCCACGGGGGCGGTCACTCCCGGGGGCGGCTTCAGCTTGAGCAGCTCGGAGAGGCTGTTCAGATGCAGCAGATCCTTCAGTCGCACCTACGCACAGACGCGTCCACATGCAGCGAGGATACCCTCGAGACGCACGGCCGGGCTCGCGCAGTCTGCTGCGCACGCGTCGCTCAATGCCCTGAGACCCCCCCTCCATCGAGTGGCTGCATCTCCAGGGGTTTTCCACGTGAAATACCTCAATGCTCAAATTAAAAATATTGCACGTTTGCACCAGGTCGCGCAGCGCGCTCGCGGTGCCAGCCACGTGGCCCGACGGCGCATTGCGCCAAGGGTGGAACAGAGGGGAGGGCGGCAGGCCTCTGCAGCGATAATAATTTAAAGGCTTATCATAATACATTTTTATATATTATTGTCTATACAGCAAGATTCGTGCAATTTGCATATCAAAACGCTGCAGATTTTGTAACATGCACAAAGGTGCGGGAAGCCACAGACAAGAGCTGGGGAAAGCAGCCAGAACCGGCACCTGTAATTGCCCCACCCTTGTGATGTTTGATCAACCCCATTAATTAGCATGAGTATAACACAGAGAGGATACCCTAAAACCAGGAGAAGACCCATGGGTGCAAGACGGCTAATCACCTATTGCGGCATCGAGCAAATCCTATACGTATCATCCGAAGCTGCTGCGCGGCCGTCTAACTTAAATGTCGAATGTTAAGTTGCCGACCGTGATGCCACGCGTAAGAAGTAGAATCGCCTAGTCACCGTCCTCGCACTCGCCGGCGGACGCCGCACCGGGCGCTCTCCGTGCGTCGCACGTGCGAGCTCACGGGATGCGGGAGAGCGGCCGCCGCGCGAGTTACCTTGTTCTGAGCCTGCGCGGGGTTTGCCGTGGGCCGCAGTTGGGCCCCCGCCAGCTGGGGCAGAGTGAAGGGGGCCATGGCCGGCCTGGAGGGCTGCGGGGCCCGTGAGGGGGCGATGATGCCTCGCGTGAAGGCCACGGTGGCGAGGGCGGGGCGCGGCGACTGAGGGGGCCGCGCGGCGAGCGGGGCGCCGGGCGCGGCGGGGCCCAGGAGGAGCGTGGAGCCCACGATATGATCCAGCAGCTCGGAGCCTCCCATCACGGCGCTCTGCGGCGTCACAGAGCCACCGTCACGTTTCGCGCTCGCCGACATCGGCTCCTCAACCGCTCCACACGCCGGACGTGAACTAAAACCGCCCTTGTCCGTGACGCACGTCGCCGCCCGTTTACATACTGGTGGCTCGGCGGGAGAGCGAGCGGCTCCCCGTAAGAAGGTCCCAAATCCTGGTTGGGGGTTGACAGCCCGTCAGCTCTCTAGGGTCGGTAGACTAGGTACCATAAACAGTGGTTGTGTTATGGATAGACGACCCTTGCCAGAGTTTCCACCACTGCTGAGCTGTGAAGCGATGATCATCAAGTCCTCAATCCTCTTGAGCAAGAATATTCACTATTTTTACTTATTTACATACTAGTGCAATAATCATCCTGAAGCAATTTTAATGTTTCATTCACTTCACTTTGCTATGTTTATTTTAAGTAATTTGTTCAAGCAAACATTCATTTAAGGAAATCTATTTTGTTTAATATTAATTTACGTTTGTGCAATATTATTTCTTCTGTAACGCGGTTGTTATCCGATTTATATTTGCTTCATCGTTTTGTGCTACTGTTTTTGTCTTGTTCGTGACCCAGGTCACTTGCAATTAAACCAACCTGGGACCTGGTTGGTTCAGAAAATGTGTCCATCTAAGCAGGAAACGATTTGCATTCGCTACCAAATGCATGGTGCAAAAGGCGGGATTCTGTGCGCACCGCAGCCGCTTCACAGACATGGGCAGGGCACCGCGGTTGCCGTGGATGACATCAACACGCCTGCTCCCCCGGACAATCAGCTGCAACAACGATTTTGGCGCCAGTTTCCATGGATGCTGCCTCTCCTCAGATAGAAGAGCGCAGTTCGCGTCTGATGAGGTGAACACCTCGTTTATCGCGTGGTGTTCACCTCCGAGAAATAAACTCGACATCTCGCGGCGGCAGCAGCGGCAGCTACGCAATAAAGGAACACGTGTGGCAGAGGTGAGCACAGCTATAAATAATGTGAGCCGTGTTCGAAAGGTTATCAAAGTTGATGACATAGTAGAATACAATGTATAATAACCATTATACCATTATAAATACAGATGTCAACAACTTCAAACAACTACAATGATAAACCACTCAAACAACCATAAAATAATCATGCATCACCAAAACTACACACGCAAATACAACTGCTCCAATACAACTTGAAACACACAACAACAAGATCCACAGAGAAGACACACGCACAAGCCGTGTACTAGCCGCGTTCAAGTCATGGCGGACGTATGACTGCTTGCTACCATTTGTACATTCTTACGGAAATGTATACATTGCGTAAATCCTGTGAATAATCAGAAATTCTAATAAATTGTGGCCTCTTCAATTTAAAGAATTGTGTAAACCGTTCGGTACACGGGCCCCTCGTCTCTTGAGTTCCCACCTGGTTAAACACAATCACCACATCTACAACCACCACCAAACCTCGACCCTGACCCCAGCGCCCACCAGCACTGCCGTGTAGCATGCAAATGTGTGTTGGCTCACGTCTTGCGAAGGCAAGTTGGGCTCAGAGAGGTCGCTGTCCAGGTCACTGGGGAAGATTCCGCTCTCGCTGAGGGCCGCCAAGAGAAGGTCTTGCTCGGGGTCCGCCATCTGTGAGGGACAACACGCGGAACGCTCGCCGCTCAGCGTCTCGCACGATTGATGAACAGGTGAGAAAGCCTCTCCACTAAAACTCCATGCCGCTCCAAGGCGCCGCACGCCTGCCCTACTCGCCAACCCGAACGATTCTAGCAAACGTTCGGGCACTGGCCCATCGTTACTGATGAATGTGTTGGGCTTTGGTGTTTGTGCACCACTACTAATGCAATATCTACAAATAATTAGTTTAACCGATTTTAGGGATGAGCTGAAGATTTTATCACGGAGCTCAGTGGCAGAGCGAGCAGCTCGCAATTGGAAGATTGCAAGTGGAGGTTGACTGTCCATCATCTTTCCTCTGGGGTAGGTAAAATTAGTACCGTAAAACATAGGTCTCCGATGTAAAAAACAACTAAGACCCATATCATTGGGTTATGCCACACGGTAGTTTATGGAAAGATTGCTGTCATTAACCTTTTACCACCCAAGATTGTCACAGTTAAGATTGTTGATTTTTTATTCAGTTATGAAAAATCTTATGGCATCAGTGAGGAGTGTAATTGGTCAGATATTGATCAATACGTAGGCATGTGTAAACACTGTGCAAACATGACAAACTTGTTGGGTGGTGTACGGTGAACGATAATATGCTTGGCAAAACTCTACCACGTGGCCTAACCCAAACACAAACCAAAATATATTAAGTAGCAAAATCATCTCTGAAAGTCCGGTTGCGTTAAAGAGGATTTACACATCGACGGCTCACCACCGAATCTGGTAACGTCGAGTATGCGTCCCGCTGTCAGAAAACAGGGACTCGCCAGAGGCAATAACGCGCAGACGTCAACAGACTCTGTCTGCACTCGTCACCGAGAGAAGCTGCCCCGCTTTCTCTCTGCTTTAGGCAAATTACTCGGGTCCACTATAGATGGGAATCGTATAAATCACGATTACTTTTGTATCCAAAAAAAGAATACCAAGGAGCTCAAAGACTATTTCAAGAAGGTGCTGCTGCACTGGGATTGTTGGACAACACCAATGAATGACACCGATGTATTAATCGATGGGAGGAAAATTGAAAAACCAGAGAAAACCCAAGCAGAACAGGAGCATAACATACAAACGCAGAAAGGCGACCGAGTCAAGAATGGAGTGCATGCGCATTTTGCTCTGAGGCAGTGTTACCACTGAGACTTGAAGCAAGGTAGAACTTTAACTTCACGCTGTCCGTAACCTACGAAGGAAACTAACAACCATCTGGGATGTACACTTTGGAGGTACGTCGGTGTTCAGCTTTTCCTGCTAAGGATGGTGAAGAATGATGAGTGGCAGCCAAGGAATGGAAGGGGGACCCTTGAGGACGCCCACCAAGGAGATCATCAGCATCATCAGTTGTGGCAATCCACTGCTGGATGAAGGCCTCATAAAGCTGCCGCCACCTCTTGGACACGTTCCCTTCCGAATGGAGCGATGAAATCAGCTCGTGGGCAGGTGCCGAGTGGATTGCTGCGTGGCAGAAACCGTGAGAGATGGAGCCGCTTGGAGAGGTCTTCTATCCAGCGGTGGACTGTAAAAGGTCTTTACATCATTGCGATTAAGGATGGAACAAATATTCATCTCCCTATGAATATAACGTAGTAGTTAGTGACGTAGTAGTTAGTGACGCAGTAGTTAGTGACGTGGTAGTTAGTGACACGGTAGTTAGTGACGTAGTAGTTAGTGACGTGGTAGTTAGTGACGGAGTAGTGACGTAGTAGTTAGTGACGCGGTAGTTAGTGACACGGTAGTTAGTGACGGAGTAGTGACGTAGTAGTTAGTGACGCGGTAGTTAGTGACGGAGTAGTGACGTAGTAGTTAGTGACGTGGTAGTTAGTGACGGAGTAGTGACGTAGTAGTTAGTGACGCGGTAGTTAGTGACGTGGTAGTTAGTGACACGGTAGTTAGTGACGTAGTAGTTAGTGACGTGGTAGTTAGTGACGGAGTAGTGACGTAGTAGTTAGTGACGTAGTAGTTAGTGACGCGGTAGTTAGTGACGTAGTTAGTGGTTAGTGACATAGTAGTTAGTAGTTAGTGACACGGTAGTTAGTGACGTAGTAGTTAGTGACGCGGTAGTTAGTGACGTAGTTAGTGGTTAGTGACATAGTAGTTAGTAGTTAGTGACGTAGTAGTTAGTTACGTAGTAGTTAGTGACGTAGTATTAGTTAGTAACGCCGACTCCAGGCCGCGCTTCCGGGTCCGAGGCCGCGCGGTCCGCGTGCCCCGGGCCCGTGGGCCCCGGCCGGGACCCACGGGCCCGGGTCTCGGCGTGGCCCCGGGTCAGAGGGTGGCGCCTCCCGCCCACCGCGGCCTCGGCGCGGGCTCCGCGCCGTTGCCAGGCCGCGTTGCGCAACGCGGCGCCGAGAGGCGGAGACTCCCGCCCGGGGTCCCGCCCGCCGTGCCCGCCGTGACCGGGGCTCCGAGAGGTATCGGGGCCCCCCGTGCCTCGGGGCCCGGGGACCTCAGCCCCTCACCCCAACCCTGAACCCTGAACCCGACTCTCACCCTGAACTCGACTCTCACCGACTCTTACCGGCAATCGCACTGCGGTGGCGCCTCCTCGCCCCGCCGCGTCCCCCCTCGTGTTTCTCTCCCAGCGGCGCTCTCCTCGTGTCTTTGCTCCCCGTATGCCCCGCCGCGTCTCCCTCCTCGTGTCTGACCCAGTGTCCCCGTCCTCCTCGCCCCTCCCGTCCGTGTCCCCGTCTCCTCGCCTCGCTCGCGGTGTCCCTCGCGGTGTCTCCCGCGGTGTCTCCGTGTCCCTGACCCCCCGTGTCTCTCTGTGGCCCCGCGCGTCTCTCCTCCTCCTCCTCGTGTATCCCCCGCGCTCCCCGCCCCCACCCCGCGCCCCGTCACGTGGTCCAGCCAGGGGCGGGCTCGCAGAGACGTCACGCGCCGCGCTGGCCAATTAGCGCCCGCCTGCGATGGCCACGTGCACTCTCAACTGCCGGTTACCGATTACTGATTACTCATGGTCAGGAATTACTGATTACTCTTGACCAGGAATTACTGATTACTCATGGTCAGGGATTACTGATTACCCGTGGTCCGGAGGGCTGATTACTCGTGATCAGGGATTACTGATTACTCGTGGTCAGGAATTACTGATTACTCTTGACCAAGGATTACTGATTACTCATGGCCAGGGATTACTGATTACTCATGGCCAGGGATTACTGATTACCCGTGGTCCGGAGGGCTGATTACTCGTGATCAGGGATTACTGATTACTCGTGGTCAGGAATTCCTGACTATTCGTGGTCAGGGATTACTGATTACTCCTGGTCGTGCATTACTGATTACTCGTGTTCGTGGATTACCGATTACTCGTAGATGGGGATTACTGATTACTCGTGGTCTGGAGGGCTGATTACTCGTGATCAGGGATTACTGATTACTCGTGGTCAGGAATTCCTGACTATTCGTGGTCAGGGATTACTGATTACTCATGGTCGTTGATTGCTGATTACTCGTGGTCGTGGATTACCGATTACTCGTCGATGGGGATTACTGATTACTCGTGACCAGGGATTACTAATTACTCGTGGTCAGGGGTTACTGATTACTCATGATCAGGGATTACTCATGATCAGGGATTACTTATTACTCATTGGGGAGGGACACTGGTAAACGCCTCGGCGACAGAGTTGCCCAGCAACTTCTATTAGCTCGCCATGCAGATGTCGTGTCCACGCCAGGAAATCTGAATTTTAATTTCCACTGCATGGAGAAATCCGATTCGCTATAAAGCTCTTTCCCCAAAATGACCAGCAGGGGTGGGTGAAAAGTTACAAAACAATACAAAAACACGATAAGTATAGAAAATCACAAACTAACTGAAACTAAACTTGTATTTACCAGGTAAAGCCCATAATAATGATGATGAGGTAAAGCCCACTGAGCGATTAGCTTCTTTTTACGAAGTGACCTAGCCACAACTTATAGCTCAGCGAAGTGGCTCATCATGTGGACTTGCATAGCGGCCACACAACCTACATAATCTAAGCGCAGGGTTCTCTATACGTGGAGGGGAAAAAACGGAGGACCTGGAGAGAAAAATCCACACGACCATGGGACAGAGACGTGCAGACTCCAAATATACAGCAGGAGTCAGGGTCGGGATCGAATCCCCGACCTCCTGCACACCAGGCGAGGAAGATAATATCACGCCACCGTGTCGGCCCTTCAATAAATAAAAGTATATAAAAAATCGAATTGCGTAAGTACATTACATCAATTTACAAGCTTGGGAAAGGCAGTAAAACAGTTAAAATTGTCCCAAATAACACCAAGACAACACACAGTCAATAAATTGTACATACAAATTGAACTATCGATATATGTTCTTGGTTCTTTCGGTAAAGTCACGTAGAAGGGAAGTAATAAAAGAATAAAAATAAAACATTATAAAATTATTTTCACGACGTTTCGGCCACAACGCAAGCAGCCGTCCTCAGGTGAAAACCAGGTCCGTCGAGGCGACAGAGTCTGAATGAAACAGCACACGAGCTTGGAGCATATATATAAGCTAGGCGCCTTGACAAAGGAATTTGCATATCAAGAGGAATTTAGCATATTTATGGGAAATGCACGAATGTGATTAGTACTACATATGCATGTGCATTATGCAGGATTAACAGCATCAAAGCGAGCTGCAGTTGCTGCTGCTGCTGCAGTTGCTGCTGCTGCTGCAGTTGCTGCTGCTGCTGCTGCAGTTGCTGCTGCAGTTGCTGCTGCTGCAGTTGCTGCCTTATCCATTTTAATATAACACTATGTATTATTCTACCCACCCTAATGTGTATCACACTGCTATATATTTACTATACAATTACGACACCATACATTACTCTGCACACTGCACCATGCCAGTGAGTGGAACGCAGTCTGAAAGTCACCGTAAACGTGAACACAATCAGTTAAGATCCGAAATGGTTTATTACGTCCTTCCAATGATTGCTCAGCCAGAATCCATCTTCTCGGTTGAAATTGTCTCTGTGTTTGTATATGTGGATCGCCTCATGAACGAATCTCTCATGATAGCCAGATGGCTTGCAGAGAACCTCTGTCTTGGAGAAGTCAATGTCATGTGAGCCCACTGAATTGTAACAGTGATCTGCCACGGCTGAGGTGTTTGTCCTACCGTCTTTCAGGTCTGCTTTATGTTCACGGATGCGGTCCGAGACATGTCGTTTGGTTTCTCCAATGTAACTGCTACCACAGAGGCAACTCAGTTTGTAGACGCCAGGGTACTGTATGTCTGGAACCAAATCTTTTACAGACGGGACCAGATCACGGATTTTATGTACTGTGTTGAATCGGACCTGGATCTTGTGTTTAAGGATCAAAGTTACACATCACATTGTCAGAACGAGACCAAAAGGAGGACGGAGCTCGGCCGCCTCCTGTTTAATCATCTGACATCGCGCAAGGGACGAGGCTAAATGAATGCTTCGCGTTCACTTAAAGTCTTAAACCATCAACGGCGCCAGTTCGCGAGACGCGGCACTGTGTGCCGACGCCGTGGCCCGACTCCCCCATTCGGATTCGTCGCACTCATCGCCCCCTGGTGGCAACTCTTAGGAAGAGCCTCCTGATAGCCACGAGAGCCGGGAAACACGCGGAATGCATTCGCGAAGCCGAGGTGCTTTCCAACTCAAATGAGCATTGAGCCATTGGTGCTTATCTCCTCTTTACAGCCCTGGACCAGTGGTGGAAATTCCATGTTCTTATGGCGGAGGTGAATCTATCCTTTGGACAACCACTGTTGACTTGCAAACAAAGTGGTACTTACTTTCTTAATTTTGGAGCTTTCGTGACTGCAGGAATTATTCTTTGGTTCTTTAGGTTAAGTCACGTCTAAAGATAAAATAATAAAGTAAATAAAAAAAAATTGCAATTAATTTTTTTATTTTATCTCTAGACGTGACTTAACCGAAAGAACCAAAGAATAATGGTACTTACTTTGTCGATCCAGGATTGACGATGGGCTGAGTCAATCCCTCACCAGGATTTGCGCCGCAACCTTCACATCGCGAGCCGCTGGCTCTCTCTACCGCTGGCTTTCTCTACCGCTGGACTACCGGCCCGGACCCGAAACAATACGTTCGAACGCAGTTTGTTTGACATCGTTACTGAACACAGGCCGAAAGGCCTAAAATGTTGAACGGCCTGCAACAAATAGCACGATAATATATGTGATGATTTTTTTTAAGTTAATGCATAAAGCGTCCTCATGAAACCACATCTGACGGCGCCGTCCAGCAAGTGAGAGATGCAAATTCTATGGCAAGGATGCACATTCATCATTATCGAGCGAGACGGAGACACAACCGGCACAGCAGAGGGAGGTCTCGAGTTTGGACTGGGGCGGGGAGTCGAGAGCACGACTGTCTGGGCGAGCGGAGTTCCACATCGTCAGCGTGGAGCGGCGAAGAACAAGCGACCTCCCCCCTGAGTGAATCAAACGAATGATTTAGGTGATGCTGCGTTACTAGTGGTGCACAATCACAATCAACTTTTGTCAATAATACTGCCTTACAAGAAGATTATAACATGCGATGATTTGGGTCATGGTCCTTCTTCATAGCACGGAGATTGAGAGGTTAGATAATTCCAGCCTTGGTTGCTGGAACAGAAAGTGTGTGGAGGGGAGTAGAGTGCGATTAGGTTTGCTAAACGACAACCATTAAACCGGTAACCGTTTTCAAAATGTATTGCCGGTCGCGAACGTCGGAAAGAGTGTCCAGTGGATGTGAGTAACGAATGGCACCGGGGACGAACAAACCGCACGGCAGCCTGAGTCACCGCGTGGGACATTTGCCCTCTTTTTTGTTCCAAACGGTGAAGTCGCAGCCGTGAAAGTTTCTCGCTCGCGCCGCTGATGAGGCAGAGGCGGTGGGGAGGTCTTCAGAAACTCGCCCCATTGTTTCGACTCCGCGCCGGGACAAGGAATCAACCCGATGGCCTCTGGATCGATGATAAGTCGAGTGCGGTGCTGCCGACGACTCCACCCGCCGTGGTGGCTCCCTTCGCGTCTCAGTTACAGAGGTGCAACCTTTGACGTTCATTGCCAAGATTATAGTTTTGTGGGAAACCCGTAACCGGTTTTTACACGCGGTTACCGGTAATGTAAAAAACCGATTCAACAACTGCGGTTTATAAGTGTCGTGACGGGACCTCGAGGGGACGGAGGGGATAAGGGGACAATTTTAGAAACAGGGTCTGGGGTGGGGGGGGTGACACACCGGGCTCGCGAATGGGGTGTGCACAGAGCCTTCCTTCATCCTCCTTCTGGGGAAGGCAGAGTCCTCGCACGGGCTGTTAAAAGCACCCTCGTCGGGGTACAAGGGCCCCCCGTAGAGGTCCCGAGATTTTTACCCCTCGCTCGCCATGCAGGGCTGCGGGGCGCTGGTGTGCAGCGCGTTTGAGTACAAGACGGAGAAGCTGATGATTGCGCGGGACCGCTCGGTCGGGGTGGTGTACCGGCTCATACAGCTGGTCATCCTCGCCTACATCATCGGGTGAGCAGGGGTCAGTCAGGGCGAGTCGGGGGCGTGGGTGAGTGATGTGAAGGGGTCACTGGGTGCGTGGGTGAGTGATGTGGAGGGGTCACTGGGTGCGTGGGTGAGCGAGAGGGGGTGAGTGAAGTGAATGGGGTAAGGGGACCAGAGTGAGTAGGGTGAGTGAGGTCGGCGAGTGACTCAGGGGGACAGATTGAGGGTGAGAGTGTGTTTAAGGTAAAGAGGGGTTCGGGTTTAGCCGGGCGAGTGAGGGGACCAGCGTGAAGTGAGGTTATGTGACGCGGGGTGAGTAAAGAGAAGTAGGTTGAGTGAGTGGGGTAAGGTGAGGAGCTCGGGGTGAATGAGGGGGGGGGGGGCCGAGAGCCACACATGCAAGCTACTCGCGTTGGGGTGAAGCGCGGTCAGACGCGGCAAGGGGGAGACACGAGGCACGGGGCGAATGAGATGGTGAGGGTCAAATAGTGAAGGTGAGTGTGGCGAGAGAGTTGTTGGTGGTGATGGTGGATATTGGGAGCACACAGACACGATGGTAATTTTGAGAATATAATTTCCCATGGTGGTAACTATCGGGATATTAATGATTATAATGATGGTGGCGGTGGTGATGATGATGTCGCAGCTGCTGTAGAGGCCAGCTCCTTACTGCCTCCTCGTGGGAGGATCAGAATCCTGGGCCTCCACGTCTTTTCCATCTCTGTCTCCGTGCCCTGGGTCCCAAAATGGGTCCCCGGCGCGGCCGTCTTTGTTATTTTCACCAAAGAATATAAATACTCGCGCGTGGGCCGCCTCCGGTATTAATAGCCGCGCTCGGGTGACCTCTGCATCGGATGCCTCACAATGAAGTCGCGACGGCGACGCGTGGTATGGCAGCAGCTCCACACGAGCGGAATGTCTCGGCTGCGTCACGAGTCCCTCCTGCGCGAGGGCTGCACCGCACCGGCGAGCAGCTGGGGGACACTGGACACGCCACCACCACCACCACCACCACACTGTCACAGGAAGTCTCCATAATACTCAATAACCACCCGCAGGAGTACCGCATCGTGGGCGGAATATCCGAGTAGGACATGGGGGGTGCGAGTTTCAGCAAATCGAGGTTGGCACCCGGACGGACTCACCGTGTCCCCCCAAGGAGAAAGGGGCCACGCGCCTTGTTTGCATAATTCCTGCCCACACATCGGGGTCGTCACCTGCCGGGGTTGCTGGCGACCCCCCCGGTGTGTGGGGGCATCAGGAATTGGGTTAGACCCAGACAGTCCGGGAACTGGTAGCTGTGTTCGGGCGGAAGCGATTAGTACTGAGATATGGTGCTCGTTCTACGTGGAATTTATTAAAAGACCTTACACAGGTATGTTACACCCAGGTTGACTTGAGAGATTTGTCCGGATTTTGTTTGTGAATATTGTTTGAACTCTACCACATACTGACACTGGGGCTGGCATGTGTGGTGCCTACAGGGGGATTAGACTCACCATGATCATGCAAGTGCGAGTACCGACTTTTCCACCAGCGTGAGATGAGCGGCTTCACATCGTCACCCCCTCTGCGTCGTCACAAATCATAGCGCAGAACTCGCTGCGGGGTTGATAACCTCGCTTTTCATTGCGCCTGTCCTCAGAGCCGCGTAACGATACGCGGATATTTTGAGAAGCATGCCACATGATTGTGTTAACCGTGCCAGATCCTGCAGAGCTCTCCCCACTGACTGGTCCACTCTACGTCACGGCTGCATCAGCACGTGGCACAGTTTTCTACACCGACACAATTGCCGGTGCACAAGTGTGAATGCATGGTTCACCTTTTAGGCAGGGCTTCATTTCAGCTGAATCTGCCCGACTCCGTAACCCAGTAAAGATATATCCGTAACCGGCACACCACGTCGAGTATAGTACACCTCTCGCCCTGGGCGTAACTACGTCAAAGCCACGTCCCACCTACTCGAGTGAACCAGCGACCTGGGCAATATTCAGTGAGATTAATCCCTGGTTTTAGGCAAATTACTTTCTCATGTTAAACCTGGGTGAATGAAGCTAACCGATCTGTATGAACAAGATGATGGCAAATACAGGCGAGATTGAAAGACAAAATGGAAATTGACCGGTGGACTAAATGGTTCTGGCCGAGCAGCCGCGTGAGTGGATCACCGCACCTCACGTGCGCCTTTACAACTCGACTACGATACATTTTAAACATTCATCGAGCAAACTTTTGTTCCGGGAATGTATTTGATTTAATATACTGTACAGGGTGTTTCAAAAAGATGGACTTGATTTGAAATCGCTATATCTCTGCAACCATGAACCGCCCATGAATGAAACTCTTATCACTTGAAAGGGCGGGGCATAGAGAGGGGCGGGGCATAGAGTTTAAAATGATGACCGCGAGATGCCTCTCCCAGCGCACAAACAGCCCCCAGCCTCAGTCATTCGCAAGACGGCGACCGCGCAACACAAGGGGCGTTTTGCGTTCTGCAGTTCAGCAAGACTGAATCCGTAATTGCGGTGCAGCGTGCGTTTCAACGGCGTTTTGGCATTGATCCGCCAATGTCAAAGAGCATTCGTCGTTGGTACCGATAATTTGAGGAAACAGGCTGTTTATGTAAGGGGAAGAGCACAGGGTGACCATGCACCTCAGAGGAAAACGTAAGAGAGGCGTTTGGGACCAATTCAAATATCGTCTCGATGTTGTCCGTACAGCAGGTGGAGGGCACATAGAACATTTATAAAATGGTTAGTAAAACTTGATAACTCATTTAACCGTTTGTAACTTTGTGTAATTGTAACATGTTGCCATCGTGAAATATACTGCTTTGAAATTGGGCCCATCTTTTTCAAAACCCTGTATTATTGTGTATGATTGTGCTCTTTTTGATTCTCCTGTAATGCGGTTGATTTTGTTCTGATTTCTGTTTGTTTCAACTTATCAGTTTTATTTGATGCGTTGCTTACTTGTTGTTACATTGTTGCATTTGTCACTTTGGTGACCCCGGTGACTCTTGCAAATTAGACTGTCCGTGTCTCTCGAGTTCTCACCTGGCTAAACAAAATGAACAAACTCGACTAACGAGCGAGTGACTGCCGTGCGATGGCTACGCACTCACAGGTGGGTGTTCGTCGTAAAGAAAGGCTACCAGGAGACAGACCCTGACCCCGAGACCTCGGTCATCACAAAGGTCAAGGGGGTCGCGCTCACCAACTCGACGGAGGGGCCTGGCCAGCGGCTCTGGGACACGGCCGACTACGTGATCCCGCCGCAGGTGAGGCCCACGTGGTGGAGAGGCCCAGACCACACCGTTCCTAGTGCAGCCTGCTCCATGAAGGCGTTACTCTGAAGATACCCAACGTTTTGGTTTGGCCGGGCGAGTCCCTAGTGAGACGATTCATAGCCATCTGCTACTCACGTGAACATTGAGACATTGGTGCTCAATTATCGTGAACAGTCCTGAGTTAGAAGTGAAAATTACTCATTTATATTGTGGGGACAAGTTTACCCATTAGACGACCACTGTGACTTGTCCACAAAGTTGTAGTCATGTTATTGACTCCAGGGAGATGATGGGCCGAGTCAAGCCCCAACCAGGATTTGAACTCGCAACCTTCCCATTAGGAGTTGCCCGTCCTATCACTCAGCAACCCCCTAGGGTTCCCCTCATGACGCATTGGTGGGAATTGGGACATCGACATGGTGTAAGATTTAGAGCACCGCTTTGTGGGGAAGTGGCTCTCCTACGGAGATTCACCCCCACCTACCAGAAGAAACCAAAATCTCCACTCGGTTAGGCTGTACATAGATGATCATCAATGTCTCAATAATCATTTGAGCAGGAAATCATTTCCACTTTGACTGAATATTTTCTGCCCTCGTGCTCAAGACTCTGATCACTCTTGCCAAATAGACTCGTCCTGGTCTCTTTGAGTCCTCTACTGGTTAAACAAAACAAGCTTGACACTTGATAATGGATGGGTGGGCTAAGCTGTGAGTGGGCAGGGATAATAGGGGGAGGAGCTGTCAGCTCACCACGTGAGCCAGTTGAGCTTCTCAGAAATGTACACGATGCGTGTGCGATGAGTGTGCGTGTGTCCATTTGTGCAGGGAGAGAGCCGCTTCTTTGTGGTCACCAACCTGGTGAGCACGCCCCGGCAGCGCCAGGGTCTGTGCGCTGAGGTGAGCCTCGGTCACCCCTCACCTTCAGCCTCACCATACCGGCCACAAATGCGCAGCAGGAATATACATGAGGGTTGCCACCTGTCCAGGGCTTGATTGCGGTGTTGTTCACGTGCCTGGCATAATTTCTCTAAACAATTTACGAAGTGTTACATATTAAATCTATATAGGACAGGATAAGCAATACAGAAGAATGGAAATTAACGTGGCAGGCGAGTGTTGGAGATGGTGATTAGGAAAAGCGGCTGTACTCGGTGGGACGCTGGTGCAGGATGGGGGAGCGCGATTGCTGACAAGAGAGGTATTGAGGTGGTCCCCACGAGTCTGGTCGCCAAGGGGAAGGTGGAGGGAGACCGTCGAGGCATATTTTGGAGGTCGCGTGTACGGTGGCTGGCGGAGGGTCGAGAGCTTTGATAGCGACGCGTCGGGGCATCATCAGCTGTGGCCACGATGTCTTCAGCTTTAGATTGATACAGGATCCTTAATCACCAGAATCGCTCCGAGATCTGCACTGTGTCCTCACCCAGTTCACTCGCCTTGTGTGGTGTAGGTGCTCTTCCGCGCTAATCTGGCGGCTTTAGGCTCTTGGCCACCTCTAGAAACAATTCTTTCCTCAATTAAAAGAGTGGGCAGCTGCTGCCTACTCATCATAGCAACCTCCAGGATCAGCGTAACTGCTTCCGACTCCCCAGCATCTTCAGCAATCTGGGCAGCAGAGCAGCACAGTGGTAAAAGTCACACCTCAAAGTAAGAAGCACATGGGTTCAACTCCTGACCGGGCACCTTACGAATTGGGATCAGATAGCAGCAACATCGCCCCCTACTGTGAACACTTGGCAGGACCCTCCTAAAAAAGAGTCTCGAGACTCGGAGAGGCTTTCCTGGGCGAGTGTTGGGGAGGTTGTGAAAGTCGCTAAATTTGTCGCTGGTCGCTTTCACGAGAATAAACGTTGCCAAGAGTTGCAAAGAGTCGGCGAATCTCAGGGCAAAACAGCCGGGTTGGCAGCACTGGGCGTGTAGCCCCTATGGCCCCTATGGGCTATGGCTCGAGGCCTGAGCTCAGGGCCTCACGCTCGCATCTCCGCGCAGAACCCCAACGTGCCCGGTGCACGATGCCAAGAGGACGGGGACTGCCCGGCGGGGAGGACCTTCAACACCGGCAACGGTGAGGGGAGCAGTCGGGGCTGCCCGCGCACGCATCCTCTACCGTCCACCACGGCACTCCCCTCACTGCCAATCGCACCTCACCCACACTCATGATGCTCACCATCTCCTCCCCCTCCTCCTCCTCCTCCCGGGTAGGGGTGTGCACCGGACGGTGCGTGCCCACGAACGGCACGGCGCGTGTGTGTGAGGTGCACGCCTGGTGTCCTGTGGAGAACAGCCCAACGCCCAGGTGTGGGAACCACACCATCACTTCATCACCATCAACTCATCATTACAATGTCATCAAACATCTACTTATGTGTACAGACAGTCCTCGACTTATGAACGAATTCCGTTACTGAGACCCATTCATAAGCTGATTTGTTCGTATCTCGGAACTTATGCGGTCAGTGTTCTAAAACGTGTTACGGTTCAACAAACAAGTGAGGCTTTGTAAAACTCCGTGTCGAACGGTTTACCGTCATTGTGCATCACGTGGGATGCTGGGACTAATTACATCTCGCAGAGGGTCACTCTGCTGAACAAAATAGTTACGCAGTTCAGTTCGTAAGCACGACCAAACGTTTGTAAGTTGGATGGTTAAAAATAATATCTTATATCTCGAGGACTGCCTGTACATCACATCACCACCTTCACCATCTGTTTAAGCCCATCATCATCAACCTCATCCACACCGTCCCCTTGTCTGGTTGCGTCTCAGCAGTAGAAGCGAGCAGCTCGCAATCGAAAGGGTTCGAGTTCAATCGTTTTGGGGAGGGGGGAGGTTGCGAGTTCAACCATCCCTCCCTCGGGTCAATAAAATAAGTACCACTTGGTTGGAAAGTCAACAGTGGTTGCCCTGTGGATGGAACAATCTCCACCATTGGTTCTGCAGAGCTGTAAACAGGAGATGAGCACCATTTGAACAATAAGTCACTCTGGCTTGATTTGGAACTGTCCACATGATCAATTCCTTATCCACTTTTCAACCTTTAGTGGCAAGAGGACAGGGGAGAGAAGAATAGTGTGGAGGGAAGCCGACTGGATGCGAGTGAGGAGTAGAGAGTGAGGAATGGGGAGCACGGTGCCCTCAATGTGAAAGTGAGCGGTGGGGAGTGAATAGGGAGTGTGGTGCCCTGACTGTGTGAGGAGCGGCGAGTGCGGTGCCCTCACTGTGCTGCCATAGGGAGGCCGTGTTGCGAGAGGCCGAGAACTTCACCGTTTTCATCAAGGTCAGCGTCAACTTCACTCGCTTCAATGTTCACAGGTGAGGCCACCTCCCTCCTCGCCGGTAAGCTCACTCCTTTCTTCACTGGTGAGCTCACCTCTCTATGACCTCCCCGCACCACGATGACGGCCGGAGCTAGGGGGCGCTGGGCTGGGCTCTGCACACCAAATGTCCCTTTGGCCCAGTTAAGTTTGCTCCATGTGGTGGTCGGAACCACCGTCCTGGTGGCTCCCCACACAACTGCTCCACAGGGCACCCCGTCTGGGAGCAGCCGGAGTGGAGCCCGAGTACGATTCTCAAATCCCACATTTACCATCTTCGCCTGGGCTGCGTCAAATATCACAAGACCCCTTAACCTCGTGACTCCACGACACCTGGGGCAGGACCAAGCGTCTCCGTGGGGCTGCACGGGGAGGGAGGGGGAGACCGGCAGCACACAGATGCGGCGGCGGGGACGGTAGCACCGGTGCCGCCGCCGCCACGAGTCCGTTTGCATCGGAGTCGAAGTGCGGCACCTGGCACGACCTACGCCCGTCTCGCCACCTCTTAAGTCAGCACCGCGTAGTAGCACAGGGCGCTGAAGCGCAGGGCACGCGCGCACTTGTGCCGTTCCCGCAGGAGGAACGTCCTGGAGGAAGGGGACAGCTCCTACCTCAAGTCGTGCGAGTTCCATCCCGAGCGGTCTCCGCTCTGCCCCGTGTTCCGTCTCGGACAGCTGGCGGTGCGCGCCGGGGCCTCCTTCAGTGACATGGCCACGCGGGTGCGAGCGCAGCCGCCCAGACCACTGGCATGGGCGGGGTGGTGATGCGGCCTCGTGGTATCGTGGTAGCGCGTTCCTCGCTTGTTGCAGAGCTTCACCGTTCCAATCCGCCAAGCTGCCCTGATTAATACCGTGGGTGTCAGAACCACGATAACCCTAAATGCTGTGCACTTTGTTTAAAGTGGAAGTTCAAGATCCTGTGACGTCATTAAAACTAGTAAGCCATTGTGTGCCGGCATCAGCGTCCAAATTTAAAAAGTTACACCGCAAATTTCTCGATTGTGATTACACAGCAATCATTGTCCCCATCGTGAATTTATCGCCACATAGTAATCACCGCCCTGAGGAAGAGGGCCAATACATATTCTTGGTTTCTACCAACCCACTGGCTCGCTCTGCATCAGTCTGGTGAATGTGGAATGTGCCCCGGATTCCTGGGGTTGGAGCATGGCGAGCATGATGAGCATGATGAGCATGTTGAGCATGGCGAGCATGTGTGTGGAGGGCACTGTGCAGCGAGGGTCTGGCACAAGTCCTCGTCGGTGTATTTAACCATCCGGCCAGTTGGCTCAGTGGGAGAATGAGCGGCTCGGAAGTTGACGGTTTGCAAGTTCACATTCACTTAGTGGGAAATCACCATTAGTTGCTCGAAGGATAAATTACCCCTGCCATAGGAATGTGGAATTTCCACCGTTGGTTCAGGGCTATATATAGGATATGAGCACTGGCTCAATGCTCATTTGAGCAGCAGGTCACTTTCACTTATTTATGTTCTTGTGCAGTAATTCCACGCTGATATTTCTGTAACTTAACGTAGCTATGAACAGTTTTGTTAAAGCATTTTTGTAAAACAGGAAATTGTATTTAGTATTGATTTATGTGTGTGCACAGTGTTTGATTTCTCTGTAATGCAGTTGTTTGCTCAGATTTATATGTGCTTGCTTGCTGTACTTGATGTTGCATTCTTCCTTTTGTCATTTTGGTGATTCAGATGCCTTGCAAATTGTATTTATCCTGGTCTCTGGAGTTCTCACCTGGTGAAACAAAATAAACTTCACACTTGAGCTTGTGTGGACTGGAGGCTCTGTGTACGTGCGTGCGCACAGGGAGGGGTAATCGCGGTGCACCTAGCTTGGGACTGTGACCTTGACCGTGACCTCTCCGCGTGCGCCGCGCAATACCGATTCTCGCGGCTTGACAGCGAGCGCTCGCGCGTGGCGGCCGGCCACAACTTCCGGTGAGTGCCCGGCAGGGCTTCACATCAACCGGGTCCATCCGGTGGCGATCCGGAAAACATTTCCACACCCGGCACATCGCACTACATTCAGTATACCTCCCCCTAACTACAGATGCTTCAGTCTACCAGTAACCTGTCATTTATTCAGTGAACCCGGTGACTCTGCCCGGTCGTGCTGTAAGCGGTGGTATTGTCAGTGCGGTGTGGACCTGCAGCTGGGCCCGGTCAAGGCCAACGCGTCTGTGTCGCCGCAGATTTGCGCGCTACTCCTGGCAGGACGGGGCCGAGACGCGGAGCCTCCTCAAGGTGTATGGAGTGCGATTTGACGTCATGGTGTCAGGCAAGGTAACCGCGTCCTCTTGTCGTCCTCTTCACACTTGGAGACTCCACCAGACGTCTTTCCAATTCACATGATAATGCTTACTCTGCATTGAAAGGGCACTTGCATAATCTATCAGCAACTCAAAGTGCCTACATTACATCTCAGCTCTTTCAGTAGAAGGCAATAATTCAGACTGCGATGTGTAATCCCAATTGGGTAATTTGCAAGTTTCAAATCTGTAAAGTTTGGACCGAGACGCAAGCACGCAAAGGCCTACTATTTTTAAAAGAAGTCGCGGGATCCTTAATGTCCACTGAGTGGAGACCCCAATATTAACCATGGCGGCCTGCCCGATTCTAACCGTGAATCTCTGCATAGAGTGGTGAACGTGCCGGCGCTGGGCCACGTCACCAATATGAGGTTTGACGCTTGAGGAAATGTCTCCTGTGAGTGACAGAGTGTGTGTCCTCTGGCAGGCCGGCAAGTTCAGCATTGTGCCCACGCTGCTGAACCTAGGGGCTGGGCTGGCACTTCTGGGAGCGGTGAGCAGACATTCAGGCCTCAACACATCGACACCCACCCCACACCTCACCCACACACGCACCACCCAACACAGACTACATCGTGTACCACGTGCACTGTGCTGAATGTAAAACGTACACCCCCCCCTAACTCTCAGGGCCCCCCTTCTCTCTGTGCCCCCCGCTCTCTGCGTTGCCCCCTCCCCGCGCTGGCTACAGGGCTCATTTCTGTGCGACCTATTTCTGCTCTACGCCAGCAAGGAGAGCCCCCAATACCGGCAGCGCAAGTTTGAGCGCAGCGAAGAGGACGGGCCTGTTCCACCCCAACAGGGCGCCGTGCGGGCCCGTAGCTCCTCGACACCAGGCACAGCCAACTCTAGCTAGCCCCTATCACAGCCCCCCAGTCTAGCTAGTCGCTGTGATTTCCCCTAACACACCTCCTTCGTCCAGCTTGTCCCTCTAGCCCAGCCAGTGGTCATCCTCTTGTCCCCTGACACAGCCCTGCAATATCATCGGGGAGTGTGATGTGGACACAGCCACAATGAGAGATACAAGCATACGAAACCAGAATTGTAAAAGTGAATTTTGACGATGATAGAAATAATTTCAACTCGTAACAGTGTTCGCTCGCTTTCGAAGGCAGAGAATGACTCGGAGGCATAACCACAGACAAGCGGGAAGGTAGCAGCCAGATGGAAAGCCGGCGCTACCAACAATTGCTCGAGCTCTGCAGCCCACTATATATTAGATTTTTCAGCCAATTAATGTGTGGGAGGAAACCAGAGCACCTGAAGAAAACCAACACGTTTAAGGGAGCAAGCAGAACTCTCCCCGTACAGATGTGACAGAGAGATTTTTCCACATTGTTGTACCTGATGATGGTGATAATGTTCCGCGATACACATTTGAATAAAATAAGACGCAACAAAAAAGCCTCTTTCAGTGCATAAGATTATTTTACCAAATAATATCATAATACATAATTCATTCAAGTGGTCATAATTTAAACTAAAATACACCGGCCAGCAGAGGTAGGGCTTGGGGTGGGGGTGAGGGTGGGTGGACGCGGGGTTGAGTGGGAGCCAGGGTGGATGATGCACGTGGCGATCAGGAAGGGGGTAACGGTATTGGGGGAGCGCCGGGGCAGAGGGGGGGGCTAGCTCTGGCTGGTTTTTTCCGCGATCACCTGCTTGAGGAGCTCGGCGAGATGTAAGCGGTCGACTTTTTCCGTGAAGCGCATCCCTGTGGACGGAAATATGACTTATTCACCACTAGTGGAAGCATCCATGGCTGAGCAACAGCCCCCCTCACCCCCAGGTGCCCCCCCTTGCACGTGACAACCTCCTGCACCCCTCCTCACACACCCTTCCCTTTTCCACCCCCCCCACTGCAAGGCCCTCCCCCTCGGGTGCTGGGCCTCTCCCACCTGATGTCTTGCGCCGGATGTGACATTAGTTGGGAGGAAGCTGATCAGAATGCTGGGAAGAGACAGTGACTGACAGACATGTTTGTGTTTTGTACAACATGACAATTATGATTCCGCTTGTTTACCCAGGAAAAACCCACTGAATCTCAAGACTCTTTTTTAGGAGGGTTTTGACAATTTTTCGCAGCACGGGGCGATGTTGCTGCTGTGTGTAATCCCAATTGAGTAATATGCAGATATGTTTTTGGCAATGCGGTTGTTTTGGCCCATTCTGGTTACATTATGGTTTCATTTTAGCTATGGGAAAAAACGTAAACTGGAGGAAACCCATGCATAATAGGGGGAGAACACAAAAACTACGCGGAAAAACACCCTAGCCAGGAATCAAACCCAGGCAAATTCTTTCTGTGGATGTCTTGCCACTGTGCCACCTTGCCACCAACATGTCAAGGTTATGGTTGAACCAGGTGAAAACTCAAAGAGACCAGGATCGCTGTATATGCAAGAGTGAGCTATGGAACTGCATAACTCGACGTTACTCAGCGCTGGATCCCAGCTCGGCCTCTAATTCGTCCCCTCGAGGCAGTCGTCCCCGGACGCCTGCGGCTATGAACTCCATATTAAAGAGTGTAGAACTTCGTACTGCCCAAAACATACACGTGAAAGCAGTGGGTATGTATGGTTGAGTGTCACTCAGTGTGGAGGATTAATTGGGGTTGAGTCTGGTTATGTATGTGTGTGGTTCTGTGCAGCCAAACTCCTGGTTGAGTGAACAGTTGAATGTGTGTGGCTTATTATATGTGGTTTAAAGTGTGGTTCAGCATGGTTGAGCATGGTGCAGTGCATGGCTGAGTGGGGGTGAGTGTTTATGGTTGAACGTGTTTCATTGCGCGTGGTTAGTGTAGTTGAGTGGGTGGTTAAGTGTGAATTGGTGAGTGTGTGGTTGAGTGAACAGGTGATCGAGTGGTTGAGCGTGGCTGTACCATTCCAGCTAGCCTCGTGCAACGCATCTCGCAGGAGGCGACAGTCTCGGTTGTAGCTCCAGGCATCGTGCAGTGCGCGGACGACGCCTTCGTCACCGCCCTCATCCTCATCTACGCAGGAGTAGCAGCAGCAGTGGAAGTAACAAATCGTGAGGTCAAGTCGTCTCCCCCCTCTCGTCGTGCTCGCTCGACTAGTTCAAACAGTCGAGTGAACACACCAAGTGAATGTGTGAGTGTGCTGGAGGTGAGCATATGAGTGGTTCAGGGGGAGTGGGTGTCAGGTCAGTGTGCAGGTGATCACGTGGGTCAGTGTGTGGGTGATCATGCAGGTAATCATGCACGTGAGCATGTGGTTGAGCATGTGGGTAAGGTGAGCGTGCAGGCGATCATGGAGTTGAGGGTGTGAGCTTGTGGGTGAGCGAACACATGTCTGTAGGTGAGCGAGTGAGCATGTCGAGTGCATGCGTGCGTCGCACCTCCTTGCGGGAGGATGCATTGCGCGATGACATCCCTCAGTTTCTCCACCGCCACGTCCTCCACCCCCCCGGGGCAGCTGGCCCCACGGTCCGCATCAGGGGGGCACGGGGCCACTGTGGAGGGGTCCTCTGGGAATGGGGCCCCTGAAGAGGGGCCTTCGGGGCAGCTGCAACTATCCTCCTTGCCCTGGGGGCACTCTGCTCCCCCAGCGCTGCCCTCACACAGCTGGGTCCTGGTGGAACGGTACACGGCGCACAGCGTCTTGAGAGCCGCACCCATTTGTGTGTTGTTTTGAGCTGGTGGTCTGGATAAGGCTGAAACTGTCAGTGTCTTAATTAATAAGAATTAACACGTTTCTTGAAGCAGTGTGAGGAAAGGAGCAGAAACAGAAGTGTTGTGACCTGCAGTGTAGTGAGTGTGGTGAGTGTGAGTGAGTGATTGAGTGGGTGTGTTGTCGTCACCTGCAGAGTGGTGAATGAACACAGTAAGGAAGAGATGAAACAGTCAATTTGGTAGACAGGGATGATCATGGGTGATGCAGAGAAGTGGTGATGCTCTGCAGTGGATCTTAGGCTTGGGGAGAGGTGGCGTTGGTGGTGGAAAGGACCAATGGCAAAAACTCGCGCTGCACCGGCGCCAAACCCACGCCAGCGCACGGACGAAGGAGGAGTGCCGGTACCGGAGTAGCTTGCGCTTGCGCAGGATAGGGTTGTTGACGCAGGTGAGCGGCTTGAGCGAGACGCTGAGCTCGGGCATGCGCATGCTGGCCAGCGCGTCTGCGTGCGCCTGCTGCAGCTCGGCCATCGCCACCTGCACAAAGACAAAGGTCCCCCACGTAGCCTTTAACAGACTGTGGGAGCAAGTGCACTCACCACTGTGCTTCGCTCCCCATGCTCACATACATCTACACACCTTCACATGCATACACCTGGACACACTCACTCGTGAAGGCCGGCACGGCACACGAGGGGGTAGGTGGCCCCACATCCGTCCGCCTATGTCTCCCCAGTGATGCTGTTTACATACTGCAGCAGGTCCTTATTTAATGCTGAATTGAACTAAGATAGGTCTAGGACCGGTTACGATATTGATCGCTGATGTTGACCATGTATAAGAATTGAACTAGGGTCGCTGGATTTGCAGCAAAGTGCAGCACGAGCCACTGCAATTCTGATTCCCATCTCAACCTACACAGGCACATGCGCACGCAGGGTTGGGGTCTCTCCCTCCTGCCACACCGACTCCGGCAGCCCCAACACGCAGCAAACAGCACCTTCAATACCCACTCACTAGCACAGAGGAAGATGGCACCAGCTAACATTGATTACTGGACTGATGAGTCCTAATGAGGAAGAAACCAGTCGAGAATTGTGTCTGTTTCACTACTCTCTTTTGGGATGGCCTAATGTTTGCAACTCTTTTAGCTGGTGCTCCATCTGACAACATGGCCATGTATTAGGTTATTTTGAGCTGGTGGTCCGGATAAGGCTGAGATATTCTGTACACACAGTGCTGCACACCATTGTGTGTTACTAAAACTACCAACACACACGTATGCACCAAAACAGAATCGTACTAACGCACACACCAACACAGGATCGTACTAACGCATGCACCGACACAGGACTGAACAAACGCATGCACCAACACAAGATCGTACTAACGCATGCACCGACACGGGACTGGACGAACGCATGCACCGACACGTGATGGGAGCCTGCACGCGCCTTGTCCATGAGGAGGTGGAGGGAGGGCAGCACGTTGTCCATCGCCTCGGTGGACGTGAGCCAGCGGTGGGCGAGCACGCCCTCCACACTCAGCCTCTCCTCCGCCTTCACCTTCAGCAGGCTTCACCATGCGCACACACACGCACAACAACACAGACACACACAACAAAGACACACACATTGCTTCGTCAATTTACAAGCTTTACCTTTAGATTGCGTGTGCGTCAAAATGTCTGACTGTGCATCTGTATGCATGTATGTGTATGCATGTGTAAGTGCCTTTGTGTGTGTGTGTGGCAACATAAGTAAGTACATTGCACTACGAACCTGGCGATTTCAGTGTGATTCACGCTCATGACCCATAAGTGGCACATATTAAACCCGTTCTAGGCCTCCCCTAGGTCGATTGAGCCTCAAATCAGTACCTGGTGTGGTGTGTAAATATCGCCACGAGGAACACAAGGGTGGCCGGGCGTGGTGCTGGCCACCCACCCCCTCGTGTGCCGCTCCGACCTTCATAGGTGCTTGCTAACGGTACTTGCCCCAATAGTCTGTGAAAAGCTCTACGGGGTATATTTGTCTTTGAATATGTGTGTATGCATGTGTGTGTGTGCATGTGTGTGTATGCATGTGTGTGTGTGTGCATGTGTGTGTGTGCATGTGTGTATGCATGTGTGTGTGGTCACCAGCGCATGACGTCCTTGGCCGTGCATGAGAGTGAGTTTGTACGTGGTTGTACACGCATGTTTTTTTCTACGTGTGGTTACAAGCAAATGACGTCCTTGGCTGTGTGTGTGTATGTACGTATGCGTACGTGTGTGGGCACCAGCACAAGATGTCCTTGGCTTTGTAAAAGTTTGTGTTTACGTGTGCGAGTTTGTACGTGATGTGTATGTACATGCGTGTCTTTTTGTGTGTTCACCAGCACACGACGTCCTTGGCTGTGAAGAGTGTGTGAGTGTGTGTGCATGTGCGAGTGCGTGTGGTCACCAGCGCACGACGTCCTTGGCTGGCTCGGAGATCTGGCTCCATCCCTCCTCTGGGAAGTGGAACTTCCCCTGCATGATCTTGCGCCGCATGTCGCGCGGCATGGCCCGCCCACGCTGCTCCGAATGGAACGGCGGATACCCACAGAGCATCACGTAGATGATGACGCCCAGAGACCACAGGTCACAGCTCTGCCACGCATGCACGCATGGGGAACAGCATTAGCAGTATCAGTATAAGCAGCATCGTAATCATCGTCAGGGCATATAGCATAGCAGCATCATGATTATCACCACCATCGCCATCTTAATCATCATCAGCATCGTCAGCACCGTCATCACCACAATCACAATTATCCCCATCATCTATAGTGCTGGGACACAGCCCAGGGAGCCTGAAACAGGGGTCAGAGCTGCATCTTTGCGTGGGTGAGGCACACACAAGAGGTGAGGAGTGAAGTGGATGCAGGATGAGAACAGCAGGGTTGAGATATAGTATCTTCTTGAGAGCGATGAGGTGTGAGGGTCAAGGGCGGCACCTTGTTGTAGGTGTAGGGGGTGGCGTTTGGGGAGATGACCCCAGACTTCTCTTTGCGATGCTGCTTCTGTGCTTCCAGTACCTGCACCACACACACAGCCCCCACGCTCACACTCCTCACTACAATACTCCTACGCTCACCAAACCGCTCCCGCTCACCAAACCACTGCTAGGCTCAACACAATGCTCCCCGCTCACCATCACACACATACCTCTTCCACACTCACCATACCACTCCCACGCTCACCACAATGCTCCTACACTCACTACCTTGCTCCCATCCTCACCACTGCTCCCGATGTTATTTGTGACTGGGAATGGAACTCAGGTTGCCAATGTTGTGGTGCAGCACACAAAACACTGTTACTGCTAATCACAATGCATACAAAGACCTACCCCCAAAATCCTTAGCAGACTGTTGGGGCAAGTGTAGTGTACTAACCACTGCATCACCTCTCCCCCTATGTGCACACACCAATCACACACACACAGGAGTGCACAAAAACAAATATCCCCCGTATAGATAGTTGGGGCAAGTGCTGTTAGCGAGAGCCTATGAAGGCCAGCATGGCACACGAGGGGGTGGGTAGTCAACTCCAAGCTTGGATATCTTTATCTCTCCAGTACTGGTAATATACACACATTACCAGCTACTCATTTAAAGTTGAATCGACCACTCACTCACACACGCACGCATATGCCTGTACCTGCGGGGCCACGTAGTAGGGTGTGAACTGCGGGGTCATGAGGTCGCCCTGGTCCACCTTGGCAAAGCCGAAGTCGCACAGCTTTAGCGGCGCATCCTGCAGATCGTGGAGGTCACATGCATGAGGAGCTTCACTTTAATCCTATGAATGCCTCATTTGCAAGGGTGTCCAGGATGTTGATACTTCACACACCCACCCACACACTCACCCTCCTACTCACTCACCCACCCAAAGACAAAGATCACCCGTATAGCTTCTAACAGACTATTGGGGAAAGTTCCATTAGCGAGCACCTATGAAGGCCAGCACTGTACACAAGGGGGTGGGTTGCCAGTACCACACCCGACCCCCTATTTCTCCCCAGTGGCAATGTTTACACATAGTGCCAGTTACTCATTTGAGGCTGAGTCGACAAAGAAAAAGCCCAAGACCGGTTCAGATATTTGTCACTGGTGTTGGCTGTGGGCGGGAATCAAACTCGGGTCGCCGGGTTCGCATTGCAGCATTAAAACCGTTGCATGAACGCTCCACACACTCACCCACCCACTTAATCAACTACCCTCCGACACACTCACCCATCCTGCCACACACTCACCCTCCCACATGCTCACTCACCCACCTTCCCACTAACTCCCTCCTTCAATTAAAGACAAAGATCCCCCATCTAGCCTTAACAGACTGTTTGGGCAAGTGCTGTTAGCGAGCACCTATGAAGGCCAGAACGGTACACGTGGGGTGGGTGGCCAGCACCACGCCCGACTGCCTTTGTTTTCCCAGCGGCGATGTTTTTACACACCGCACCCGGTTCTCATTAAAGGCTGATTTGAACTCGGGAAGGCCCAGGACTGGTTCAGATAATCGTCACTAGGATTGCCCGTGAGCAGGAATCGAACTCGGGTCGTTGGGATTGTAGTGCAGCACACCAATCGCTATACTACCGCCGACTACCACTCCCACACTTGCCCACACACTCACTCATACATCGAATCAAAGAAACGCACCCTGAATTGCAAGTCCGGTGTGCTGCTGACCATTACACCACTGTGGGGGCAGCGCCCGTGTATTTTGTTTTATAAACAATGAAACTATGAGCAATGTATCTGGAGCAAGAGTGGTTGGCGTGGTGTGGAGGGTGAGTGGGGGGGGAGAGTAGACTGACCAGGGAGTTATCTTTGAAGAGGAGGTTTTCTGGTTTGAGGTCACGGTGCGCGATGTTCAGAGAGTGGCAGTGCTGCAGTGCCCGAGAGATCTGTGGTGAACACACGCACACACGATCACGCACACGCACATACAAACATGGAGGAAGGCTGGGGTCTCTCTCTTCAGCCACACTCCCACCTGCTGTGTCACCTCTCACCTGCTGCGTCACCTTGCTGGCCTGCTTTTCAGTAAAGTGGCGGCACTGGCTGATCCTGTTGAATAACTCCCCACCCTCCATCATCTCCATCACCAGCAGAAGCCGTGCCCTAGAAAACACCACACACAGAGCTATCATGAATAATTTAGACTTGTACTGTTTGGAGTATTCACTCAGTCTCACAGAGAATGACTCAGAGGCGCGAGGACGAACCACAAATAAGTGGGAAAGCAGCAGCCAGGTGTTGAGTCGGCATCAACATTTTAAAAGATCTGTGATCCTCTATATATTAAGATGTTTTCAGCCAATTAACCATAACCCATTGCCACCAGGTAGAGTCAATCTCAAGAGGGATACAGGGCAGGTTTGCGATGGGCCATGGAAACCACTTTGGAAGAGATGGGAGATGAGTTTGTGATGAGAAGGGTGTTTGATGAGGCAGGAGTGTGCTCTCTATTACTGTGTGGATCAGAGTGCGGAACCCTGACTAAACTGCTCCAAGAGAAGTTGTTGGCATTTCAACTCTGGTGTCTGAGATAAATGCTGGAAATTTTGCGGAAAGATAGGATCAGCAATGCAGAGGTCCAGAAGGGAACATACGGCAGTTGAGTGTTGTAGTTGTGATTGGGCCAAAACGGCTGTGGTGGGTAGGACCCGTGTGCAGGATAGGGTACGGCCGATTACTGAGACAGGCATTGGATTGGTCTCAACAAGTCAGGTGAAATGTTGGGATGAGGCTGACGGCGTAGTGGAGGTCGCCGCGTGTCTCTGGCAGAGGGCAGAGCGCGCTGGTAACGACGTGAGGTGGTGGTGGCATCGGCTCTACCCAGGCTGACGCCTTGAATCACGTGGCTCGATGCGCGAAACACACTTTGACTGAATCTATTAATAGATTTTAATCGAATATATTCATCATCATGGGTTAGGGGGGTGGGGGGATGGTGCAGTAGTAACACCCATACCTCATAGCAAGGACAGGGGTTTACTTCCTGATTCCGGTGCCTTTCTGTGTAGTGTTTGTATGTTCTCCCTCTTTTCTGCATATTATTAATTTGGGATTGCACATCGCAAGATCACTCCCTTTCTGCGAAAAAAAAAGACTCGGCGAGGCTTTCCTGGTTTAACACACATAAAGATAATAATTATAATAATGGTAATGATCAGGGTTTATCTCACCTGGGCGTGGCCTCGTGTGGTAGCTGCATGGAGTTGGCGAACACCTCGTGGACCTTGACCACGTTGGGATGGCCACAGCACTGCAGGTGCAGCTTTATCTGGTCACCCACATCGCACACACCGGCGTCACATCACCATCATGGCCCAGTGGCAGTGCACGTCCCGCTTGTTGCAAGAGGTTCGTGGTTCGAACCTGGTGGGCCACCCTGGTTATTACCACAGTATTAACCGTAAAATGATGCGCACTGTATACTTCACAAGTAGACATTCAAGATCCACTCATGTCATTCAAAACGAGCAGGCCAGTGTGTGCCTGCGTCATGGTGCAAATTTGACAAATTCTAAAAATGACACTGCAAATTAATCAATTGGGATGAGAAAGCAGCGATCATTGCCCCGTATTAACAGATGAATGCCTGATTGCCGGCCAAGTGCGGAGTCATCTTTTGTAATACAAGGACAGCTGCTACTGCGGGTGCCCTTCGAAAATGTGTTGAGATGTATGCAAGTTGCTTATCACGTGAGAAGCGCTCCGAGACGCCCAACGTTGTAAAGCAGGGCGGCTCAATAAAAAACTCACTCCCGCTACCACCACCATCACCTCTGCTGCATCCTTAGCCTGTCACTTCACACACGAAGCTGCCTAGTAAATTCCACGTTTGCATGCAATGCACCACGGTTTACTGCTGTGTGTGGACTGGACTGCAGCGTTTACAATATAGACCAAGGACGGTACATGTACAACACTGAATACACAGATCATAGAGGATGTTTGACCGTACTTCACCTTGTTGGTTAGTGTGGGTTCATTTTTTTTTTATCTGGTGAAAACTCATGGAACTAGGAGGAGTCTCATTTGCAAGATTGACTGATGTACACCACCAACATCACAAAATCAATAACATAAAACATTTTCGGGATACTAAGTTGACAGTGTTGCATAAACACAAATAACAAAAATGTTCGTCAATGACACTGTGGCCTTAAAATGTGGCGTTTCGGGCAATGGCCTTTCTTCATCACACATACAGGCCAGAGAGATGGAGTGAATAAGGGTTGGAGACTGCCGTATATAGAATAAAAATCAGAACACCACTGCATTCGTGAAAAAAATAAAACAATGCACACACATAAAACAACATTAAATCCAGAATATTTCTTGAGATGAAAGTCGGCTCAGACAAATTACTTTTAAATGCAATTTGTAGTAAAATTACATTACAGAAACATCAAAATGTTTTGGGGCGATTACTGTACAGGTATTTTTAAACAGACAGTAGTGTGAGTCAAACACAGCTACAAGTGAATTATCACACAGAATTGATGGCTTAGAATCAATTTGTGATTTAGATGGAGGAGAAACCAGGGAATTTTTTGTTGTTGTAGAATTCCAGATGTTATTATTTATCTTGTTAACCCAGGACAGCGGAGTCTCAAGACTCTTTTTTCTGGAGGGTCCTACTAAGTTTCTGCAGGAGAGATCGGTGTTGCCGTCATCCCGCACTTCCAATGAGCATGGTTGGCTATCTGTGGTGTGAAAAAGTTCAAAATACATACATATATCACAATTGAGTAATTCTTAGGTAATGTATTCATTCAGCATTGGGATGTTTGGCCAATACCATTTATATTGAGTTGCGTTTTACTATTAGAGGAAACCAATGAACACTGAGGAAATGCAGAACAGGGGAAGAACATACAAACCCCAGACAGACAGGAGGCGGAGTCAGGAATCACACCCAGGTCCTTTTTGCTGTTAATCTCATATGTTACCACCATGCCACCCTGTTGCCCAGTGTTAGGGGCATTAAAATCAGTAAGCGTAAGGCATCTCCAATATAATGACTATAAATAACAAATAAGACACCTCATTGCGGGCCTTGGGCCGGTCCGGCAGAATCTTGAGTGCGAATCTCTCCCCGGTCGCCTTCTTGACGCATGGCCTGTGGGACACAGCGCAAACGTCTCCAACTGGAACGCAAAGTCCGGCACTCCTTGCCAATTGTGTCGATATTGTCTATTCTCGGGCAGTAGCACGTTCGCCACTTATTGCAGAGGTTCGTGGAACGAATCCAGCAGATCACACCGGTTAAGTAACAAAATAACATGTATTTGTTCTCCATATCTAAATGGGAAGGAGGAATATTGACTGCATATTTAATGTATTTACATTCTCCACAACAACTCTAATGATTATTTTATGTTGTGTATTGTATAAATTTCGTTTTAGTTACTGCAGCTACATACTATTAACACTCCTTCCCTTTATTAGTGCTACCCCTATCCCCTCCCTTTGATGCTGCTAATCCTGCATAATGCACGGGCATAAGTAGTACTAATCACATACCTGCATTTCCCATAAATATGCTAAATTCCTCTTGATATGGAAATTATTTTGTCAAGGCGCCCTTTCCCCCCTTCCAACCCAGCTTAAATATATGCTCCAAGCATGGTGCTGTTTCATTCAGACGCTGTCGCCTCGACAGACCTGGTTTTCACCTGAGGACGGCTGCTTGCGTTGTGGCCGAAACGTCGTGAGAATTATTTTATTATGTTTTATTTTTATTATTTTATTACTTCCCTTCTACGTGACTTTACCGAAAGAACCAAGAAGGTGTATTGTATAGTTTTGGGTCAAACTAGGATCAATATCTAAGAGTGTCCTTGTCGATAAATATCTGGATTCATCTTCTTGGTTCTTTCGGTAAAGTCACGTAGAATGGAAATAATAAAATAATAAAAATAAAACATAATAAAATAATTATTATTTCCATTCTACGTGACTTTACCGAAAGAACCAAGAAGATGAATCCCTGCAGTCACGAAAGCTTTCAATCGAAAAATATCTGGATGTTCACCAACACTAGTTCCAGCAAGCCTGACTGCTGATACTACAATGAATTATAAAACCGGTCCAGACATTGCTTGTGTTGAACCAATACTGCTGAAATGATGCACTCCCAGAAGGCCGTGCAGCTGAAGGGATGTGTAAAAAAAATACCTTTTTACGTGGAGGGGTAAAATATGGGTCAAAGTGAATTCCTGCTCAAACGATAATTTATGCGCTGCTCATCTCCTGTTTACAGCCCTGCGCCAGTGGAGGAAATTCCCCATTTCTATGGCGGGGGTGAGTTTTTTTCCAGAGGACAACCATTGTTGAGTCCCGCACAAAATGTAATTCATCTTATCGACCCTGGAGGGAGGGATGATGGGCTTAGTCAATGCCAACTGGGATTTGAACTGTAAACCTTCCGATTGCGAGACGCTCGCTCTCCCGCCGAGCCATCTGGCTGGTTGCAGACACTAGAAGGAGGCGTGTTGATTGTCCACCTATCTGGAGAAGAGAAATCGTCGACAGGCGGCCGAGCCGGGTCGACGACCTCGCTTGGATTCCAAGTGACTGCAAAGCCATGCGTGAAACGAGAGACCGGAGGGAGAGGGGGATGGTAGAGCGATGAGCAGACACACGGGCAGTACCTGACGGGGCCGCTGATCCCCGAGCCGAGTTTCTGGTTCCACACGATGGTGTAGTCGTCGAGAATCGGCGTATGCTGGGAGAGGCGAAGCACAAGTCACGAGAGACCCGATGCCCACAAAGTAGTCTCCAGATTCAACAACACGCAGTGGTGTGCGGCACGGCGGTCTACTCTCAGTCCTACCCAGACCTCCAGCTCAAGAGATCTTCGTGTGGCAGTTTAGACCATCAACTCTTAGGGCTAAGAAAAACGAGCTGTCCCAACATTTACAGAATTGAATGAATGATCTAAAGTGTGCGCGACGGTTCACACACCCACGTACAACATAAAAACACAGACGCAACATATAAGCACTCACAACATAGAATTCATACAGCATGTATTTGCATAAAGATCACACACACACACAACACGCACACAAACGTACAACACATCACCCACACAACAAACGCTCATGCAACACAACTGCAAAGCGCCTGACATGCAGGTCTAAGCACGCATCACACAACACATTCCAATATCGCCACACAAGACGTACAACACAACACTCACATTACAACACAACACACACACGACTGACATCACCCCACCACACAACACACTACATAACACCACAAAACATAACACCACACTACATAACACCACACTACATAACACCACACTACATAACACCACACTACATAACACCACACTACATAACACCACACTACATAACAACACACTACATAACAACACACTACATAACAACACACTATATAACACACTATGTAACAACACACTACGTAACAACACACTATATAACACCACACTATATAACAACACACTACATAACAACACACTATATAACAACACACTACATAACACACTCTAATTCAACACACTACCTAACAACACACTACCTAACAACACACTATATAACAACACACTACATACCAACACACTACATAACACACTATATAACAACACAGTACATAACAACACACACTCCACTGTACCGCATCGCTGCACAGTAGACAGAGTACGAAATACCTCGGCCAAGTAAAACGACGCTCCCACCAGACACCTCGTTACCCCTCCAGACATCTCGTTACCCCACCAGACATCTCGTTACCCCTCCAGACATCTCGTTACCCCACCAGACACCTCGTTACCCCACCAGACACCTCGTTACCCCACCAGACATCTCGTTACCCCTCCAGACATCTCGTTACCCCACCAGACACCTCGTTACCCCTCCAGACATCTCGTTACCCCACCAGACACCTCGTTACCCCTCCAGACATCTCGTTACCCCTCCAGACATCTCGTTACCCCACCAGACACCTCGTTATCCCTCCAGACATCTCGTTACCCCTCCAGACATCTCGTTACCCCACCAGACACCTCGTTATCCCTCCAGACATCTCGTTACCCCTCCAGACATCTCGTTACCCCACCAGACACCTCGTTACCCCTCCAGACATCTCGTTACCCCTCCAGACATCTCGTTACCCCTCCAGACATCTCGTTACCCCTCCAGACATCTCGTTACCCCACCAGACACCTCGTTACCCCTCCAGACATCTCGTTACCCCTCCAGACATCTCGTTACCCCACCAGACACATCGTTACCCCACCAGACATCTCGTTACCCCTCCAGACACCTCGTTACCCCTCCAGACATCTCGTTACCCCACCAGACATCTCGTTACCCCTCCAGACACCTCGTTACCCCACCAGACATCTCGTTACCCCTCCAGACACCTCGTTACCCCACCAGACATCTCGTTACCCCTCCAGACATCTCGTTACCCCTCCAGACACCTCGTTACCCCACCAGACACCTCGTTACCCCACCAGACATCTCGTTACCCCTCCAGACACCTCGTTACCCCACCAGACACCTCGTTACCCCACCAGACATCTCGTTACCCCTCCAGACACCTCGTTACCCCACCAGACATCTTGTTACCCCTCCAGACACCTCGTTACCCCTCCAGACATCTCGTTACCCCTCCAGACATCTCGTTACATTGCCGAGGCCCCGTTATCTGCGTTACCCTCGTCACCCGTTACCTTAATGAAGCCGCATTACCCCAATTACCCTCGCCACCAGCGTTACCCCCATTACCCTCGCCACCAGCGTTACCCCATTACTCTAGTTACCCGTTACTCTAGTTACCCGATAGCTTGATGAGGCCTTGCAATACTCGTTACCCGCGTCACTCTCGTTGCATGTTACCTTGATGAAGTCGCGTTACCATCGTTACCGTGATAGAGCAGCGTTACCCTTCATGACGCCGCGTTACCCTCGTTACCCTCGTTACCTTGATGGAGCCGTCCGCGTCGTCCCCGGACATGGTCGCTCAGCTGACGGGGTCGGGGGTCACCGCGCAATGGCGGCGCCGTCGCTTATACAATTCCCAGTGCGGATAAGCAACGTATTTGCAATCCCCAATGTGTATAAGAGTACGAGCGTACTGTCTTGTATTTCCCAGTCTGTATAAGAGTGTCATCCTATATTTCCCAATATGTAAAAGTATTGCCATGTATTCACGTCAACTCGAGGGATAATGTATATCCAAGTCTACACAGGCATCACGTTATACTTGCTAATCTGGATGTCTACTTATATACGTGTCAGTCTATATAAGCATCCTGAGTCACATCACCGTTTGACCATTTAAACTCTGAATTCAAATGAGTGTATTCGTAACTTTGGCTCGTGAAAGTTTTGTCAAAAGACATCCAAATGTTTAACGTTTAATGAGATCGTTTATCTTGATGCGTGAACTTGACGTGTCCACCAGGGCTCCATGCGGTGTCGCTTCGTGCAGACTCGCCTCCTCCTCACCCTCAGGCCCACTTTGAAGGCTCATGGCCCGAAACGTCGCACGCTGTAATTTCCATCTTAAGGCCACAATATTAGCGCGGGATAAAGAAGAGTAATTAGCGAGGGATGTTGTTTTATTTCCCGGTCAGCAAGCCTCGTACGGACCGCACATTCTGCAACGCCGCCGACCCCAACCCACTGTTGAATGGGGCGCGCCTCTGCCCCACATGTGGGTCGTGTAGGGGGGTATTTGGCCATACCTCGCCGCGCTGGTCAGCACGGGCTGAGGGCGGGCAGCATGGACTCTAAGTCTACAGCACTGTGGATGTTTCTGCCGTGGCCTGCTGCCCGGCAGTGGACCCCTCTCGCTGCTGCTGCCGCCGCTGTTTGCTGCGCGGGGAGCACCACTACGAGCACGGCTCAACCCCACACAGATTCACAGATCTGGCGAGTGAATAGGTTTCCAAGTATGGACCTATCTTCTCTTTATAGACTGTGTAGGACGACGTTCAGAGGAACTGCACTGGGTGGATGATAGTGGTATAAAGTTCAACACAAAGCCACCAGATTTCGTTCACGGAAGCATTCCCGTTACCCGAACACGGCAGAAGCGAGTTCTCGCACAGGTGGCCCCCCGACTGGACAACTATCACGTCGCTCGAGTGTCGTGAGCGGGGCGGGTGGCCTCGTCCAGCCGCGGGGAGACCGCGGGGAGACCGCGTGCTGCTGCTGCTGCTCTTGTTGTTCACTCCGCGGGGATGGGCGGCTTGCCCGGATCGATTCCCGGCTCCACTCGCCACGGCCATCGATTCCCACGCGTCGATCCGGGTCTCGTGGCGCTTGCTAAGCCAAGTACCGGGTCGAGCGGAATCGACACCAAGAGGCACAGACCGATTCCGCGTTTGTCTTGTTAGAAGGACGGATTCGCGGCACAGTTAATCGATCCGCATGGATCGGATCGCTTGTGTGGAGCAGGGATTGTAAACGCAGCAGGGAGACGTCTTCCGTGGGTCGGGATCCAGGATCCAGCCTCGGAACCTCGGTCCCAGATCCCAGGATTTAGTCTCCGAGTTGATCCGGGCCGTGAGCTCCCGGTTCTGTGCTCCCGGCTCCAGATCGAAGTCGGACTTGAGCCGCTGGAATCCATCTCCGCGCTGGTTACGTCTCGAGGACCCAGCCCCAGCAGGGCTCAGGGTTCAAACTGAAGGCTCCGTCCGATATCCCTCCTCCAGTATCAGACCTGCAACAGGTTCTGTGCTCGCGGCTCTTGGAGGCCGCAGTTCCCGGGCCCTGGAGCCCGGGACCCGCTCGCATCCCGAGTCCCCGCGCGGCCATGTGAGGCGGGGGGGGGGCCCTGAGCCGAGCCGCGGCCTTGCCCGCCCGGGCCGTCCCCCATGATTTCCCGCAGGATTTTGCGCAAGCGCTGGCTCCTGTCCGTGGTGCTGGGCGCCTCCCTCATCTACTTCCTCAAGAACACCATCCGGCAGGCGGTGAGTCGTCCTCACACCGGCGCCCGGACTAACGCCAGCCTTGCCTGTAGCTCCGAGCACGACAGTTCCCAACCCGAGCCTTGCCAATATCCTCCAACAATAACCCTCACCCCGAGTCCGAGCGCTTGTCCAAACGCTAAACCCCTTAACCCTCCAACTCTAGTCCCTGAATATAACCCTACCTCGGAACGCTTGTCTACTAAAACCCTAGCCTAAATAAAACACACCAGTACCTACAGCTCAATCATTAACCATCATCCTGCACATACCCTGACTTGACCCGAAACCCCCAACACCCATCAGAGTCCGTGCCACACCAACTCTGCTACCCATTACCCCACACCAACTACCTGGACCCCAAATCCCCTCGGCCTATCCCCCTACTCCTAACTCTACCTCAAACCATCTCGATGACTCCACTCATAACTGTACACACAGCCCTCGCCGCATTTATGACCATTTTTTCAGTAGCCCCCCTCCCGCTTTACCCTAACTCCCATGTCTCCCACACACTGTCACGCTGACGACGCCCTCTGTCACGCTGATGCCTTGTGACCCTGCATCACTCACCCTGACCCCTGAATCATTCTGCTGCCCCCCCCCCTTATGTCCCGCAGCAGGATGAGCTGACGGGGAAGGAGCGGTCCCTGCTGCAGGCGCAGGACCCCCAGCGCCGCCTCGACTGGCGCGTCCGCTTCACGCCCCACAACGGCAGCGGCGCGGGGGGGCCTCCGGGCCGGTGCCGCAACTCGGTGCAGGGACGCATGCTGCTCACGGACGAGAGAGGCCCGTGGCCCACAACACACGCACACGATGGGCACACGCAGCAGCCTCTGCCTATGTGTCTGCTTTGTATGTGTCTGTTGACACCATAGACACTCTTGCAAATGAGATGTTCCCTCCCAAGGGATTATGTTGGTTAAATAGCTTGATAAAAACATAGAAATACACTTTTTCCACGTAAGCCTGGTCATTCTGGAGCTAATGCTGCGTGTCTGCGTCCGCAAGCTTTCGACACTTCACCTGGCCCCACATTGTGTTCACGTTTGTGTGTTTGTGTCGCCAGGCTTCGTGTGTGAGCGGCGTGCGGTGCTGCCGAGCGGCTGCTGTAACGACAGTGCGCCTGGCAGCGCGCAGTACAGCTGCCAGGGCTGTCAGCCCAATGGCTGCTGCAGCATCTATGAGCACTGCGTGTCCTGCTGCCTGCAGCCTGAACAGGTGAGGGGCACATGCATCCCTGGGGGTTTGGTTGCTTTTGCTTGAATTCTATTTTCCTCATTGTCGCATTTTTTATGTTATTGTTGTGTCATTGTGATGACGCAGGTCATTCACTTTTGCAAATGACACTCTCCTGGTCTCTTCCGAGTTTTCACCTGAATGTGAGATGCCATGGAGGAGGTGATGCTCAAGACGCGTGTGGCCTCGGTGCCCTTCCCAGCAGGCTGTGCTCGAGCGCTTCCTCGGCCACGCGGCAGCTGCATTCCAGAACCTCTTTCTGGCGGTGCGCGACCACTTTGAGCTATGTCTCGCCAAGTGCCGCACATCCTCACAGGTGAGAGGGCTCGCCACGCCACGGGAGGGCACGCCAACTCGCACCATTCATAATAAAGCACCACCACCACCACAGTGCTCCCACACCATGGGATGCTGGTATTCGCCCCCCTCCCTCCCACTGACTGTGCAGAGTGTGCAGCATGAGAACACGTACCGTGACCCTCGCGCCAAGTACTGCTACGGGGAGGACCCCCCCGAGCTGCTGCCAGTGTGAGCCCGGCACCACCTCATCTGCTATCTCCTTGCTGGAGCCCACCCCTCCAACGAGCAACAGGTTGTGGCAACGCTGATGGTCTCCATCTATCTCCTTGAGTCTCCACAAGTCTCCGTGTGTCTCCAGGGATCTGGTGGCGATAAAGAAACTAGCACCAGGAAAAACGTTCCATGGTCATAACTGCAAATTGTCACACTCCGCAACTATCCCACCTTCCATTCCCCCTGCTTGCCATGCCCATCGCGGTTGTTGATGCTGTATTTATAATTAAATTATGCACAATGTATAAAAAACAACCCTGCCCCAATGAGCCCTGTATTGGCACGATGTCACGCTCTACGTGGGTATGAGCGGTGTGTAAATAAGCTAACGTCAATAAAGTGTTTGTGTTCTTGGGAGCTAATGTTATTTAACAAGAAATCTACACTAAGTCTGAGGAGCCACACTGCAACAGAATGTTTGGCCAACAGAAGACATTGTGTTTAGGAATGGGAAGAAACCCGTGTAGGACCTACCAACTCCACACACCAACACATTTTACCACGCCAAGAGAAATTCCCCATTTTAGCCTTAACACACAACAGCAAAGTGCTGTTCGCGAGCACCTGTGAAGGCCTCTACGGCACACGAAGGGGCAGGTGGCAGACCCCATGCCCAGCCGTCATTGTCTCCTTCATGGAATGTTTACATCGCACCGGGAACCTCGGGCAGGTTCAGATATTCGTCGCTGGTTTTGGTCGCGAGTGGGAATCCAATTTGGGTGGCTGGGTTCGTAGTGCAGCCCACAAACCCCTACGCCACTGCTTCCTGTGCACGACATACTCGTCGTACTCGTGTCAGCTCCTTGTTGAGGGGCGAGTGTTACCAATTTCTCCACTGGATACCATTTGATCTCCCAAGACCCATTTGCTAATCCACTGCTGGACGAGGTCCTGCAGTGTGGCTCGTGGGGGGTCATATTGGTCCGTGTGGGTTTGTGGAGGTTCAAGAGCGTTGACCCAGGGGAGGACTCTCGAGACGAGGATCGTCTCCTTGGCAAGTGTGACCTGGGTTAGCAGCATGATCCTGGCCGTGGGCGCAAGAGGTCCCGATGGCTGCGGCTGTGCAGGCCGGGGTGGTCCTGCACGCGCGGTGCTCGCTTATCCCGCCCAGGCTCACACCCGCTTGGCTTCTGCCATATTCCCGGTGATTTTGGTGGAGGCGGAGAGCCCATACTGGGATGGATGAAGAGCGGATCCTGCATGACCGTGCAGGTATCGGGGACCAGTCGCCGCGTCCTTGAACCCCGACGCGATGTCACCGCGCATGCGCAGACGCGGCGCGCGCGAGGAACAATAAACTCGCGCGCGGAGGAGGCCCGGACCGGCTCCCGCTCCTCGCTTCGGCGCCCGCGAGCTCCCGCATCCACCTCCCGCATCCACCTCCCGCGCTCTCCAGCTCGCCCCCTGCTCTGCTCGGCCCTCCCCGTCACCCTCCCGCACTCTCGGCTCTCTTCAGCGCCCCCGCGCACTTCTCTCCCGACGCGTCCCGCTCCGCTCGGCTCTCCCCGCAGCTCCCGGCGGTGACTGCGCCGCCATCTGCGTCCCGCTTCTCTCTCCCCGCCGGCAGCCCCCGACTCGGCCCCAGGCTCTCCCCTCTCCCCACTCGCGGTCTCCGTCGTCCCTGTCGCCCCCTCGCCGCAGCAGGCCACTCGCAGACCCTGCGGGCGTCGTAGGCCTCGGACTTCCCCGGCGGTGGGCCCGGGGCCCTATCCGGTGGCCGCAGGCTCCCCCGGCCATGGCCCCCGTGGCCCGCTACTCGCTGCGGGTGAGCGCAGCGGTGGCGCAGGGCGGCAGGAGGTACATGGAGGATGCGGCCGTGGTGGTTCGGGAGAGGCTGAGGGGCCACGAGGTCACGTTCGTCGCGGTGTTCGACGGCCACGGGGGCTCCGAGGCGGCGCTGTTCGCCAGGCGGCACCTGTGGGCCGCGCTGCGGAGGGACCGGCAGCTGCTGTCGCCGCGGCCCGAGCGCGTGTGCGCGGCCCTCCGGGAGGCGTTCGTCGCCACACACCGCGCCATGTGGCACAAGCACCGTGAGTGGTGGAGGCGGGGGGCTGAGCGATGGATGAGAGGCTGGCGGGGGGGGGGGGCTAACATGTGTGAGAAGTGAGGGGCAGGGACGGAGGCGAGGGTTGGGAGAGAGGTGGTGTGGGTTTTGAAAGTGGTGGGCAGTGCTGCCACCGGCGCATGTACTGGAGTGCGTGGATTTGGATGAACTTCGCGCTCTGCCTCGTCTCTCTCCACCCTCTCCACCCTCGCATCCCCAGCCGAGTGGCCGCGCACGGTGAGCGGCCTCCCCAGCACGGCGGGCACCACGGCCACGGCGCTGCTGTTCCGGGGCTCCCACCTCTACGTGGCGCACGTGGGGGACTCGGGGGCGGTGTTGGGCGTGCGGGGGGGACCCGGCGGGGCCCTGCGGGCCGTCGAGGTGACGCGCGACCACAAGCCCGAGTGCCCGCGAGAGAAGGAGCGCATCGAGCGCTTGGGCGGCAGGTATGGGAGTGGGGGCCCTGCTGAAACGGCGGCCACTCGACTGTACCCCAACCCATCGTGTCTCTTCACGCTCGCCTATAAAAACAATGCTGCTGTACGGATGCCACCAATGAAACACATTCTGCCTTGTTGACAGGGTGCTAAGGCTCGCATGCGTGCGGTGAGGCAGGGTGGTGAGTAATTCTAGCGCGTGTGTGTGCGGTGAGGCAGGGTGGTGAGTAATTCTAGCGCGTGTGTGTACGGTGAGGCAGGGTGGTGAGTAAGTCTAGCGTGTGTGTGTGTGTGTGGTGAGGCAGGGTGGTGAGTAAGTCTAGCGTGTGTGTGTGCGGTGAGGCAGGGTGGTGAGTAAGTCTAGCGCGTGTGTGTGCGGTGAGGCAGGGTGGTGAGTAAGTCTAGCGTGTGTGTGCGGTGAGGCAGGGTGGTGAGTAAGTCTAGCGCGTGTGTGTGCGGTGAGGCAGGGTGGTGAGTAAGTCTAGCGTGTGTGTGCGGTGAGGCAGGGTGGTGAGTAATTCTAGCGCGTGTGTGTGCGGTGAGGCAGGGTGGTGAGTAATTCTAGCGTGTGTGGGCGGTGAGGCAGGGTGGTGAGTAAGTCTAGCGCGTGTGTGTGCGGTGAGGCAGGGTGGTGAGTAAGTCTAGCGTGTGTGTGTGCGGTGAGGCAGGGTGGTGAGTAAGTCTAGCGTGTGTGTGCGGTGAGGCAGGGTGGTGAGTAAGTCTAGCGTGTGTGTGCGGTGAGGCAGGGTGGTGAGTAAGTCTAGCGTGTGTGTGTGTGTGCGGTGAGGCAGGGTGGTGAGTAAGTCTAGCGTGTGTGTGTGCGGTGAGGCAGGGTGGTGAGTAAGTCTAGCGTGTGTGTGCGGTGAGGCAGGGTGGTGAGTAAGTCTAGCGTGTGTGTGCGGTGAGGCAGGGTAGTGAGTAATTCTAGCGCGTGTGTGTACGGTGAGGCAGGGTGGTGAGTAAGTCTAGTGTGTGTGTGTGCGGTGAGGCAGGGTGGTGAGTAAGTCTAGCGTGTGTGTGTGCGGTGAGGCAGGGTAGTGAGTAATTCTAGCGCGTGTGTGTGCGGTGAGGCAGGGTGGTGAGTAAGTCTAGCGCGTGTGTGTGCGGTGAGGCAGGGTGGTGAGTAAGTCTAGCGTGTGTGTGCGGTGAGGCAGGGTGGTGAGTAAGTCTAGCATGTGTGTGCGGTGAGGCAGGGTGGTGAGTAATTCTAGCGCGTGTGTGTGCGGTGAGGCAGGGTGGTGAGTAAGTCTAGCGTGTGTGTGCGGTGAGGCAGGGTGGTGAGTAAGTCTAGCGTGTGTGTGCGGTGAGGCAGGGTGGTGAGTAAGTCTAGCGCGTGTGTGTGCGGTGAGGCAGGGTGGTGAGTAAGTCTAGCGTGTGTGTGCGGTGAGGCAGGGTGGTGAGTAAGTCTAGCGCGTGTGTGTGCGGTGAGGCAGGGTGGTGAGTAATTCTAGCGTGTGTGTGCGGTGAGGCAGGGTGGTGAGTAAGTCTAGCGTGTGTGTGTGCGGTGAGGCAGGGTGGTGAGTAAGTCTAGCGTGTGTGTGTGCGGTGAGGCAGGGTGGTGAGTAAGTCTAGCGTGTGTGTGTGCGGTGAGGCAGGGTGGTGAGTAAGTCTAGCGCGTGTGTGTGCGGTGAGGCAGGGTGGTGAGTAAGTCTAGCGCGTGTGTGGGCGTTGAGGCAGGGTGGTGAGTAAGTCTAGCGCGTGTGTGTGCGGTGAGGCAGGGTGGTGAGTAAGTCTAGCGTGTGTGTGTGCGGTGAGGCAGGGTGGTGAGTAATTCTAGCGCGTGTGTGTGCGGTGAGGCAGGGTGGTGAGTAATTCTAGCGTGTGTGGGCGGTGAGGCAGGGTGGTGAGTAAGTCTAGCGCGTGTGTGTGCGGTGAGGCAGGGTGGTGAGTAAGTCTAGCGTGTGTGTGTGCGGTGAGGCAGGGTGGTGAGTAATTCTAGCGCGTGTGTGTGTGTGCGGTGAGGCAGGGTGGTGAGTAATTCTAGCGCGTGTGTGTGCGGTGAGGCAGGGTGGTGAGTAAGTCTAGCGTGTGTGTGTGTGTGTGCGGTGAGGCAGGGTGGTGAGTAAGTCTAGCGTGTGTGTGTGCGGTGAGGCAGGGTGGTGAGTAAGTCTAGCGCGTGTGTGTGCGGTGAGGCAGGGTGGTGAGTAAGTCTAGCGTGTGTGTGTGTGCGGTGAGGCAGGGTGGTGAGTAAGTCTAGCGTGTGTGTGTGCGGTGAGGCAGGGTGGTGAGTAAGTCTAGCGTGTGTGTGTGCGGTGAGGCAGGGTGGTGAGTAAGTCTAGTGTGTGTGTGCGGTGAGGCAGGGTGGTGAGTAATTCTAGCGCGTGTGTGTGCGGTGAGGCAGGGTGGTGAGTAATTCTAGCGCGCGTGTGTGCGGTGAGGCAGGGTGGTGAGTAAGTCTAGCGTGCGTGTGTGCGGTGAGGCAGGGTGGTGAGTAAGTCTAGCGTGTGTGTGTGCGGTGAGGCAGGGTGGTGAGTAAGTCTAGCGTGTGTGTGTGCGGTGAGGCAGGGTGGTGAGTAAGTCTAGCGTGTGTGTGTGCGGTGAGGCAGGGTGGTGAGTAAGTCTAGCGCGTGTGTGTGCGGTGAGGCAGGGTGGTGAGTAAGTCTAGCGTGTGTGTGTGTGTGCGGTGAGGCAGGGTGGTGAGTAAGTCTAGCGCGTGTGTGTGCGGTGAGGCAGGGTGGTGAGTAAGTCTAGCGTGTGTGTGTGCGGTGAGGCAGGGTGGTGAGTAAGTCTAGCGTGTGTGTGTGTGTGCGGTGAGGCAGGGTGGTGAGTAAGTCTAGCGTGTGTGTGTGCGGTGAGGCAGGGTGGTGAGTAAGTCTAGCGTGTGTGTGTGCGGTGAGGCAGGGTGGTGAGTAAGGCCGGCGTGGAGCGCGTCGTGTGGACCAGGCCGGTGCTTGCCCACACGGGGCCCGTGCGGCGCAGCACGGCCGTGGACCACATCCCCTTCCTCGCCGTGGCACGCGCCCTCGGTGAGTACGCAACTCGCTTCGTAACTCAACTGTGCCTCCTCGCCGCAACTCGCTTCAGAGGAACGCGGTCATAAAGAGTCGCCCATTGGCTTCGTGACTCTCCCCTCTCTTTCCGCTGTCGGCCTCTCTCCCCACGTCTCTTTCTCTCCGAAGGGGATCTGTGGAGCTACGATTTTGGCCGCGGGGAGTTTGTGGTGTCCCCCGAGCCGGATGTGTCGGTGCGGACCATCGACCCGAGTCGCGACGCCCTCATTGTCCTGGCGAGCGACGGCGTCTGGAATGTTTCGTCGCCCGCCAGCACCGTCAGCACCTGCTGGGACGAGTGCGAGCGCCGCGGAGGGGTTGGTGCCACACACAGACAAAGATTCTATCTGGAGCATCGTGTAACGGGTGTCCCAGCCTTGTTACTACACAAATAGATGCACAAACGCACACGCATGAACACATAACTGCAAAGAAAATTAACGCACACCGACAACAACAGCCCACTAAATGGTGGGTGACATCACCACGGCACTTGTGCCAGGCTAGATGCACGAGATCACACCCCTGACAGGAGATCACGGGACGGAATCAGGTGTTATGGGTTGACGAAGTGAGATGATTGGCAGATGCGCACCACGTGTGCTCCCCACTGTGCCAACTTGCTGATTATGAGCATCGCTCCTTCGCTCGTTGTTGTTGGTAGGAGGCTGTATTCACCTAGCCTGGCACTGCCCAGTAGCTTCCTTTACAAGCCGCCTCCACAGTGGCCAATCTCTGCTGGTACCATTCAATGGCATGTCCAATCTGTTCCAAATCCTGTACCGCATTAGCCTGCTTGTCACACCTTTAGCTACAGACCATCTCATCCACCCACATACAGTATTTGTGTAAATTAGCCTGTTCCTTATTTTCAAAATGTTTCATGATTGAGATTGTTTCTTGATGAATATTGCACAACCGTAATATTTTTGCCTTATCAAAAGGTGTTTAGGGGTCTGTACTATGTGCCTTAATGCACACACACAGCCTCCTCCCACCTCGCCCCGTGTATTTCCCCGGGCATGCAGGTGGAGCGGGAAGGAGCGCCGTCCCTGGCCGGCCTGCTTGTGTCACACGCCCTCGCTCGGTGGCGCGGGCGCATGCTGCGTGCCGACAACACCACGGCCATCGTGATCCGCATACTTCCGGCTTCGCCACAGGGCGAACGCGGCCCGGACGCCCCCCTCTCCCTCCTCCTGCCCCCTCCACAGGTGTGTTCGCCAGTGTGCGGTAGCCATATAGTTGTGAGGAAGTGACCGGTGCGGCGGTGGCGATGTGACCGGTGCGTGATGCTCCTTTATGCACGCAGGGCACAGATTTCGACAGTGGCCGGGAACTGGCCATGACCATCTCTGAAGAGGCCTGCGATGAGGGGCTCGACGCTGGAGAAGAGGGGCTCACCGGGGGAGGGGTTGGGCTCGTTGCCTGTGCCGCCGTGTGCCGTGAAAAGCGGAGTCCCGGGCACGTGCATGACATCGCGCTCACCCCGGCGTCCGTGCGTCCATCCCGGCCGGGTTCGACAAGGCCTTCGCAGGGCCCCCCGGCCCCCCACGACGGGGCGGCCGCTGCCGTCACGTTATTAGACAGGTGGGGCACGGAGCCCCCCTCCCCGACGGCCGCGATGTCCTTGGGCCCTCTTTCCACCACGTGTGCGCGGGTCAAGGGGACCCTGGGGGAGTCGAGCGTCCCCAACTCGGCCCCCCCTGCCAAGAGTTCCCGGCGGGGGGAGGCGGGGGGCGCCGGGGGGCCCAAGCCTCGATTGGCGGGGGGAGGCGGCGGCGCTGCCGCTGCGCGTCGGTGGCGCCGCCGGCCACGCAGGGTGAACGGCGCGGCCGCCCGGTGCGCCCGGACGCTCCCCGTCGCCACCACGAAGACAACGGCAATAGGCGTGCGATAGGGATCACCGGTAGGGGTCACCGAGAGGGTTCGGTGATGGGAGTCAGTGGGGGTCAACTGCCAGGGGGTCACGTTCCACCTGGGGGAGTGGAGGGGGGGTAGCTGTCGTGGTGCTCAATGCTCTTGTCCCCACTCTTTTAATCGGTTGCTGTGTGCCGTGGGAGTGTCGCTGCGGGTTGAGTTGTCGTGAGATGTAGGTGTTATCTGCCTCGTTTATAATTTTTATATTTGGTCAAATGGACGGGACGAACAAACGTGTGAAAGCGCATCTCGCTCAAGGACGAGATGAAAATGATCATACTCGTGTCTTTTATATTTTTTAGGACTAAATACATTTTTGTTGCAGTGAAATTAAAATTAAATAAACTTTGCGTGACGGCTCCCTGCAAATGACTCCTAATTGAAACGCTAATGTCTTTGGCGGCAAGTGCCCGTGACAGATAATTCCTCTTGAAAACGGTGAGACTCGTTCAACTTGGGGTAGCAGCGCAGTGGACACTCGTGGCCCATAGTGAGAAGCACCTGGGTTTGATTCCTGACTCGGGTGCATCTATGTGGAGTTTGTATGTTCTCCCTCTGTTCTGCATGTGTTTCCTCCAGGTTCTATTTCCATAGCTAAAATAAAAAAAACATACAATGTAAGCACCTCAAATGAGCATGGTTGGGTATGTACGGTGCAGAAGAAGTTCGACACAGTATTGGCCAAACAATGCAGAAAAATCACTTTCAAATTGGGATCGCACAAAGCAACATCACCCCAAACTGAAAAATTTGCAGGACCCTCAAAAAGAGTATTCAGCCTTGGTTGGGGTTTTCTGGGTAAACAAGGGTAATTATAAAAATAATACTTGTACCTTTTATCTTTTTCATGTATGTGGTCATTGTAAGCGCGGCGTGAGTCGTGATTGTCGTGATGGGTGCTGCAGGCCCTGTGCCATGCCTCAATAAAAGTTTCTTCTTTCTCCACGTGGGCTGCTGCTGCTGCACCTCTGGGAGCGGGGCCTCGTTTCGAGGCGCCGTTACGAACAAGGAGGGTCTGGAGTCGCTGCTCGCGGCGTGTGGCTCCATTCGTCATTTCGAAAACGTTATTTCCGGCTCAAATGAGCAATGAGGCACAGATGCTCGTCTCTCGTTTACTGCCCTCAGCCAGTGGTGGAAATTCCTCATTCTCAAGGCGGGGGCGTGTGTCAATCGGACACCTGCCTTTGACTTCCCTACAAAGTGCTACTAATTTTTACCGACTGGAGGGAGGGATTAGTCAACCCCCCAAATCAGGATTTGAACTCGCAACCTTCCAATTGGGTGCCATCCACTCGACCGCAAAGCCACCTGGCTGGATTTTTGTTGAAAGCGGAGATGTGTGACGAAAGAGCGAGAGCTCTGCACCAACGGTAACTTCAAGTTACTCGTAAGTCAAGCCTCGAATCGCTTCCCGACTCGGGTGCTTCTCTGCGTGGAGTTCTCCCCCTGTTATGCTGCATGGGGTTTCTCCAGACTTCCTTCCATGGCATTCTCCAAACATCCCAATGCTGAAAAATTGCCTGCAAATTACTACATTTATTGAACACAACAACATGGCCTCCCGACTGCGACAACTTGAAAGGGACCTCCTTCAGGAGTCGAGAGCACGCGATCTCACAATGAACGATCATAAACGACGCTCATGCTCGTTCTGTGCCGTCCACGATTGGGTTTTTCGTATAACTTGGACTCAAATCCAGCAGAGAGGGTCCTTGCCCCTGAACCCCTGGTAGTTCACCTGCTGTGGTCGTGGCGCATGGCAGCTGGTGGCTGTGCTGCACGTGGCTGCTGTAACTCATGCAGAATAGAGGGAGACCACACAGATGGTCAGCACCCGTCACGACAGGAGAAGGCGGTGCAGCTGTACGGGGCTAGAGTGCGGCGCCATCACGCAAGGCGGCGTGGGCTTTATCCAGGTGCTCCAGTTTCCTTCGCCTTGGTATGATCAACACAACTCGTCGTTATTGGCAGAGAACATCTTAAAATGAAAACCCAATGCAGCAGCAGTACCCTCCTGCAAATGAGTCATTCGACTCAGTGTGGCTCTCCTGCTAAATAAGTATGTTATCATAGCATTGGTTAAAGCCAGCTGGACTGCTGATGAGACTGAAGAAGGGACCCAGGAATCCCGTCTCCCGACTTAGCTCGTCGCTATCCCCGCAACAGCCGCCAGGGGGCGCCACAGACCGCGCCCTGGGTCGGAGAGACGGGGACGAGGAAACGAGACTCGGATCAAGGCGACATGGAGGCAGGAGGCAGAGCGGATACAGGCGGACAAACGAATGGAGACAGAGAGACGAAGAGACCGGGAATGTGAGGCCCCGTTGCCTCTAACCTTTGGAATATCGGGGGTTCTCCTTTCCCGTCTGTCCCTCTAAGACCCAGCGGGGTCTGTGGGGACTCAACGGGGTCCGCGTTGGGGGTGAGCGGTGTTAGGGGTGGAGGAACAACAGGGTCCGAAGGGGGGACCTGGGCTCCCAGGAACCGTGCGCGTGCATGAGTACGTGGATTGCTGTGAAACACTCACAGATGCCTTGAAAGATCTGGACATAGTCCAAATCGGGGAGCTCCTCCGACAGCGAGTCTGAGTTGGCTGGGTTATGCAGTCCACATGCCCAGCCACCGCATGCCCAAGGAGCTTCCGTTTGGCCGGATAGAGGGGTCTAAACGGGCGCGACACGGGCTCGAGACGAGACTGGGCTGATGCGGAACAGGAGCGTGTGGGGCTGGGTGGGCTTGCCGACGACCGGTACCAGCGGTGTGAGGATCGGCCTTTCTTCAGGAGGCTCATGAATGACCCTGCTGGGGAGTTTGAGGCAGTCACCATCGAACAACAGCGGAGGGTGGAGGATCGACGCTCACAACAACGTGCAGAGCGCCAAGCGGATAAAACGCAGCAAGTTGGCACAGTCGAGAGCACATGTGGTGCATCTGCCAGTTATCTCAATTAACCCATGGCATTTGGATCTGTTCCGTGACCTTCGGTCAGCGAGCCTTTGACGTGGCCTCAATGTGCACCTAGCCTGGCACAAGCTCCGTGGTGACGTCACCGCCACTTAGTAGCGAACAGCGGCTGTTATTGTACACGTGTGCCCCGCGTCTGTGTTACATGATCCATATCCACGCTTTTGAGTCAGAGTTGATTTAGACGCGGTGATGGCGATGATGGCGGTGATGTCTTTGCCCCCCTCGGCACCAGCACCGCGAAGAGGTCGCGGGTTTAAGTGAATACTGGTTCATGTGAATGCGGGTTCATGTGAATGCGGGTTTAGGAAATCAGCACGGGTTACGATGGATGCGGGCTAAGCTGAACGTGTGGTTGTGTGAGTGGATTGTGTGAGTGAGAGGTTGCGTGAGTGAGTGGTTGTGTGAGTGAGTGGTTGTGTGAGTTAGTGGTTGTGTGAGTTAGTGAATGAATGATCGTTTGAGTGAATGTGTGGTTGGGGAAATGAGGCGGTGTGTGAATGTATGGTCATGTGAACGTGAGTTTAGGTTTTGTGAGTGTGCGAGTGCGCCTACATGTGAGCAAGACCGTGAATGTGTGTGAGACTAACAATCGAGAGTATGATAGAGAATGTGTTTGATAGTGTGAGAGAGACTGTGTGTGAGTGAGGGTGAGTGAAAGGTGTGAGTGTGACTCACACACACTCACACGTGTGAGCGCTGTTTCCCCTTCATGCTGGTAGCGAGAGGAAGAAGCAAGGATATCATCATTCACATGGCCAATGTTCTGATTGTTTATGTTTCCGCGTGTTCATCCAGGAGAGCCTCGCTGAGTCTCGAGACGATTTTTTTCGAAGGCTCTTGCCAAGTTCTCAGTAAGGGCTAAATCGCTGCTGTTTGTGAGCCGAATTGAGTACTTTTCAGGTAACTTTTCAGCATTGGGATGTTTGTCAAATGCTTGTTCAGAATCTTTCTTTATCCTGGAGAAATCCGATGAGCTATGAAGCTCTTTTTCACAGATGTCCAGTAGGGGCGGGTCAGAAAGTTACAACAAACAACACAAAAAAGCGATAGGAGTGCAAAGTATAGGGGAAGTAACTACATTACTAAAAGTAAGTATATACGTTCAAATCGCACAAGTACAAGCTTGAACAAGGCATAAAAACATCAGCAAAAGCAGTCCCAGACCACACCAAGACAACACACAGTCCCTCGATAAAATTGCACATTCAAATTGAACTATCGATACATGGGTAAGGATCAGAGTTACAAATCATATTGGTAAATGTAGCTGTATCCAGCACTAATCTTTTGTTTCAATTATTTACTTACCTTTCCTATAAGATTGCACTCCTATCGTTTTTTTATTTGTTGTCGTTGTAACTTTCTGACCTGCCCCAACTCGACATCTGTAAAAAAAAGAGGTTTTATAGCTCCACGCATTCCTCCAGTATAAATACAGATTTTGATTCTGATATTTTTTAAAGGAAGATTTACGATGTTAAAGGAGCAAACAATGATTTTCTAAAGCTTTGTCACCTATTCCAATTCTCGTTTTTGGGATAGTTAAAAGTCAATAAGATGCACGTCTTATATTTCTTCAGTTTGCCAAGGGGTTATTGAATTAGCTAGGTATTACTCAGATTTGCCAATAAGGATGTTATGGATGAACAGGGCCCAATGCATACGTCGTCTTGCATCCAGAGATGTTAGATTGGATTTTAAGTAGAGGTCACAATGGTGGGTCTTACATGGTACATCTAGTGCAAATGGAAGAGCAGAATGATAAAGGGGGTTTAGTGTTTCATTAGCCGCTGATCTGTAAACAGCGTCATACTAGTCAAAAATGGTAGAACGATTAGCTATGGGAGTAAATCGGAGAGGAAACCCACGAAGAACAGGGGGCGAGAACACGCAAACTCCGCACAAGAAAGGCACCCGGGTCGGGAATTGAACCCAGGAGCGTGTGGATGAGAGGCGTCAGTCTCCCTCCCCACTGCGTCGCCCGCCGCCCGCCGCCCGTGGCACAAGAGAGGAATCGGATCCCGCGAGGCCGAGAGCGCGCGGAGCTGCGACTCGCTCGGCACTCATCTCGCGTGCCGAGCGTGCGACCCGGGAGATGATCCCATTGCCTCTCCAGGGACTCCCCAGGTGACGCGCGTGTGCGTGTGTGTGTCTGTGTGCGCACTTGCCCCAAAAGTCTGTTAATGCTATAAGGGCGATCTTTGTCTTTCTCTGTGTGTTCAGATACATTTACAATGGTCAAGGCACAAAACGTCGGGATGATGTTTAACGCCTGTGGTGGTTCATCTTCAGAGTTCATCCGTTCGGCGAACATCCATAGGCATTAATATGTACATATATATGCGTATGCATATGTATGAATACATATATATATAAATGCATATATATGCGTGTTGTGACCGTGCGCGTGCTATTAACTCAGCGAGTGAGTATCCTCTACAATGTTGCTGTGTTGGAAGTCGTGCTCAAACACAGACAGCAATAGATTGCAATGCGCTTCTGTGCGCATGTATTTGTGTATGTCTTTGTATTTGGGTGCAATGTGTATTCATGGTAGATTCGTGTGTATGTGTGTATTTATTGGGGGGAAGCTTTTGGCATGTCCTGGGCCTCCCCTAGCTTGACTCGCCCGTAAACGAGACGATTGGTGCGGTGTGTAAACATCGCCACTGGGGAGACAAAAGCGGTCGGGCAAGGGCTGTTAGCGAGCAACTATGAAATCCGGCACGACATACACGAGGTATGGTGGGTGGCCAACACGACGCTTGGCCGCCTTTATCTCCCCAGTGCTGATGTTCAGACACACCACAGCAGATAGGACAGACTCATTTAAGGCTGAGTCGATATCGGGGAAGGTTCCACGACCGTTTCAGCTATTTGACAACAGTTGTCGGTCGTGAGCGGGAATCGAAATCGGGTCGCCGAGTTGGTAGCGTAGTGCGCTAACCACTGTGCCACCGCTCCCCATACAACACACA